AATTAAGAATTTAAAAATTACTAATTTTTACTTCATTTGGTAAATAAATCTTACGAACAAATAAATTAGCAGGCTCTATTTAATGACAAAATCCCAGTTTGTTTGCAGAATAAATTTCTTTAAAGATTTGCATTATCTTCTTAAGATAATTTCTTTCATAAAGTTTACTTCGAGCATCAGAATGCAACACTCAGTCTTCAAGATCTAAAAAACCAACTTACTAACTTATTCTTTAATAAATATCCTTCTAGTTAACATAATTACCTGGAACTTACTTGTATTTCAGATAAACCAGAAAGCTCAAACAAAATGTGCAATAGCTTTTTATTCTAAACCAACATATCAATAGAAGAAATGCTTGATCTAATTATTACTTTGCCAATAAAAGTTAAATAATAAATTAAGGTGTAAAAGCACAAGTATCTATAACTATCTAACTAGTTTTTCGATTGCAGAGGAAACATGAATTATTTACATTAATATAATTAGCCAGAATTTAGAGGTAATTTAGTTTATAATTTTCCTAACATTTGCGTAAGATTAGGTTTAAGTGTCTTAAATAAATTTGACGATGGTAACAATGCTTGGCTTAGCATGGATAACTCTCCAGGAGAGTGGGCTGTTGTTTATACCTGGATAAGTGAAATCAAATTGTGTTCCCTAAAATCTGGCACTAAGAATGAAAATAAATATTCAAAGCAGTATGAATTTATTCCTTAAAACGCTCTCTAATGCAGCTAAAGCATAGAAAATCTTTAAAAATTTATTTAAAATCCAATTTTGATTGGCTCTTAAGCTTTCATAATAGCTTATTAGTGCAGAGCAAATACTACTGAAATTCTACTTTCCACTGAATATCCAGATGTTAGTTTTTTAGATAGAAGCAAAATGGATACTATCAGGCCATACGGAATTATTATAAAATAAGTATATTGAAGTATACTTGATTGCATTATAATTATTTTATCTAATAATTATTTAATTTTATCAACAATAATTAATTAAAAAAGCGTTATATTTTATTTAGTAATTAACTCCTTATTTTTCATTCATTTTTAGGTCCCTTTTATATTTATTACAAAAAATATCATCCATTCCTTCTGTGATACCATTAATAATTTAAGAGGAATCATTTAAAATTTATTTATTTCTATGATAAGCATGATATATATAAAAATAATAAATTATTAAGTTGAAAATCAATACTTTTTATTATGTAATACTTTTTTATTTTTTAAAACAATAAAGCAGTTTTCTATTTTAAAAATTCTTTATCTTAAGTTTAAATTAATAAATGATAGAGTATATATATATTTTACCTATTATGATAAATAATTATAAATTTATATTAGAATTATAAATAGTAATACTAATAAGAATAATTATAATAGTAATTAATTATTCTTTATTTCTATTTTAAATACATACTGCATGCATCCAAAAAAATTTATAAAAATTATAAAAACTCTGTTTTAAATATAGCAAATATTATTTCAATAAAATACAAAAAAACGGAAATATGGAAATGGAATATAGAAAAATCTAGGTGTTTTTATAAAATATAATTTAAATATCTTTCCGCTAAATTAGATATTTTTATTTTTGTTAGATAGATTTAAATTTTTAGATTAAAGTCTAGTTTGATTATATAGATAGATATTAGAATATATAGATCACATTTTCAAAGGCTTGCTATATGACGAATTATTTAAATATCTATGTGCTAATTATGAATTAGCTAGCAATTTATATATTTTTTTAATTACTTAGATTTTAGAATTTCAACTAGATAGACATTCCATTTTTAAAAAATCAAATAAGATAAAAAGAATATAGAAAAGAAATAGAGAAAGATTCTGATGTATACTAAGACTGTTTATATGACGCATTATAAATTCTAATAAATAAATATTTAGTATGTTGATTTTAATCTTCATCTATATATAATCAGCAATAATAAGAATATTAAATATGTTTATCAATAAATTTTTTTTTAGTTTTCGTTTAGTTACATAGATAGATTTAGAATTTTTAACTTGACTTTATATTTTTAAAAAAACCATAAATACATAGAGAAAGCTTATGGAAAAGGGATTTATAAAAATTGTGAAAAATTAGTTCTAAGACTTTTTGTTTTATTGACGAATTGTATAATTTAATTAAATTAAATATAGCTAAAATTTGATGTTTTGAATTTCTCAAATTAATTGAAATCTTTATAATCTTATTAATTAGAAATTAGAATATTTCATTTTATTTATAATATATATAATTTCTTTTTAAATTTTCTGTTTATTTACAGAATTTTCAATAAAACATATTTCTTTTATCTTCAAAGTTTTTTATCCATATCTAATTCTGATTTGAATACAACTCAAATAAAATTTTTCTAAGAAAAATAAAATCATTTGTAAGTAGCTACTTAATCAGAATTAATTTGATTTAGAATAGAGGAGAAAAATAAATTATAACTTTGGATTAGATTAAATAAAATAAGCTGCAATTTTATATTTTGATTTGCTTTTGAAACAAACATATTAGAATATTTCATTTTATTTATAATATATTTAAATTCTTTTTAAATTTTCTGTTTATTTACATTGAAAGATTTCAGAACTTTCAATAAAACATATTTCTTTTATCTTCAAAGTTTTTCATCCATATCTAATTTTCTGATTTGAATACAACTCAAATAAAATTTTTCTAAGAAAAATAAAATCATTTGTAAGAAGCTACTTAATTTGGATTAGATTAAATAAAATAACTGCAATTTTATATTTTGATTTGCTTTTGAAACAAACATATTAGAATATTGAATTTATTATTTAGTCATAGTAATATAATATCAGTTTATCTTTAAATTAACGAATGAATGAATGTCCAACAAAACAAACAAACAAACAAACATATTAGAATATTGAATTAGTTATTTAGTCATAGTAATATAATATTGCATCAGCTTTTCTATTTAAATTAATGAATGTTCAACAAGATTTTAGATACTTCTTCAAAGGATTAATTAATCAAAGCTATTTTAAATAATAAATAAAATCAAAAAACATACACAAAATAAAGAAATATATGAGCAAAAAACAACTTAAGAAGAAGCAACACGAACTTCTTATAGAGAAAGAAGAAAAATTACTTTAGAAGAAGCTGAATAAAAAGTTGATCTAGTCTGCCTATTAATGCTAGTAAAAAGTGAATGCAATTAAGATTCTTGAAAACAACTTAAAAAATTCTTAAAAAACTCTCTAGTAAATTGAACAAAATATTCAATAAAAACCAGATAGTTACTTAAAATTGGCAGAAAACATAGGTATAACTGTTGAAAGCCTCTTGGAAGCTATCGAAAAAGGTTTACCAGAAAACGTGGCTGATATTAAGGTAGAGGATGGACCTTCTCACTTTCTATTAAGTAAACCAGAAAAAAAAATATTCAGTCAACACAATGACTAATTAAATGATCTGATTTAAAGTTCTTAATACATTTGGAGTTCTCTCAAACTTAAAATGCCTTTGGCTGAAGAAAACAAAATAAAGATTATTGATAACTTCTTAGAGAATTTAAAAAATGTAGATACTAAGTTATACTCAAATTTTGTTTCAAAGATATCTTAATCGAATACTTTCTAACAACTTTAGCATATTTTTATCAAAGAATATACAGGTAATTAATATGGTTTAATTAACTCTATACTTACTTCCAATGATCCTGTAAAACTTTCAGCTATGAGGGAATACATTAATATAGCTATTAAAGCCTATCAGGATGGTAACGTGGGGACAGTATATAATAACAACAAGATACTTTATAGAAACTTTAGACTTCCCAAAGACCTTATAAGTTTGTATAAATAAAACAGTTTTATTTACTTTACAAATATGACATCTACTTCTTAATTAGACTTAGAATCATTTGGATAGCCTGATGCTTATAATTTTGGTATTAAGCTTCAAATCTCTTTTCTAGATTTACAATAACAAAAAAAGAATAATCTTTACACAGGGATAGAAGTCCACAGCTTAAGCTATTATCCAAATGAAAATGAAGTTCTAATATTACCTTACCAGCTATTTTAAATTACGAGCGTCAAGCAGAATGGATAAGACAGGTTCATTATCAATTTAAGGGAAGTTGATAATAAGATAATCTTAAACAATATTAAGACACCTCAACATTTACCTACTAAACCTTCTTAGCCAGCTGATAAAAAAAAATTATAAGAAATAATTGCTTAATCTCAAAGTAAAATGTAACAAAAGTAGGAATCTTTAAAATAAGAAAAGATACAAGTTGCTTGTAACTTTTAACAGTAAGCAAAAGATTTCATTAAGAAAAATAACATCTAGTCAATAAAAATTCAAGATTCTTAACTTACTGACATAAAAATATCTTCTATTTAAGATATCTAAGCACCTTAAGAATAATAGTTTTAAAATAACGTAGATTATGAAGAAGAAGAAGAAAAAATAGAAGAATCTGTAGAATACAGTAACAACTAAATTAATTTTACTAATCTTAATAATGAAGACAAATGTAAATTGCTTTAACTTGCAGAAAATTTTGATGATTTGATCAATAAACTTACAGATTAAGAAAATGTAAACAATCAAAACATTAAAGAAGGAAATAAATAAGTAGAAAATATTCTAAAAGAATGGATCCTAGTTAATATCGAAGAGTAAACTTCAAAAGATATTGTAGAAAAAAACTAAGAAAAAATAAAAACTCAAGAATAAACTCTGATTTAGCAAGTCAGTTAAAATAAAAACTTCTTAAAGTTTTTGAATATCCAAAAAAATTAAGAATTTAAAAATTACTAATTTTTACTTCATTTGGTAAATAAATCTTACGAACAAATAAATTAGCAGGCTCTATTTAATGACAAAATCCCAGTTTGTTTGCAGAATAAATTTCTTTAAAGATTTGCATTATCTTCTTAAGATAATTTCTTTCATAAAGTTTACTTCGAGCATCAGAATGCAACACTCAGTCTTCAAGATCTAAAAAACCAACTTACTAACTTATTCTTTAATAAATATCCTTCTCCAATTCCGATATTATATATGCCTTCATCTTCAATTATATTTTGACTTTATTTTTATTAAAAAATCATAATTTTGAAAATATTTATAAAATTAATAAACAATAAAATATAATAAAACATTCATTATAACAAATAAAAAATAAAATAAATAATTATATTTACCTTAAGTTTAACTTCAAATTAATTATTTCAGTGCAATTACTCAAGCATATACTGATATTTGAAGCTCCCTTATCATCTATTCGATTATTTCTTTTCAAAATATAGGTATATTATCAATTAACATTTGATTAAAATAAAAAATCTTTCTTTATTTTCTTATCTTAATCAAATAACATAATTTTTTTAAATTAATATTTTAAAAATTGATTTAAGAATAAAATCCTTATAATCTATAAAGATTCATATATTAAGTCAACCCTTGGTATGTTTAAAATTTTTTCTAAGAAATTTAAATTAATATTGTTTTGCATACTTGCTTGGGGGTTTTGGAAATAGTTGTTATTATTTCTATAAACAATATAGTTAATAAAAAAATTCTTACTTAAGTTTAAGTGTCAAGGTCTTTAGTTTTTATATTTTTTAAATGGCCTATGCTATATCATATAAACCATTTTTGCTGATTTTGCTATTACTATAAAAATATAAATAAACAAAATAAAATAAGTAAGCAAATAAATTATAAATATACAAATACTATTTACTTTAGATTTAGTATGAGATTTTCTAATTTTAAACACTTTTTCAAGTATTTATCTAAAGAATTGGCTCCTTATGATAACATTTAATAATTTCTAATGATAATTTTAGTAAATTAAATTTTATTTAAAATTTTGCTAAATAATGGTTACTGTTTTAGGTAAATTTTATTTTTTTAAATTATAAAATATATTTAATGGCAAATATTTACTTTAAATTTAATTTAAAACTGATGAGTTCTTGAAAATTAGGTAATCCATTGAAGAGTGATTTCATTTCGTTATCTGTAATTTTTTGATTTCTATTTAAAAAAAATATTTTATATAAAATGCTTCAACCTAATAAAGTTAAGAAATATCTGAATTACTTAAGATTTAAAGTAAAATCTTAAATTTTCGTAAAATCTTTTAAATGAGACTAAAGCATGTATATTTCTTTGTTTCGAATGGAGCATTAGCTAATTTATTAAAGAACAATTAATAAATAAAATAAAATGTATAAAGAATAAAAAAATAACATCAAATTTTTATTATTGCTCACTTATAATAATTAATTATCAATAATAACAGTTAATTAGTAGATATTAAATTAATTTTAGTTATACAGAATTAATTAGTTAAGTAATTTAATTTTATACTTTAATAGTAAACTAAGATGAGTAATATCATAATCACTATTTTCTAAGAACTAAAAATTTTAATGTAAAAAAGTATTAAATAAACATTAACTTTAAAAATTTAGTGAATACTTCTTCTAAACTATAAAACTCTTTTTTCTATTCTATCATCTTTTTTAGACTAATTTATTGTAAATATTTCTTTATTAAGAATAAGCAGCAATTTAAAAAATAAAAATAATCATTGAATTATTTCAAGATTCTTTTTAGAATTGTTAACTTTTGTATTTATCTTGAATCATTAAATTAAATTAGGATTTAATCAATAAAATGAATTTTTTTAAAATTAAATATAATTTAAGAAAAGACAAATGAGTTTATTATTAAAATTTTTGGTAAAATAAACAGAAATTATTTAGTGCTACTATAAATCCCCAAACATTAATTTCTAGTTTTTTGAATATTTTTTACTTTAGCTCGCTCCGCCTAAATAGTTTATTCAAATCTACAGATCAAAAAATCTCAAAGTGATATTATTAACTAATTAACATGAATGAAGAAACAATTATCTAAATACATTGATGTATTTCTTATTTAATGAATCCATTTTTAAAAATAATAATTAATAAGTTCAATAACAAAAATAAACTTTTTAATAATTTAAAATAAAAAAAATATTTTAATAATTAGTATTTGAACATTTATTTCATTAATAGCTTGGTTTTTAACAAGCTCAATTCTTTAAAAACTTCAATTTCCATTTAAACTAGCCTCATCAAAAAGTTCAAAAGCATTTTTTGATCTATTTTCTCAATAAATATTTTAGGATGCAATAAATTCTAATAATCTCAAACCTAACTCGAATCAAAAGCTCATTGTAACTTCCTTATTATCATATAAAAATAAATACTTCCAAATTTTATATAAATTAAAAAAGAAAAATAGATGTAAATTAAAATTATCTTTAAAAATATAAACATAAATGCAATATAAGGAAAGATACGTTTGAAATATAAATAAATAAATTAATTTAAATAAACTTAATGAATGACTGAATAAAATAAATAAATATTTATTTAAATAGTTCTTATTAAATATTTAGTAGTGTGAGTACTTAGTTAATAGATTTTCAAAAACCGTCAACAATTTTAGCATAATTAATTGTAATTTTTATTTCTTTTTTCCAAAATGATAGATACAAGACTAAATCTTATTACCTCATAAAATCTATTTTTTTTACATCATTTAAAGATATTTTATATTAATAATTTGGGTAATCTAGCACTTCTAAAATTGAATCTTCTTGAGATACTCTTAATTCAATTGTGTTATTATTTGATAAAATAAAATTTGAGCAATTAAAAAATTTATTCATCCCACTCTATGTGAACTTTGCAGATACTGCTCCTTAAATATTATTAAAGTAACAACTAAGAGAATCTATATATCCATGTTGCAAATTAGAGTTAGATTTTTTCATTAATCCAACATAAAAACAATTTCCATTACTGCTTTCTATTTATATTCTAAATATATATTTTTTGTTTCTTTTTAAAATGATATTTGATATGCAATTTATATAATTGCAATCCCTATTCAATTACAGTTGTATTTCTCCATTTTCCTTCTTCAAAGACTTTAAGATAGATATTCCTTCATTAAATGAAGTTGAATTGATTACCATTTCTTATAATATGTCTTGTTAATAATTTGGATTCAATTAAAATCTTTAGCTAAAATAATTATTTTCTGGAAATTTACACAACGCCTTTAAAAATGGGTATGTTTGGATTAAAAATTAATCAAAAGCTTAAAATATTTCAGGATATTATAATCTCTTTGATTAATTTATTATTTAATTGATATAAATTATTTCATTCGAATTTATAATTTAATTTTTATAATTTTGGTTTATCATTAGCTAGTTCTCATGCTCTACATATTCTTTTATTAACTCTAATTTTTAAGGGTTTATTTTAGAAAAATCAATTGGCTACTTATTTTCTTCAAACATTTAGTTGACATAATTAATTTCTATTTTAGAGCTCAACTTTAACAAATTATCTTTAAATTCCTTTAAAAATTCACTTGAGCAGAAGTTTGATTTGTTTCCTATTAAATCAATTATTTAAGCTATTTTTACTTTTTAGCTCTACTCAATATTAGTTTTTGACATATTTTTAACTAATTCTTCTTTTTCTTCAAAAAATCTGATTTATTCAATCTATTTGAGTATAAGATCTTTTTAAAGATTTGCTTCCTAAATTTTAAAACAAGTATTAGCATCAAGAGCTTAAATTAACAGATTCTCTAATAATACCTAGTTCTTTTCTTTTTAAGATTCTACTGATTAGATAAATATTCTGCATTATCTTTAGGACTCTTATAAATTATTTTATTATCTTATTGTTTGTAGAAGTTTTCTGAATTCAAGAACTCTAGAAATTTATTGATAATTGCTTATGATATCAGCTGTATGGTACCTCTCAGCTTGCTAGATTGCATTCTTATAAATTTAATCTAACTTTTACATAATTTAGTTTTTCAAGTTAATAAAATAGCTGTCAATTTGTTAAATGTAACTAAATTGATCACTAGAATACTACATAATGTCAATGAGAGTCTATAGAATTTCATTATTCTTGATTGGAGGCCATTTCTAAATTATTTTTTCATTGCCTTCATTTAATACTTAATCAATAAATATGTAATTTTGCTGCTTAAAAAAATTATCTTCGCTAATGCATTATGAGCAATAAAAAAGAGACTTTGCTTCAGATTGTTACAAAACATCTTTTATTTAAATAAATTCAATGTCTTTTTTAAAATGCTTTGGACACTTTAAGTTCTAATAATATACTTATTCCATTTGTTTCTTTAAAATTTTCTTTTTAATTTTTCAAACAGGTTAATAATAATTTTTTTTTGCAAGATAGAGGTTGCTATTAAAGCAAATACTATATTCTAATATTTTTTTTGCAAAAGAATTAATTTTCTACTTTGAAAGGATTTTAATAACTTGTTAAATACTCATCAAATTATAAAATAAAGTGAATTATTTTGAAATCAACTTTAAAATATCATTGTTTATCTATAAATAATACAAATAACTAAAATAGATATAAGCAGTGGTGGAAAATCTTTTCAGAAATTTATCTAAATCTAAGATGGATTGATTTTTGAATTTAGGTTATTAAAAAATAATTTTGAATACAAGAAAATACAAAATATATTGACAATTTTATTTCCTTTTAAATATATATTTTATTTATTAGTGAATTTTATTTTAAAAGTAGACAAAGTCAATTCTTTTTCAATCATAATAATTAATTCAATTCTTTTATTTTTTGATTATTAAAAATGAAAAGTAATCGATTTCTTATCATTTTTCTATCTTTTAAATATTTCTATTGCAATTAATTTACAAATAAATTTTTATTGTTTTTTATATATTGATTGATGAATAATGAATACATGATAATAATATAATTTTATTTATGCGACACCCTTCTTCAATGGTTTTTAAAAATTCGTTATGAACAAAATATTAGACCATGATCTTACTACAAATAGAGAGATTTAAAATTTTCTGGACATAATTAAAAATTGAAATAACTTATAAAATAATAAATAATGAATGAATTAATTAATTATAATAAAAAAATGGACATATTTCAACTGATATTTAATTTTTTTAATAATTGGTCTTTTTCTTTAAAGATATTATTTTTGTTTTAGTCTATAATGTTTATGGCTATTTATTTAGTTTAAGGATATTTAGATTCCAATTTTTTGTAGAATATTAGATAATATGGTTCACTTTTTTGTTTGATTCTGTATCTGCTTGGCTCATTTACCATTTGAATAGTAGATTAAACTAATTTAAATAGGTTTTATTGAATTAATGGTTGTTCTGCATCAAATAGAAAATTAGTAATTTGAATAACTCTTTTCATCTCTGCATGATCATCTTCAAATGGAACTATTTAGAAAAGTGTATTGAATGGAGCTAGATCTTCATTGGTGAAAGTTTTAGGTGGTTTATTTGCTAATAACTTTGTAGCCATCAATGCATAGGTGGTCAAGATATTTTCAATAGTACCCTTTTCATCATAATCTTCAATCTTCTTTGATTAAATGACTTAACCAACAATTTAGAACAATTACTTAAAAACATCTGGTTATATAATATCAAAACAATATCTTGTGATTACATTAATGTAAAATATGCAGTTTCTCAAGAGAATTTCGTCTTTCATGATCATCTTGTTAAATATTAATTAGTTAATATTCTTAGAAACTATAGAATATACACATTTATCGTATTTTATGAAGTGGGAAGTATAGCCTATTGTGGAACTTATAATACTCAAATCTAAATCTAATTTATTTAAATTCATATCTTATTCATCTAATTCTTCTTCCTCTATATCTTCGTATTCGCTTGAGTTTTAATCCAAATCTTCCTAATCCTTTTCTTCTTCTGCTCCGCCTTCCTAATCCTAATTTTAATCTTCTTCTCCATCTTCATCTCCGTTGTCATTTTCATCACTTTCTTGACTAGTTTTCTGATTAAAAATATTTGCTTCAATTATTCTCCAAATTTTCTAGAAGTTATTTTATAGCTAAGATGGGTAAGCTTTATATATAATTTGGAGACATTCCATTTATTTATCCATAAGCCCTGCTTAGAGCAAGCTATAAGTTTTCATAATGTTACGTTTAATAGTTTTAAAAATGTCAAAAAAGAATGTTCTCTTTGTGGCAAAATCAATGTTTCTCAATACATATGATAATTTGTATAGCAATTCTTCGTGGATGTTATCTTCGTTTAGTTTATCTAAATTATTAATTTAATCCAGGAAGATTTAGAATAAAGGGGAATACTCAACCTTTGCTTCATCAGATAAAAAACACTCTTCTGGTCTGGAGTCATTATTTTTATAGTACAAATGAGGGTAATTCAAAGTGAAGTATTGCTAAATACATTTAAACATCTGTCCTAATGTTTAATAGCTCATATACATAATTTAGTTTTCTTCTCTGTCATTCACTGAAATCTCGTGTAAAACCTTCATTATCTCAAATTTTTTGTATTCCATTACTATTTTAGGGCATTCTTGGATAAACTCTCCAAGAATGTACAAAGCATTAGATTTTAAAGCAAACAATTCTGGGTTTGGCTATTCGAAATAAACCTGTTCATAACCTTCTTCTAAGTCTATTTCTTCTTAGATTTCATCTTCATTTTCTTCATTAGCATTAAATCCCTACATCATATTAAAATCTGCCTAATTTACATTCTATTCCTACTGAGCTTCCTCACTTTAATCAGAAACGTCATCTTCGTATTCATTTTCACTTCCTTCGTTTTCATTTTATTAGTTTTAGTTATTATTTTATTAATTGTTATTTTGTTAATTTTAGTTATTGTTGTTGTTGTGATTTTGTTAATTTTAATTTAAGTTTAAAACAGCATTAAGGTTATGCATTAAGTTTTAATTAATTTATCCATTTTAAAATGCTTATGCTAAGGCATTCTAAAATTGATTTGGTAGTTGAATATTTTATGCTACTTATGGGTAAGCATTGATTACATTATTAAAGTTAATTTCTTCCTATTCTAAATTTTTATTTTTTCTTATGAGCTTTACATTTGTTAAAACTTGACAGTCTGCAAGAATATGAGAGTACATTTTTAAAAATAGCTCATCAATTAAGTTTTGATCGTTGAGTAACTCAATTGAGATACTGTAAATAAATTAGTAAATTTGTGTCCTTGATGCAATTTAATCATCAAATTTCCCTTGATAAAGCTCGTTTGCATACTATCTGAGCAAATTCTTCACTCTGTTGACTAAATCATCGTCTTTACAGTGCTGAGATTTCATTACCATTTTAGCCAAACTGCTTAAACATGACAAGTTAGTAGTAGAGTGAGGCAAAGTAGGTGAGCTTGTTTACATATTATCTGTTTCAATTTCAATTTTATTTTGTTATAAATGGTCTTCCCTTTTTTCAACTTAAGAAAAAAAGATTTCCTTAGAGCGCTAGACATACTATTTGATATAGTATTCAATTTTCTTTTTATGAAGAATGGAGTTGATAATATTGAGTATTGATTCTTAGTACAAAGGTGATAGTTGAGTAAATTAAGGTGAAGAAAAGTCATTTAAGCAAATCTCATACAATTTGGGTATGTAGTCGAACAGAGCAAAATCTTCTTCGTAAACAATCTTAAAAACTACTCTATCCAAGAAAGAAATAGAAACGATTTACTGTCTTAGTGATTAATTAGACTTACTTTACAAAATATCAATGATGATATCCATGTAGCTGGTATGGAAGGGAGCTATGTAATTAATAGCTGTATTGGCTATTTGATATAAAAATCTTATCACATAGCATTGGACTTAAAGATTTTTCAAGTGAGACCCAATGAATTTTGTTAAAGTAGCCAAGATAGAACGTATTGCTTCAACATTGAATTTAGTCTAAAAGAAAAGCATATTGTAGCAGCCCACCAGTGTTCTGATTTCCTAACCTGAGTAAATTATTTAATCTTAATTTTCTAAGCTTTAGAAGCCATGTCCTATCTTTTTAACATTGTTGACAATTTTATTGAAAATAAAGTCATTCATCAAAATCTTCTTAGAGCTTTGATTGATTGTTTCCAGTAAATATTAAAAGTCAATAAAGGCTTGATCTAATTCAGGGCTGTTTGACTTGATGTTACTTTGACTTTCTAGATCAAAATTATTTTAGATATTTTCAAATCCATTTTCTGATTTCTCTTCCACCATAATTGAATCTAACTCGCATAACGAAAACATAAACTCAATCATTTCTGGAATAAATTTGCACTGTTTTCCCAAAGATCTCTCTATTGTTTCTTCAAATACAAACATTCCTAGCTGTACTGAAAGATATTTATTAGCCTCAAACATTTTCATTTCTAGACTTATTTCTTCTAAAACCTTTTTTTTATCGCTGGCTATTTTATTTTCTTCAATCTCCTTTAATTCTTGAATTTCATACATTCTAATAAGCTACTACAATTTTTTAAAGACATGTTATTCTCTTTTCAAAAAGAAATTTTTATCGCAGCTTTTCAAGAAATTTAAATAGTTAAACAGCAAGTCTTTGTCTTCTTCAATAAATTAAGAAGTTGATATGTATGTAACAATTAGAGGAAATACCTTCTTTTTTTAACTCTCTGTCATTTAGTTTTACAACTAAATAAAGCAGACAGTTATCAACAAATTAGTATCTTAATCTACACTCTCATTTTTTATCTTAAGTCCTTTCTTGTTAGTTTTTGTTTCCTTTTATGCCTTTTTCTCCCATTTATTTATTAATGCATTAATAATATCACAGACACCATGAATAACAGCTTATCCTGGTTTGTAAAAAAATTACAATGTATCAGTTAAATCTAAATTATTAGCTTATAAGTGCTTAAACCATTCTTTATAGCATGTTATTTCCTTTAACAAAATTAATCCTTTGATCATTTTTGGTTTCTTTTAAGCCAAAATTAATGAAAGCAAATCAAAATCCTAAATAGAAATGTAGTTACAGTACCTCCTCAAGAGGGCACCTAAAACTTCAGCCTAAATTTAAATATTATCGCCTTCATACTCCTTATAATGAGTAATTAACTTTAAATAAATTTTCTCATATTAAATTTTTTTTGATTTTTCATCTATCTAATCAAGCAAATTGAACATATGTACTGCTGCTCTAATAGAAACATGACTCTATTGACTAATTATAATGTCACTTAACTAATCTACTAAGTCATGGATAGATGTGAAGCTAAAAACATTCTATAAATTATGTTCTCCTTTATTCTGCGATATTTCGTTTGCTATAAAATCTATTAATTTAGTATCCATATTCTAAACCTAAAAATATTTATTAAAATTTCTATTTATGTTTTGTATCTATCTAAATTTTAATATATTTATTCACTTAGATTTCTTTGATTATTTAATACAATAAAATTTATTAGATTCCAAAACAGAATGCACAAATGTATATAATATAGCTTTTTCGAAAAAGTACAAAACAAAATTTTAATCTCTACTTATTTATAATTCTTTTGCTCAAACTGACCTTATACAAATAATTTTATTTTAGGATTTAAAACGTTTTAAACAAATTTTCAAGCAAATCTCAATATATTTTTTAATAGAATTATGAATTTTATTTCTTAATTGATAAAATAAATAATTAAGTCAATCAATTTATATAATTTATCATTTAAAATAATTTTTTTAAATCTAAAATTGAAGTCAATATTTTTTGAATCTTTGCCAATAAATAGGACTAACTAATTAATAATTTACCTTATTCTTTTTACAACATTTCTATCTATATTTAATATAAATATAATTAAAAAATTTACTTTAAAAATGTTTTTCTTAAAAAAGAAATTGAAATTCAAAGTTAAAATCCTAAATTTTTGTTCTTCTAAAATGATATAAAATTTATAAATGGAAGTATTTTATCATTTCTAAAAATTGATTATTAATTTGAGTTTTTTAAGAAGCTTTTATTTTAAATGATATTAAATTTAGCTTAAAATAATGTAAAAATATCATATATCTTTGCTCATTTATTTATCAATCAAGTAATAAAATAAAAACTTTTAAGCTATTGTAAAATTTTTGTATGAAAAATTATAGAAAGTAAGATAGATAAAATTATTTTCAAATATTTTGTTAAGTACAACTGAAACTTTTAAATGTTTAAATAAAAATTTAAATAATCTGAGTATTTTTAAAAAAATGAGGGATTTGATTTATTTAAAAATAAAGAAATTGAATAAAATTTAAAAGATAAAAATAATACTACTCAAAAATAAATAAAAAGTCACTCATTTTATTAAAGGGAATTTAAATAATTTTGAAAATGAATTTAATATATTCTTTTAATTTATAAAAAGGTAATTATATTAAATACATGAACTAACTTTTCAAAATAAAAACTACCAAAATGTTTTAAAATAAATATTTCCTAAATGACTTTGTTACACTAAAAAAAGTTAAAAATATATAGAGGGTAGGGGGGTAATTATTAATAAGTTTTAGTTGATAAAATACCATAAATTAGGAGATTTAAAGAAATTAAAAATTTTATTAACTAATTATTTATTATCAATCAAATAAAAATAATTAAAATGAGTAAAAATAATATAAATATTTGGTTTATAAAAAGTATTAATTTTCAAGATTTTTACATTTACTAATAAAACAATCAAAAGTTTTGATTAATTTTAGATTACCTCTCTTGGTATTATTGATTATCTGGTATAAATTAATATTATTATTTTTTCTATTAAAATACAAGTTATTTCTTTCAAATTTTATCAAATTAACCATAAAAATACTTTATTAAATCAAATTTTGTTTTAAATTAATACTTAATTAATTTTTTTTAAAATAAGTGAAATAGATGTTTTTAATTCATATTTCAGATCAATCAATATTTTAGCATTAAATAAAAATAAAATTATTTTTCTTTTTTAGAATTCACTCTTAGGAAATAAACTAAAAACTTCATAATTTCTCCTATCATTCATAAAATAACAAATATATCATTTTAAAGGGGATTTATTATATATGTGTTTAAATGGCAAAAATAAAAATTGTATTAAAAATTTAGCACGCCGTTTACTTATTTGAGCATTTTGTGTTTTATGGGAGTATTTTTAACATTTTCTGATAAAAAATGATGGATTATTTTTATATTGATGTGTATTTAAACTAAATAATACAATTCAAAGAGAAAATTATAAATTTAATATTTTCCAGTTAAATCTGCATCTCATGAGAACTTAATTTAAGAAAGTCTTAGATTTGAAATATTTATTTAGAACGAAAAAATTTTTGAGCATAATTTACTGATTCAAAAAATAGAAAAGGAAAGCATTGAAAAAGTCTCAAGAAATCATGAAATATTTTCAATATAATCTTGGAATTCAAACTTATAATCAATCAATATAGTTTCATTTTAAGTTTTCATTTCAAGAAAAATAGTGGCTTTAGAATGTAACTAGGGATTTTAATGTTCATTTTAAATACAATAGTTACATGTTTTTGATCAAGTTTTTTTTTTAAATAAAGTGTAAAATAGAAAGATGATATTTGAGTTATTTTAAAGGAATAAAATCAAAAGGGGTTTATTTATTCAATATCTAAAAATTTTACAGAAGAAATTAAGAAATTTTATAGAAAAATGTGCAAGTGTTAGAAATAAAATAGAACAAATATACAAAATGTTTTGGTTGGATTTTGTGAAAAGTTATTTGTTCTTGTGTGTGAGAGAGAATATATGAATATGAGAAGAATGTCGTCAATAAATAACTAAATAATTAATATAAAAAGATTACAGGGAATTACTTATACAAATCTAATAGAAGGCTCGTTATAAAGAAGATTTTCTTCATTTGGAATTAATACTTGCTTTTTTTAAATTAAAAAAAATCAAAAAGTAGAATGAAAAAAAGCTTTTTATACAAGAGAAGAAAGGAAGAAAGAGAATGAAAAGAAAGAAGAAGCATGAAAAGAAGCAATTGAATTGACTGACCTAAATTATTAATTAGTAAGTAAGTAGGCGTATTAAAGAAGAGCGTAAAAGTAATAATATAATATAATTAGGAAATAACAAAGTACTACATACAAGCAACTCTATTTATATATATAAATAAATAACATAATAAAGTCTCCTTAAAAAAGGAAAAGAAGACAGCTCAACCAATCTATTAATTAATAATTTAATTTTTTAATCAAAAAAGAATAGTATTTAGAAGAATAGAAAGCAAACGAACAAAAAAAACAAAAAAACAATCAAATATAAACAATTAAACAAGTCAAACTATAAATACAGATATTATACAGACAAATAGAAGAGTGATGTAGCCAAGCGATTTAAATTCATCTTCATCAATGACTCAGTCTTAAACAAGAAAGAGCAGCAGTGATTCAACTGGATCCAACACCAGATGCTTCAATATCCAACTTTGTGGCAACTCTTCTGTAGGCAAAACTTCTATAATACATAGATTAATCTATGATAATTACCTCGAAAACACAGTCATAACTCTAGGTGTTAATTACTATAAAAAGAATTTTGTTATTCAGGGAGATCCAATTTCAGTCACAATTCATGATACTTCTGGATAAGAGAGATATATAGATATCACAAAGCAATCAGTGCGTAAGGCAGACGCATTAATCCTAGTTTATGATAAAACAAGCGAGCAATCCTTCCAAGATCTTGAAAGCCTTTGGATATCTCAGTTTGATAAAATAATAGACTTAACTACAATTCCTCTTCTCCTCATCGGCAATAAATCCGATTTATACTCCTAAAAAAAACTTGAGCAAGTTAGTTATGACTAAGCTGACTAGTTCGCAAGGCAATATAACATGGCATTCTTTGAAACTTCTGCACTTTCTGGTGCTCAAATATAAAATGCATTTGATAGTCTAGTTTAGCGACTCTATTTATCAAATAAGTAAAAAAATAATCCTCCAGTTTCAATACAAAAAAAGAAAAAAAGTTCAAGCGGTTCAAAAAATAGTTGCTGCTGAGCATAATTCCAAAAAATAAATGTGATTTGCTGATAGTGCTTCATGCAAATCAAGTATCAATTCAAGCTACATAAAGTTGCTGTTGTTTATTTCGTTTTAATAAACTACTTACTATATATTTATATAACAATACTATTAAAACTTTTGGAGCACTAATTAAATTAGTATAATTCCTATCATTCAATCAATGAATCAATCAATTAATAATTCAAAAACTCATTCATCTAATTAATAGAACTGTATTTAAAAAACTTAAACGTTTGAGACTGACTGAGTGAAAGAGTCTCATCAGAAATTTGAAATTAATTTAAAGTAGTAGTAATAAAACACTTAAAATAACTTATAAAAAAGACTTTAGGCTAATTTAAATAAGGTAACAAAAGCTTAATATTCGATGCAAATATAATGAAAAATGAAATATTTAATAGCAAACAAAAGTTAGGCGAAATATTTTTAGTATGAATTAATTGATGTAAATTATAAATTTTAATATAGAAATTATAAAAAATTTCTTAATTTTAAATCTAAAATGAATAATAAATAAATAAAAATAAAATAATAACTCACTCACTCACTACTTTAATGTAAATCTCTCTATAATAAATAATTAAAGAAAAAAAATTATTTTTTATATCATATATATTAATACTGACTGTATCTTACTTCTCAAAATTGATTCTATTTGTTTCTTTCTTTTTTTCTAGCTTTTTTAGCCACTTTCTTTGTTTTTTTTTGGTAAATTAATTTTTTTATCTATCAGAAAGTACGTTTAAATAAATACTATTTATTTAAAAATTATCAAATTATTTAAATACAATAATGAAATTTTTTTTTTCAGTATATTAATTAATTTTATTATTTTTAATACTCTGATTCTTAAATTAACAACTTTAATTATTCTTCAATCTCCTCTCAAAGCTCATCAACAATTTTTATGAAATTTAAATCCTCACCCAATAAAATCAACTCATAGTAAGGCACTACTTAAAAAACAAAAATTTAAATTATTATTTTTTATTTTAGTTTTCTACCTGATTTATTTTAATGATAATAATAATCCACCAATTAATACTTTTATCACCCACCAAAAAAGATATTGATATATTCTTTTCATTTTAAATTTTTTTTGTAAATCCTTAAAAATTAAATCTTATTTATTTATATTACTTTCAATCAAAATTTTTTTTAGTGTTCTACTTTATCTACATTTTTTTTACAATAAATACTTAATTATTTTTACTTGTTATTGAAAAAAACAATTTAAATCTATTAAATATTAAATTTTCTAAAACAACTATATTTTTAAAGTAATTTTACTACCGTAGATAGATAGATAGCTTCTACAGTTTAATCATACACAATTTATATTGCTATTATTTTTTTAAAGCTAAATTAGATTTATAGGCACTAGCGTAAACGGATTTATAATTTATGTTAAGTATAAACATATTTGTATATATTCTGAATATAATATTTAATGAATGGCTACTAAGAATTATTGCAACATTTTAACACCCTCTCCCTCTCTGCCTTAAGGTGATTATTCAATAAGGAATAAAAATATAAAATTAATTAATAATTTAACCTTCTTTGCTTCCTTATAAATGAGTATCTAAATTACTTTAAAATTAAAAATAAATATTTTTAATAATGAAATATTTATCTTTTCAAATTTCTAATATTTTCATAATTCTGAATATAATTCATTTTAAAATGAATTTATTTTTTAATAAACTTGTTTAATTTATTTTAATTAGACAAATCTACAACTAAAGATATTAGAATTACTTTTGAAATTGATTCTTTTAAAAATATTTAGTAATTTTGTATAATTATTTTTTAAAAGATTTAATGTATTTAAGAATAATTTCATTGAATTACATATTCTTTTTCTATTTTCATTAAATATTTTATAATTTCATTTATTTTTTATATCATAAATTTTTGGATAGAAATCAATCAATATGCATATAAAATATTAATCAAAAATACAAATTTTAACTTTTAAATAGAGATTTTAAACTTTTCTGTTGCTATATCAAAATATTAAAAGGTTATTGTTTATATTTGCTTGATAAAGTAAGTAATTTGATATTGATAAAAAACTAAATTAGATCTTAGAAATAAATTTAAAGAAAGAGAATTTTAATAGAATCATTTTATTATAAATATGAATAAATAGCAGACTATGGCACAAAGCACAGCCCCATTAAAAAAATCTGTGCCTTAATTTTTATAGGTAAAATAAACTGCTTCAATATGATTTATTTTGTCACATTCATTTGCTTATTAAATTAGAAAAATAAAGAAGCTTAATAAAATAAATCATAAACATCTAGCACTATTTAGCCTTAAAACCAAAATTTTCCTCCAAATTCATTCTAAAGTCCTCAATCTACAGCTTAAAAAGCGGCAAATCCTTATAAATAAAAAAATTCATTGAATCCGAAAGATTCAAACATCCCTGAAGTATATTTTAATTTAGCAAAGACAATCAATCAATCGTTATGATTATTTTATTTATAGTAAAAAGAATTATTTCCTTTCCTCTAAAAAGCAAGAGAAAAAGACCCAAGATAATTAGGTGTAAATATTTAAAAGTGCTAAGAAGTTTATGATTTTTATAAGAGATTAAAAGATTGCGAAATGCCAGTAAAAGGTATAAATTATTAAATATTTTAACCTCTTAATATTTATTTATTTATTCATAAAAACTCGAAGAGTTAGGAAATGCATTAAGATCTTTAGGGTACCTTGTGAATACAATAGAAATAGGAGAGCTTCAATAAAAACTGCAAAAATGTAATTATAAACTGATAAATAAAAAAACTAATTAGTTTTGTTTTTTTAAGAAAATAATTTTAATAATAAAATAATAAATCTAATAAAAATTGATTTTCTTTAATAGATATTATAATTTTACTATAAATTAATATACATTTAATATAATTTGTTATATTTTCTATTCAATTTTATATTAGAAAAAATGTAAATTAACTAAATGGCTTCAGTGATCGAATTCAAAGACTTTTTGGTAGCTGTAAGTTTGGTTTAGCATAAATTACCTAACGAAAGGGAGCTATAAGAAGCTTTAAAATTATTTGTTAAGCATAAAGAATATGATGTTAATAGAGAGACCCTCAAAGGAGTAATCACTAAAATAGGAGATATAATTCCAGAAAAAGAAGTATTTATTTACAATTTATTCTTTATAAAAGTATACTTTAAATCAATTAAATTATTAAAAGTTTGATACACTCTTTCCAAGCATCATGACAGACCAAAAAGGAAATATTCCAATATAAAAAATCACATCAATTCTTCTTAGACAACCTTAAATTTGAATTTATTACAATATTCTAGCCAGTTTAAATATAAAATCATAAAATCTAAACATTAAATTTAAAAAAATAATTAACTTTCTAAAAAATGAATATCTGAAAGTTATAAAACTATAAATTAAATGTAATTAGTTATTAATAAGCTCTTCTTTATTTTATTGTATATAAATAACTATTATTATAAGCTTAATATATTGTAATATTTGATATTTTAATCTTAAAATTGTTATAATTATTTTGCTTTCACTTTTTTTTTAATTAATTAAATATTACCATTTAATAAAAAATAATTGTATCAAAATAATTTCAATCAATAAACATTTTAAAAGACTCATTTAAATGAAATAAAAGCTTATTGAACAAAAAAAATAATTTAAAAATTTTTATACTGTAATTAATTTCTTTATTAAAGTTATATTATTTCTGATTACTCGATTATTTGGCATTTCGATGAATGAGGTCTCGGATAGGATTTTTGGCATACCCCCCCCCCCCCCCCCCCCCCCTATTTTTTAAAAACGAAATTTGATTTATTAGTCTATAATTAATTAAACAAATAAATAATATTCTTCTAACAAATAAGTAAACTGATATTTTAACATTCGTTTCACCATGGCTGAAGATGATAAATAGAAAGATCTAATGAAATTTATAGAGAATTAGGATCTTATTGAATATTACAAAACTTGCCTTACCAAAACCTAGAGAGATAAAGTGAAAAGAGTTTACAAAAAAGCAATTTAACTAGATGGGAAAGATAAAGAATTATATAATAAGCAAAGAAATTAAGCAAAAAAGATTATCCTAGATTTTAAAAATGCAAAACACCCCTAATCTCCACAATAACCTATATAATAGCCAGCTAATAAATCAACTTAAGGAGGTATAAAGGGTAATACAATACAGAAAGATGATATATCTAAAACTGAAGAGGCAAAAGATGATGATATCTCAAGAACTGAAAATGTGGAAGAACGTATTAGAAAGCTTGCAGCTGAAGAAAGAGAATAAAAAACTAAAAGGAAATAGGAGGATTAAAGTTTTTAATAATTGATCACTAACAAAGAAAGTATTAAAGATGATAATGAATTTTTATCAAAGATTTTAAAAGAAATGGCTGAGAAAATGTCAAGTGATTATAATAGTCTTAACGACAAAATATTTAAGTTATAAGTTGATAGTTTAAAAAGAGATTATATAATTAAAGAATAAAATACCCAAATTAAAGACTTAAAAGTACAAATTGTATATTTGTAAGAAAAAAATGCTGATTAAGATAAAAAGATTCACCACTTAGATGCCAAAATTGTATGTTTGTAAGAAAAAAATGCTGATTAAGATAAACAGATTCACAATCTATTAATGTTAAATCATTCAGAAACAATTAACAGACAATTTTATTAGTAAGAAGCTGAAATATATCTTGCAAAGATTCATAGAGCTCAGATTATCACTGTGCTGTATAGTTAATTGGCTAAACGCTTGGAATGTTCTGTTGATGAATTAAAATCTATAAACGATCAAAATAAGTTGAATCTAATGCACAATATAATTTCAAAATAGTTTAATTTAACTAATTATTAATGGGATATGATTAGAGAAGAAAAAATAATACGCAATGAAGAATTTCATCCTCCTGATGCTGAAATTATTATTAATAGTAAAATGACTTTAAAGAAAATTATTCCTGGAGATGAAGATACAAAAATCTAAGCATATGAAAAAGCATTAGAATGGATTAAAAATGGTAAAATTGAAATCCAATTTGATTGAAGGTAAATTCTTACTTAAACCATCAATGCTTCTTTAATATATAATAAATATTTTTTATAATCTTAGTTTAAGAATGATACTTCTCAATTGACTGCTTAATTCTGTGTAAAGACACGCAAAATGGATTCTTAATCACATTTCTAAGAATGTTCAGATTACTCGAAAACTTTAATGTTTATAAAAATAAATTAATTGTAAACCTTTTAATATTATTTTATTATAGTTCAGTATGTGATTTCATGCACTCATTTATATATATGATCTTCTTTTATTTTATTTCTTTGATATCACCTGTTACATCCACAAATTTAATTTTCTATGAATTCATAGTATTCTTTTGCAACCTTTGCTAATCTGCAAATTCCATATTAACCCAAGAATTCAACTAAAATTCCTATTAATAATCCTACTCCTTATTTGTATCTAATTTCCTATTTTATATTTATTATTCAATTTTTAACAGTCTTTTGATCGTTTTATTAATATAATATTTTTAATTAAAAGAAATAATTTATTTAAAGTTTAAATATATTTTTAGTCAAAATTAAAGTCTTTTTAAAATGTTTTGCCTACAAGTTAAATAAATTATCATTTTACTTTTTTGTAAAGGATTATTATCAAATATTATTTATATCTTTTAATTATAATTTCCAATTTATAAATTGTTAATCTAATTAAATCATTATAACAAATAAAATAAAAGTTAAATAATAATTTATGTATTTATTTACATTTTGATAAGTAGTTACTCAATCAAATATCATTTTTATGTATATGATATTTTATTAAATATGTAATAATTTATTAATAAATCACATAATTATTATCTTTTAATTAAATCAATTTATCATTTTAAAATATTATCAGTTAAATACATTCTTATTGATATGATTTTTGTTAAAATAAATAACTATTTAAAATTAATATTTTTTTATTCTATGTAATTTTTATTTAATATTATGATTTAATCAGTTTAATATATTTTTAATAACTTAACAATTATCAATTTATTATTTAAATTATTATCATTAATTATCAAAAATAAATAATTTTTAATATAGTATTTAATTTATTAAATTATTGTTTAATATTTGTGTTATAATTAATTTATTAAATTATTAAATATTTTCATTAGCTAATTAGTATTAACATTATTATCAATTATTAAATTTAATAAATGTTTAAAAATAAATAATTTCTACTCTTTCATTAAATTAATCATTATTTGATTTATCTTTTTAAATTATAATCATTTATTAAATTTTTAATAACTAAATAAATTAATCGTTCTTTTGATAAATATAAGATATTTTAATATTTATTTTTTGACTGTAAAATACAATTTAAATTAATTTATTACTTTATTATTAAATAAAATTCTGTTATTAAAATTTAAATCAATTTTCTGTTTAATAACTAAATAAATTAATCATTATTTTGATAAATAGAAGATATTAAAATTTTAATTTTTGACTGTAAAATGTAAATTAAATTATTTTATTTGTTTATTATTAGATAAAATTATATTATTAAAATTTAAATCAATTTTCTGTTTAATAACTAAATAAATTAATTATTCTTTTGATAAATAGAAGATATTTTAATATTTATTTTTTAACATAAAATATCATTAAATTTAATTTCTTATTTTATATAAAGTAGTTGGTAGTTGAGTAGTTAGGTCGAGGAGGGTATAAAAAAAAACGTTTGTATGAATTAAGATTAATAATAAGAAGAATAAGTGCAATTAAAATTTTGAAATTATTGATTAATTAGTGCAAGCAACTCTCATCATGAATTTATATAAAAATATAATAAATAAAGTATATATTTGGCTATATTAATTTATAAAATTATTTATACACTCACTCTATCAATATCTTTTTTATATCACTTAAAATTATATTAATAAATTTGGTTGTTTGCTTGAAATTTTATTTGATTTTTTAAATAAATTACTTTAATTATTTTTTATTGATTTGGATATATTATATATAATATTCCAAGATAAATATTTTTGATTTTATTAATTATTAATTGATCTATTTTCATTTTACAAGTTATTTTTTTGTTTTGACCAAGAAGGATTTTTTTTCAGGATCACGGAGAGTTTATTCTAAATCTGTTTATTATTATAAATCTTTATCGAAATACTGCTGGCTCATTTTATCATAATCATTTTAAAACTTATTGATTATGTTATTGATATTTTTAGTATTACTAGAATTTTAATAATCATTCATCTGATCAATAAGATTGTTCATTTTATTAGATTATTTAAACCTTTAGCTTAGCTAGCTCTAAGTCAAGCTTGGCTGTGCAACTATATTGATTTCTTTCTAGCTATTAACAGCACTATCTATATTAAAAGATCCCATTTAATTAAGTGATACTTTTTTACCCTAGTTTTTTAGATCTTATGGTGAAACAGTATCTTGTAATCTCAGCTACTAAAACTTTGATTACTATACAGTTTTATGAGAATCTGCTGATCCTAATCTCTGCTGAATATGTTAAGTAGGTATGTAAGAAGTCACAAAAAGCTTTGTAAAATATATTATTTTAATTTATATAAAATTAGTTAATTGTGAAATAATTAATTACATTATCTTGAGGATTTTCTTAAAACAATTCATTTTCTTTTTGTTCCTGCAAAATTTCCTCTTTTGCTTACTTTTCTATTTGATCTAAGTCTATCATCAAGCCCTTCTCTCTTGCCATATTTCTGTTTCTACGACTTTAGAAAAATTAACTCTAATGGTGTTGTCTTTCGGGAGAATTAGATTTTTGAGGAGAAGCATTTCTTGATTAAGCCACTACCGAAATCTCAGAAGTTTACCTGATTTTAAAACCTAAGTTTGTGATTACTTCATTTTCTCTTATCTTTTCTTATTCAGCTGTTTTCTTAGGAACCACTATTTAATGAGGTTTAGCTTAATAATCGAAGAAATTAATAGTAAGATCATCAGATAAATTTAAAGGCTTCTGTTTCAGCTTAACTACTTTAAAGTCTGTTATAGGCATTCTAAGAGGCTTATGGAGAGCTCTTGGATCTTTATTTTCATTATTTATATATTTTATTGGTTTATCTCGCTTGTTGTGATGCTGTTTTATTTCATCAAGAGCCTAAATAAATTTAAACAAAAAAATATTGAATAACAATTGCAATAGCTTTAAAAATGAATAAAATAATTTATTTATTTATTTAAGGTATTAGCTGAGCTTTTTTATAAAATGCATATTAAAAAAATATTAAATATCGATTAATAAAACATAAAAAAGAAGTTTCAGAGTAATGTATAATTGTAATAAATTAATTACCTTATTTAAGTATTTTATTTGCTTCTTATTATTAATTCTTTATACAAAATTTTTTATTTTATTGACATGCACTAATTGTTATATTTGCTTTTTAAGTTCTTCTTAATCTGTTATTTAGGCACAGTTATTTATAGCAAATTCTTCTTAGGTAATCTTGACATGCTTGATGGCATTTTTAGGTTTTAGATTCTTAGCTGATTTAACCATTTATTCAGTTTTAATTTATTCTTGACGCATCTAAATAGCTTCTATTTCTGATTATTCTCTAGCTTTTGTGACTTTTTATAAGTAAGAGCTGAATTTGTCATCAGCCATGACTCCAGTTGCAATTGAATTTTTCAACATCTGACGATAAATTTCGTCTTCTTTTGTCATTCTTTTATCTAAAAAATAAGTAATCCTCTAATTAGCAATAGAATTGATATATTATTTATGATTATAGTTTTCTATAAGATATGACTAAAGTGGGTTGAATGGATTATAAGCAGAGATATTTCCAAACATTTGCCTATTTCCCTACGAAGATTAAGCTCTTCTCATGTAAAAATTTTAACTTTTTAAAATGAAACTAACTTTGATAATCTATTATATTGCTGAGTTATATTTTTAGCTTTGTTATACCTTTTTAATTAAAATCTATGAACTAATTTAATTTTCAAGCAATGAGTCTATCTATTATCTATTCGAAAGCTATAAAATTATTAACGAGTTGATATTTATTAATCAGCAGTAATAAATAAATAATTTGATTTTAATAAATAATTTATTATTCATATTAAATCTAAAATATTTTCTTTATTAGATTTCATTTTTATGAGGGATATTTTTAGATCTCAAAAATTTTCAATAAAATAATTATAGAAATTTACATTACAATTTGAAGAAATTAAATACTTGTTAATTCTTTCTACCTCCCAAAGTATAGGTTTAAGTGATAAATTAAAATCAAACATTTAATATTTTATAAAAATTTTTCATTGAAATTTAAAAATTGTTAAATATTTAATATTTTTATCTAGTTTAATTAACAAATATATTTGTTTCATATATAAATATTTTGATGACAAACTAAAAATGATTAATGATAAAATCAAAAGATCATTCTTGTTTACTTATTTCTCATCTAAGAATGTTTATTTTTAGTTATCAATTTTATTTAATTTTCAATATTAATTATTTATATTAGATGTCGATTTTATTTAACTTATATTTAAAAATATATTTTATTGTAAAAAAATTTTGCTTTATTCATTAGATTTTTGCTAATATTTTAGGAAATTGTAACTATTTTTCTACTAAATAAAATTATAGTAAAATAAAGCATAATTTGAAAAAGGAAAGTGTTCATCAGGAAAAGGTATAATTGATTGGTTTTAATTGAATAAAAGAAAGTTCTAGTATGATGAAATAGAATTTATAGATAGAGTTTGATTGGTATTTAGATTTATTCATATTGAATAAGATATAATTGATTGCTTAAAATATTAATTAATATAAAAAAGATACATATATAAATACAATAAATTATCTAGGATATTTACAACATTCAAATAAGAATAATTTTCCATAGTAGATATTAAATTTATTTAGTAAGTTATAGCAGATAGATTGCATGAATGAGTAACTTCAGTAGCAACAAGGACAACTCTGAAGAGAGATATAAATAGAAAAAACATAATTTTCATGATCGTAGATTCAATAATAACGATATTAGTTAAAAAAAATCTAAACAAATAGATTATGATGAAGAATTCAATAAGGATTAAAATGTCTAGAAATAGATTTACTATAAATCTTCAGGACTTACTAATTTTATGATTCTAGACGAGATAAAGAAGGATGTTCGCTTTCCTACAAATAAAATAAATGTAGAGTTCAGAAATATTTATCTAAATAGCATTATGCGCTAGTTTTTTGCCTCCGATTTAGAATAAAAATCTCCTACTATGCAAGACTTCGCTTTTAATTTTCAAAACATGTTTTTCACCAAATTGCTGTATAGTGGAATGTTTAAGAACGTTTATTGTGGCTACGATCTAGACCATTTTGGTGTGCTCAACCTCAGATTTAATACTGATATTCAAGATTCATATAGACTTAGGATAGTTAGAACTTAGAGATCTAAAAATCATAGATTCGTTTCATTAGGAGGAGATGCTGAGCTAAATGGTGTATTTGGTTTTTGTGAGAAAATTTCTTATAACGCAGATGTGGCTCTCTTTTTTGATAATTAATTCAGACACTTTTCAAAATATGAAATTTCTTTGCCTTTTATTGGCGATTTAGGTGCTTTAAGAGCAAACACTAGTGTGATGAAAAGAAAGGTTGATGATAGCTTGCAATATAAAAGGAGAAGAAGAAAATTTATTTTTTATCCTAACGAGTGGTAAAATACTTGTTTTAGTTACAGCCATAATTCCCTCACATATTCAGTCTTTGAGCCATTTAACAATGAAACTTAAAGGCTTTACTTCTTAAGCATGGATTATGGTATCAACAAGCTTTTTAGAAACAAGTATGCAAGATCATTTTTCAACTAAATTAATGATGCAGCTTTCTTACATAACAAACTACTTTAGAAAGAATATCAATCATAGCATGAAGTTAAAATTAATTACTAAATACCTGAGCAACGTTTTTAAATAAGGCCTGGTACCATGCTGAAATATTCATATTTTCTGCATAACAAATTATTCATAGGCAACAATTTAGGCTTTAAATCATCTTTTAAATCGAAAATTACCTATTTTGCAAAGAAAAAATTTTTACTCACCTCATAAATTGAAACTGGAATGTTAACTTCTTTTGAGTTGGAGGATAGTTTATAAAGCAGGACCTCTCTGGAAGGAGGAAGTAGTGGAGAAACAGCTAATTTACACTCAACTTTAGAATAAAGTTTAGGCTTTCCAGCTATTAATTACGATTGTAATAGCTTTTATCTTTAAAATGTACCAGGCTATTATTAAGCGTATAGAGATAATAAGAACATGAACTTCTATTTTGCTATAAAAAACAAACTCTATTTAAGAAAATTTAACTTCTTTGGATTTAAGCCTTTCATGCATGCAAATTTTTATTATGCAAATTAACCTTCAATACCAATAATAAACTGTGGGCTAGGTTTCACACGCCACTTTAATTTAATTGATTCTAAAATTGATTTCCTCATCAATTCACCCAATTTATTAAATTTAAATTAGCAAGATGATAAAGAATTTAGTAAATTTTAAATAATATTAAATCCTTGAATAATTTAAAATTAAACATAAACTTGTTTGTTTCGTTTGTATATATATATCCTATTTTAGTTATTTACTAATAAAAAAAGTTTTTATATACTGAATAAAGCAAACATTTTAAAAAAGCACAAAAAACCTTTAAAAAATTATTTTTTTTATAAAAAAGACAGAAAGAAAAAATTATTAGATTTTTTTATTATTTTCTAAAAAAATAGGTTTTTAAAATGAATATTAAAAATATTTACTTAAAGTTTGAAATCAAATATAAAACAAACAATGATTATATTAATTAACTTGAATTAAAAAATAATATATTAGTAAATAAGATATTTTAATTGTTAGAATGAAAAATTTAATTAGTAAATTTATAATAATAAGAATTTTGTGTAAATTAACTAAGTATAGAATATAGAGTGAGTAATTAATTTTAAATAAAATAGATATTTATTTAAATTTTTAAATTATATTTATATAACTATTTATATATTTTTTTAATGGCAACTTTACTTGTTGATAAAGGCAAAGTAAGTAAGTAAGTAAATCGATTAGGAGCTAAGCTAACTAACTAACTAACATTTTAAATATTGTTTTTAAGTAAATTAAATGTGCGTCATATCTATTTTATAGTTATTATATGATTTTAAAAATGAATTTAAAATATATGATAAAACTATATTAAATATATATCAATGTGTATGAATATTCGTTCTAATCTCATTGCAACTAAAAAATTTTTATTTAATTTTGTCAAAATTTGTTTAAAAAAATAAAAAAACTAATCAGCTTACATCCATTATTTTTTTAAGGAGGAATAATGTCATTGAATCTTATAATTTATTAATTAAAAAATATTTGATATTGAGGTTCATTCATCATGAATAAATTTAAAAATTATTAATATGCAAATAAATAAATACCTTCTGTCAATCTTCTGTAAGGCACAAGTTGGATCGCCTTCTTAATAATCAAATATTCTGTTTTAAGTTTATTTAGATAGAAAGCTATTACTATGAAGAAAGTTAGGACATAAACTAAGCATCCAAGACAAAGAAGCAATAAAAGAGTATTTAAGTAGCTATCTTTTATGCTTGTATTTTAGTTTTCAAATTAAACAACTATATATGTCAACAAATTTGTCAAGAGTTGCTATACTATAATTCCATCTTAGTATTCTTAACTTTGAATAAATAAACCAAAATTGCTATCTATGTTCATTTCGTTCTAGATTTTTTAGGTTATTGTTGAGATAGTAGGCTGAAGACCTTATGTAAGAATCCCTTAAAGGGCCGACTTGCAATAATCTATATATTTTTAGTCTAATATATTCTATGCACAGATATTTCCTTAACTTATCTGGACAATAGCAGTTTAGAATGTACTTGTAGCTCCTTATTATTATAATTAAATGAACTATTAAGAAAAGTATTGCTGACTTGATTAAAGCGATTGTGCTCTTAGCTCAATCAGTTCATTAAGCTTCTACTCTGTTAAATACGTTATTTTGTTTTCCTTTAGTAGATTATTAATCAAGATAGAATTATGGCTACTTGAAGCAGTTGTAAATTGCATAGAACCAGATATAAAATCTTTATATTAGTTAGCAGGAGTACCAAAAATATTCTGGAATTGATTCAAGTATATGAAAATCTATTTATTTTTATTTTAAAGAATTAATTAATTTTGTACTAATTTAATATATATTTTTTTTCTGTTTAAAATTAATAACCCGAAATTCTATTAATAAAAATATAAGATTTGCTTTTTAATAAAAGGATGGATTGAAGATAGATCAAAGATTTTAAACTTAAAATTATTGAAATATTGTTGATATTTTTTGTTGAAGCACTTAATAATTAATTAAAAAATAAAAATAATGAATTGATTTACTATCAAGAAAAATAAAACTGAAAGTAGGCAAAAGAAGACCAAAATGATAACAAAAGACCAAAACTGCAGCTTATTGTCAGATATTCTGTCATAGAGGTAGTTCTATCTCTACTTATTTTTCTTTCTGCTGTTTCTCTGTGATTGCTCTAATTCGTTTTCTTCTCTCAAAGAAAAGTTCGAAAAATCGACATGAAGATAATCATCATTATCTGAAAAAAGTTTAACCTGAATCCCCTTTAAGTGGAAAATAATATCACTTGTTTCTTCCTGTTTTAATCTGCTAACTATCATCAAAATTCTTTCAGATTTAAACTTCAGGTTATTATAAGATGGAATGATAAACCCAAAGGAGAGAATGATTAGGACTATAGCTAAAACTATACTATAAGTATTCACAATAATGATGCTGGATTAAAGGCTAACTAAATCATCACTAATGCTTTGCATAGACGTTAGAAGAAATGATTGAGTACTGTTCAGATTATTTACTAAAAGATATTTTTCTTCAGCAAACACAGTAATCAATTCTAGTAATAATATATTTTTAAATTAATTAAGAGTGGTTTATGATAAAATAAATTAATTACTTTGATAATCATCTCTGTTTATATTGTATAAGGTAGTTCCTACTAACTTTAAAAATTCTGTAAAGTATTAATTAGAAATAATTTGCTTATCAAACGATACTAAATATGCTTGTATCATCATTTAAAAAACAATTCTTTAATACTGATATTAAACTTGCTGGTCTAAAAAGCTAAATAGATTATCTGAATATTGCAAATATCCTGTCTTTGTAACTTACTCCATCAAATTCATGTATTGAGAGGAAGGAATTGGATTAAGCATCTGCATATTATCAAGTGAGGTTATATCCGATGTTATCATAGCTTGATTTATAGGAATAAGCATTTTCGAAGAGCTTTTTTGTTATTTTAAAATTTTATTATTTATTTATTTTTTTAAAAATAGATTAAAAATCTTGAAATATAATTTTTGTTTGTTTGTTTGTTTGTTTTTACCTTCCCATCCTGTTTAGAGCTAATATTTTAAAAAAGAAATATTATTAAGAAATTATTTACTATTAATCCTCGTTGATTAACAATGGTAAAAAATTTTATTTTTTAAAGTGCCTATTTTAGGCATTTTTCATATTTTATATAATATTTTTTGAAGTTAGCTCAACTTAGAAGTTAGCTGGTAAATTTGTATGAAATAAATAAATAAGAATAAATATATTTTTTAAATAAATAATATAAATTTATCAAAAATTTAGTAAAAAAAGAATTCTGAATATAATTGAGTTGAATTAAGAAGGTTTTATTTAATAAAACTTAAAAATACCTTAAGTATAGCTATTGAAACTATTAGAAATAGTAACTGAAAGCACTACTACTACAGTGATAAAGACGAAAAATTAGAAGATGAATACAGCATATAGGATGAGAAAGAATGGTGGTGTGCTTTTACTTGTGGTGTTGTCTACAATATGCTTGACTATACTGGAAGATGAAGACTAAACAGAAGATTATGATGCTTGCTCGTAAATTTACATGTTGTTTTTACCCATTTACCTAATTATATCATTTCCTTCTTCTTTTTTTGGGTCATCAAATACAGAAATAGACTACTTACCCTAATTCTTAGAGTCGTTCTAAGAGCTCTCATCATCTTTTTTTTATTAACTTTCTTTCATATTCTATTCATCTTGCACTGATAATAGACCATTTTCTTGAGTTTCCTTAGTTATTAAATTACTTTGTTAAGCATTAGTAGAATCTTCTGCCTTATCTTTGATAACTTTTGTTTAATGTAAAGATTTAAATAACTCCTTATCATCTTCGTTGTTATGAGTAGTCATCATCATCAGAGTATTATTAATTTAATTTGTTTCAAATAATTATTCATCGAATTTTTTATTTTCTAAAATAGGCATGTTTGACTCATCTAAATTTTAGTAATTCTAAAGTTGAGGTTACATTTATTAAGATTTAGCATGAGGGTTTTTTTTATCAAAGTTATCACAACTATCAATTTATGAACTTTTTATAGGTTAAAAGGCAGTGTCTTACTTTGATTATAAATTCATACATGTACTCTTTATTAAGTTCCCTTCTTATTCATTATGTTCATGGAAGCTACTATCGTGTTTTCCTATGAGCTAATTTTCTATTGTTTACATTTAAAAGATCTGCTTATTTTACTTTCCTTCTATTTTTGCTATAAATTTTAAAAGTTAATTTAATTAGTAAGAAAACAAACATAAAATAAATTAATAAATAAAATTTTATATATAGCTCTTATACTTCTTTCGCTTGCCATATTTTTATAAGATTACTTAGATCTTCCTCCTGTACTATTTGAAAATTCTGAAGCAAGCAGATCCTCCCAATTAACGTATTACTAAATTTCCAATATGTAAAGAAGAACATCTTCGCCATTGTCCTAAAACAACTCATGTCTTACATTCAAAGTTAGTTCATAGCTACATAGCTTGTGAGCAACTCTAGTATTTAAAAAGGAAGAAACATTATTCTTCCAATCAGCATTATTTTTACTCTATTTTTTTGTTAAATCTGCATGCTCACTGCGAGAAGAACTCATTTTACCTTTTTCAGATGTGAACTACGAATTGTAATAATTAGAGTGGTGTAGAATAAATGTCTAAATTAATTTATTCATATCTAACAATTAAATTATTTATAAAAAATAAATATCTTATACAAATAAATTTTCAATAAAATTAAATTTTTTTGATGTTTAAATTTTTTTTTTATAATTCAAAATTTTTTCTTAAAAAATAATTATTTATTTTTCTGTTTTAATATATTTATTTATTTAATTTAAATTATTGAAAATATAAATATCTTTTATCTTGCCAAAAATTATGGCATATCATATATTTTTTTATTTAAAGATAAAGGATTATTGTTATTTAGCAACTGTATTATAAAGAGCATTATCAAATAATTAATTACCTTTGGGAACATCTAGTTTGAATTTAAGAAAAGAGTACTCCTCTTTAATGTTAAATTCTCCCATAAATTCAACGAATTAAGGAATGAGAGCTGAGATATTGAGCTTTTTGAAATAAACACTATCTACTTCTTCTCCATTAATTAATTATGCAAAGTTTTAACTCATTCCTTCAATATAGCCATTCGAATTCAATAATACATTCATTTCATTTGAAGGACAGTTAATCACTAAGGAACTAAAAGCAAAATCATCTTACTTGATGAAGTAAAAGTTAATAAATAGTTTAACTCTAAATATATAACCATATTTATCTTTGGCAAACATAGTCCTATAATTTCTAACGGTTTTAGCGACACCTGTAGTGATAAGTCTCATTAAAAACTAATCATGAAGTCTTCCAATGCAGTTTGGAATTAAATCAGTAACGCTTTCCTTTTATTCAAAAAAAAATATATGTTTTAGTTATAACTTTCTTTTAGAAGAAATAATAATAACATTTTCAATAATTATCAATAGAAAAATAAAAATAAAAAGTTGAACAATCAAATCAGTAAGAAAATAAATATCCAATTACTTTTGTTTAGAATTCTCCTTTTTCATACTTAAAGATTTATGGAATTTTTTCAGAAAACTTTAAGATTTTACCATTTTCCTTAACATTTTTAAAGCTGGCAATGATGCTTCCAACATTGCCTTATAAAATACTTAGGCTTGTTATGGTAGTAGTTTGATCAATTGATCTTTCTTTGTTGATAACTTCCTCAACGGCTGCTTCTGTGTCTCTACAGTTGATAGGATCAAATAATATGTAAGCTTTCAACAAAGAGTTGAATTTTAAAAAGTATAAATTAGTTTTGTTTTAATTTATTTATTCAGCCAAGCGCTTTTCAAAATATTCAACTAAAAGTAAAAAACTAACTGTTTTTTAGCGCATTTCTTCAAGTGATTTAAATCCTTTAATCATTTAATCCATATAATTAGATTTTTCTACAATCACGTTTCCTGTATTTGTAAAATGTTTAATTAAAATTGTTAATAATCATTATATCTACCAAGTATTCTTTTTAGCCTGTCTTTCTGTGTTTCTGATTGTACCATTTTGTCAAATTTAAGATTGTTTGAGGCATCTTATCTATCTTTCTAACTAATAGAGCAATTAATTTTCAAATTAATTATAATAACAAATTTAATAAACTATTTACCTGTATGAATAAAAATGCGCTTTATCTTTTTCCTTGATTTTGCTTTCAATTAAATTTGTCAAGCTTCTTTCAACTGTTTAGAAGAAACTGTCTTTTCTTTTGAGGACTTAATTCATGACTTTATTCTAGTAAAGTGCTTTTATTTGATTTTTCTTAAACTTGATCAAGAAGAACCAATACCTCAAACACACCTCCTAAATTCAATAACAAGAATTAAATAAAATTAAAATTTCAATCTATAGCAAATAAATAAAGAAAATTCAAGCAAGCAAATACCTAAACTATTATTTCCTAGCCCTTCTTAACTAAATGGCTAATTAAAATCTCAAACTGATAGTCTACAAAAAGCATAAACCACTTTTCAAAGATAGCTAAATCATCACAAATTCTAGCAAAGTCTACTCCTTTAATCTTAATGTCCTTTCCCAAATCTATGATCATTCCTCCTGATATTGTTGGCTTTTCTTTACCTATAAAGTAATAAATTGATTGCAATATTTTTATATATTCCTCTCAATAAAAAAATAAATACCTGCTAATTCGTTAAATTAGACATCTTTGCAAGGACATTTAGTATCTCTACAGTTGTTTTTATGAAGTTGAAGTGACCCAAAGAGAGTGAGTTTACATGAAAGATCAGTGATTGACTAATCAAAAAGTTAGCATAGCTTTTCAAGATACAAGCAAGTAGATTAAGGGAAATCTTTAGAATATTTAATTTTATAAAAAAATTGTTTATGCTTACTTTATTTGATTTTATCAAAGAAAAAAGACATATTTTAAATTTAAAAATGGCATACCTCCTAACCTGTTGGGATCTACTGTCATAGCAAAAATAATTTTATTATTCCAAAATGCTTTTAAAACACCATAGAATATTGAAATGATAACCAAGAAAGTAAATGGAAAGTTTTGATCTTTTATGCTTGATGTGTATTCTCTAAAGAGCACCATAGAAGCGAATATTTAATACACAATTACCATCCATCCATAAATGTCAGAAATATTTTTATCCATCAAGGGGAAATGATAAAAATACTCAACCAATAAGAAAATACCAAAGATCTAGCCAACCGCAAATACCAAGCCTGTGCTATTTGTATACGTGGTTATAACTAATCCAATTTCTAGCAATGGCTCAATCTACTTAAATTAGCTGTATCTGGATTTTAGTTAATTAACACTGCTAAGTTCTTTGTTTTAAAGAATATTTTTTTGAGAAATATGATAATTATCAAATCAAATAATCTAAGATATATTTTTATTATTATTTGAGTTAATTAAAAATGATCATTCTTCGTTTTAAGAATATTTTTTTTGAGAAATATGATAAATGTCTAATTATCAAATCAAATTTTCAAAGATATAATTTTTTTTTTCATATTCAACATTTAGAAAAAAAATAAATATTTTTTTTAAATAATTTAAAATAGAATTTCATACAAATTTATTTTTGAATCAAAAATAATTATTTCATGATAAAAGAAAGACTTGCAAAACTAAATTGGTTAGTTAGTTATTTAATTAATTAAATAGTCTGTTACCTGGGTTATGATAAATAAGAACTATTATTAGGTTTAGCATAATAGTTGTTAGAAGCAAAATAATTGCACATCCTATGTTAAAGTAGTAAATCAGTAAATTATCATTCTAATTAACTAGAGATTAGACACATCTTGAAGATCCATTGGTTTGATCGCAAAATAAAACACCAAAAATTAAGTCTAGCTTAGGCAAGCAGTAAAGCCATTTTTAATGCTCAAAGTAAAGCTAAATAGTGCCTATTTGGTAGGCTTAGGTTTTCAAAATATCAACGTCATCTATAATAATTATTCATAAAAAATTAATAATCAAGAGCTGATGGGTGATTGATTGATTGATTTATCTCTCATTGATTAATTTAATTAAGAAAATTAAATCTAAAAGAAAATAAATAAGTAAAGTAAGTCTAAGTAAGTAAATCAATTAATAGGCGAACTAACTAGTAGATAAATAGACTTTTATCTAATTTTTATGATATAACTTTATAATTATATTCTATTTTTAATTGACTTTCACTTATTAAGTTAGAATGTTCTTTATTACGCGTCTTTTATTAAAATTATTCACTTTTTTGTCTACATTTTTCATAAAAATTTAAACTTCTACATTTTAATAAATTGAACAACGAGCAAGCTTTAAATGAATAAGTAAGAAAGGTATACCTTTAATATTTGCAAAGCTCAAATTTAAATTATAAAAAATCAACGTCAATTCATATGAGCATAAAACGAGTAATACGATTGCAATTACTACGCCTGAATTAATGCTCTTGAGAAGGTATGTTACCCTAACTGATTGGCAATATTAAAAGATATAATTTAAATAGTCGTCTGTGACTTATACTTTAGATACTGAGATAATCAAACCAGCAATCTAAGAAAAGTAGAAAGTAACCAAGCCAACATAGTAAATTCTCATTCTATTTCTTTCACTGTCCTTTAGGAACATTAAAAGAAATAAATTAGAAAGTGCTTCATACAGTATGTCCTATGTAGACCTCTTTTTCTCAATCTCTCTTAAGTTTTTCATTCAAATATCTATAAAAAAGAGTGAATTTAAAGCATAAATAATATTCATTTTACATTAAAATGTTTTAAAAAATCAATTAATTTATTCAAATTTTATATAAATATCTTATATTACTCACTTCTACAGCTCAATAATCTGATAGAACTTTTTTGTTGCTCTTTTATAGCACCTTTTTTATTACTCCTACTATACTTTTTTTCAAATAGAACTTTTAATTTGTTTATTTGTATTAAGTTAGTTTTCTTATTATCAAATTATTCGCTATTTATTTTAAAATTCCTACTTCTCTCTCTAATAACAAAAAAAAAAATTTCTTTTGCTTTTTATCAACTGGATGATAGGAATTAAGCTTTCAACATTTCTATGAATTTGTTTTTATAACAACTCAATAATTATAGTATTATAAACAAACGAAAAATAAATTTTCTTTCATTTTAATTTTTGATTAATTAGACTTATAGCTAACTCTAGTTTTAATATTTAAATTCAAAATTATTTTTATTTAAAATTTTTTTTTCAATATTTTACAGAAATAAATGTTATTTTATACATATTTCTATAATTAATTAAGAAAAAAAAAAAATTTAAATTTGCAAGAAATTAATAAAGCCAAGCCAAATTAAAAAAATATTTTCACATAAGTCAAAATTTTTTAGGTCTATCCATCCCCTACTATTTATAAATAAATAAATACTGTTCCATATTCATTTTCTTTTTTATTAGTTGAACAAAAGTATTTTATAAAAATGATTAATGCTTAACAAAAGTAATAATTAATATTTTTTTTTACTTTCATTTATAATTCTTAATATCTTATTTTTTGTTATCATTTTATAAATATTTTATCTTTGTTTATTTTTTATCTGATTTATTTTATTTAAAATATCATATTTTAATTTTTTGTTTTAGAAATAAGTTTTTAAAAAATGTTAGCTAGTATAGAGCAATTTTGAATATATTAGCACAGTTTTTTAACAAAATATAATAGATTGAGGTTATAAATGTAAGTATTATGATTATAATAACCCCTTTATTTATATTTAATTATAATAAAAAGTTAGATTTGATTTGGTTTTGTTTTGTTTTTATTTTCATTATGATTGCATGAAGGAAACCTATTGAGCTGGGTAGTCTTTTAAATATTTAAGACATCTAGCTATTTGCTCTGAATCTAGAATTCCATTGTCTTACATAGTAAAAAGATGAATTACGAATTAAGGATGAAGATTAATTAGTTCTTGTATATTTTCATCCATAAATTGTTGTATATATCCGTACATATCAGATCTTTTAATAGGGATTTTTTCTTTTATTTTTTATTTTTCTAGTTTAATAAAGAATTCATTCCATAAGAAAGTAAATTTTTTATCTTTTGGAGTCATGTCATAAACATCTTACATATTTCTCTTATGTATTTGAGTTACCAGTCCTTCTTCTTAAACTTCATCATCTGAATCTTCAAATAAATCATTCAAATGTTTACGTGTAAAAATGTTAGCTTAATTAAAAATTTATTTATCAGAGAAGCAGCCTTTGATATCATCTCTTGTGAAAACTATATCCCCTAGCTACCATGTTTATTATTATTATTCATTTAGAGGTCTACTCTACTTTAAATTAACTGTTGCTTATGAGTCTTAGCTCATTTAACTTTATATCTCCTTGCTTTTTTTATTTTAAAGAGACTCATTGAAATTTGAAAAATCCTGAGGTAGCTGAGAAGAAAGTTAAGAATTGTCACTTTACTATCTTTTCGTCTATTTAGTTGCTAAATTTGGTTTATTTTCATTTTAACCTTTGCCTATGTTAGGTGTCTGTGCAATCTATTTTGTTTTTTAATCATCCTGCTATGAATTGTATAAATACTTTTATAGCAGTTGCTCTGTCCTATCAGGTATTAGAGTAATTTACGAGTATTAATACTCGTAGTCCATTTAATTACTTTGTTGGCTTTAGTCCATTTTAATTAATTAATTATCTATCTTTATCTATCTATAGATGCTTATTTAGTTTAATTTAATTAACTTCAAGTTTTCTTTAAAAACCGCGCTAAATAAATAAGTATTTATTAATTAATTACAAGCTTTTTTAATATTAAAATTAAATATCAGATTTTTGATTTTAAATGCTTTAAAATGATTTTTACAAAAAAAAAAAAATATATATGTAAGCAGGAATACAGATTTGATTTAAATATTTGTTTAAAAGTTTAATTCCTGAACTCATAAATGACATATGATTTAGCATTTTTAAGTTTTTTAGCTAAGGGAACTGGTGTTTAGCAATTTACTATATAAATGTTATTATTAATAATTAAACTAAATAAATTTGAGGTTTTTAAATAAAATATTAAAATAAATGGTTTATTTATGCTTTGAATTCTGAATACATTTAATAATTTGCTGATGAAAATAGGTATAATTAATCAATAAAACAGTAAATAATAACTATAATATTTATATCTATACTTAAATTATGAAATAAAAGTAAATTTCAACATAATATTCAACAAATAATAAAAATTATTTGATTTTTAATTGAAATAAAAGTTAGATTTTATTCAAATTTATTAAGTTAAAAAATTTATTTTAATAATGTTATTTATTAAATTATATTTTAAATTATTTCGTTTGGTTGGATGTTAAGAAATAGATAAATAAATAAGTGAAATATTTATTTTTTAAAGATGCAAAATTTATACTAAATACAAACATATGTAAAAACTTAAAAATATTATTAGTACTTACATTATTTCTATTTAAATTTTCATCAGAAAATGAAAGCTAAGATAGCTGCAAGAAAATAAAATACAATAATGCTTGAAGAAAGACATGAAACTACTCCATCGATTTGTTTTTGAACTTAAGAATTGTCAGATTTACAAGTAGATTTTACTTTGTCTGCTAATTCCTTAAAAGTAGGGTATTAACCTACTGCTTTAAAACATGTAGTGACTTTATTTAGCTCAGTTTTACATGCAGTATCTGAATCTTAGCAAGGATTAGGTAAGCTTTTAATACAAGCATCTTTATCAGCTATTTCTTAGTCACTGATAGCATTTACAGAACATAGTAATAAAAGACCAGCAATGCAAATTAATAAGACTTTCATTTTAAAAGATTCGAAATGTTTATTTTTTTAGTTTATTTTTTGTTTGTTTGTTTATTTATTTAAAATTTATTATATTGGCTAATACCTTTGTTTGAACTTAATAAAAGTTTAGGTTTTTCTAATTTAGAGATGAATCAAATTATAAATTTGTCAATATGTAAAAAAATGTTAAGTAAATTAATTGTAAATCTTCTCGAATTAAAAATTAAGAAGTAAATTAAAATTTGTAAATTGCTAGAAGTAAATAATTCAAAATAAAAAATAGAAAAATTAAAGACTTTTACAATTTTAAATTATGATCAATAATAATATATTTGAACTCTAATTAGTGGATTAATAGAATTATAAGTTTACCAATTAGTAAAATATGTTTAGTAATTTAATTGTAAATCTTCTCGAATTAAAACTTTAGAAGTTAATTAAATTTGTAAACTTCTAGAAATTAATGATTAAAAATATAAATTAGAAATATTTAAAGACATTGACAATTTTAAATTATGAACAATAAAAATAATATTAACAATTTGTATTATTGAAAATTTATTTGAGCTTTCATAATACTCAAAAAACCATGTTATCTTTTATAGATAAATAAATATTATTTAAACTAAAAGTAATTGTAAATTTAATGATAGAAATATTATTTATATTTGCCAGATTTTAATAGTCTTATTTAGTTTACTTTAATTAAAGTATAATACTTATTAATTACGAGTATTTATATACCTTCTGCCTTCCAAAGATAATATACATAGAGTAGGTTGCATGATTTTTTGCTTATTGTTTAACTGAATTTATATTTAATAAAATTGGAAAAATGGTAGATGATTTATAAAGTGGATTTACGGTATTTAATATTTGAATGACTAACGGAATAAATATCTTTAATGAATAATTAATTTTAAATTATAGTAATAAAATAATTTGATTCTCATAGAATTTTTATTTACAGTTTTATATAAGATGCTTTTACTATTTAGGAAATAAAAAACTTTAATATTAAGAAATTTTTCTGATTAATTCTTTTGGATCATTTAAACATTTTTCTTTTAATTTTCTTTTTGTCTATTCTACTTTTTGTAAAAATAAATAAATAAATAATTTATAAATTCAATTGATTTCTTAAAAGTAATATGTGGTAGCTCTTTTATTTTTATTTATTCATTTTGTATTAAAATATTTTGAACCTAGATAATAATAATATTTTACAGGTAATTAATTAGCTTATTAATTTATTTATTTTATCTATCTTATTTTAGTTTTGTGTTATATTCTTACTTATTTTTTTTTCGAATGTATTATAAAAAGTAATAAAATAAATTCTTAATATAGATATTATATAATTTATTATTTAAAGATATGATGTTTTGTTTTTCATACCAAGAAAATTAAAATTTATTTATCATAATATGAAATAAATAAAATAGTTTGGGCAAGTTTAAGTTTGATTTCAAAATAATAATCTAACTAAAATAATTAATCTTACATAATGTTTTTGATTATATCATTTGCCATAAACTATTGATTAGGTAATAAAAATTAAAGAATTTATTTGTAAGATATGTTGTTTGCTTCATTAATATATCAAAGCAAATTGTTCAGAAATTTTGTAAGCAATATGATATCTTGAAAAATATAAATTTCATTTATCAGCTCAAAAATCATTATTAGCTAAATAATCTAATTAGATCCTTAGCTTACTATCAGTTCTAAGCATTATAATTTCAAAACTAAAAAAAATTTTCTTGGGTAAATACATTCATTTTGTAAATTATGAGGTTAAATAAATAAGTAAGATTGGATAAAACATCAAAAATTTTTCACATAATTTTTATATATTTCCTTTAAGTTAAATGTTTGCTCAAATTATCGCATTTAGTAAAAACATGGACTTTATACCAATTTTTTTTGATTAGTAGAAGCTTACTAATAGGATATTTTCACTCTTCAATATAATTTATTTTTATAACTAATTGTAAATCCATTCATTTTAATTAAAGAAAAAATAAAATTTAAAAATATAAAAATATTAATATTATTTGTACATTATTTTAAATTTTTCTTATTTAGATATTAGTGATAAAAATTAAATATTAGATTTATAATTATAACATCAACAAAAATTATTTAAAGATCAGAAAATAAGAAAATAAAGAAATGCATTAATTGCCGCAATATGCTGAAATGTCTGAACAAGAAGAAAGGAAATAATTAAATTTTATGAAAATTAATTAATATTGTTACTAATATGAAGATTTAATTTAAAAGGAAGTAAATGGAATTTATACCAATTTATTTTTATAAATAATTGCTTACTAAGAGGATATTTTCACTCTATAATATAATTTTTTTATGATTAATTATAAATTCATTCATTCTATCTAATGAACAAATTTTAAAAATATAAAAATATTAATATTATTTGTTCATTCATCTTTTGAACTTTTTTTTATTTAGATATCAGTGAAGAAAATTAAATATTTTATATATAATTATAAAATAAACAAAAATTTTTAAAGATCAGAGAATAGGAAAATAAAGAAAATAAAGAAATTGCCTAAATATTCTGAAATGTCGGAACAAGAAGAATAAAAAAGGAAATAATTACATTTTCAGAAAACTCATTAATACTGTTACCAGTATTTAGATTTAATATAACAGGAAGTAAATCATCTCTATTAAATCATATAATTCCCATTGAAGGAAGAAAAAATTGAAACTAATATTGAATAGATTATTTAAAGTGCTCTATTTTGCATGAAATAGTTTATGTCAGCTATATAATACACATAATACTTATTTGAAGATGAAAACAAGAATATAGAATCGAAAAGTTTCTATTTTTTAGATTTTGAAGAATTTTTTGAAAGAAATAGTAATTCTTTTATTACCACTTTCAGTTAAGAGCTTCTCAAATACCAAAAATTAAAAAAAGAAGATGGTATTTCAAAAAATGACTTTCAGAATTTACTTATATTTTTTAAGGTTATAATTCAAGAAAATTATGGTTAAATGTCATAACGTTAAGGATTTCATCACAATTATAAAGAGTTAATAGAAAATGTAAAAGCCATTTAAAATGAATTTTTTAATAATGATGAAGAAACTTCATAAAAGATTAAACAATTGATTGATTATCAATAAATAATTGAAAATTATGATAAAGAAGAAGAAAGAATAAATAAATAGAATGAAATTGAAAGAGCATAGCATTAATTGATTTTTTGGGCAAAAATGATAAATGATAATTCTAAAGGTGATGAATTATAATTGAGGCAATTTTTTAATTAATTGGAAGAAATATTTTAATTAAAAATTTAAAGTTAAAATGGCTAAGATCATTAAGTCAATATAGAATTGAGAAGTGAACATATGGAAGGTATCACAATTTCCCACGAAAGAGATATTGAATAAAATAAAGAAAAGATATAAAATGAAAAGATAATTGATGAAATTGATGAAATAATTATTGATGAATAATAATGAAGAAGAATATTCTTGATTTGCAAAAAAGTGAGCTCTATTTAAAGCAAGGAAAAATTTAAATTAATTAAGGAAATTATTTCACAGCATTTAAGTTTATTTTTTAAATTAGAATTATATTAAAGTTTTTTTATATTTCATGTTTTGCAATAGATCAATTCTTTCACACTTATTTTAAAATAATTCAATCTTTTTTATTCTTTCTATTTCCAATTTTATTTCAAATAAACTAATTATTTAATTATTCTTAAGTAAATAGAATTGATTTTTAAATATAATATACAGTCATAATATGATAAATAATATTTTACAAAAATAAATAAGAATCAAATATTTCAAGATTAATTTTAAATTTAAATTGTATGATTTACGAAATACAACAACATAAAATATAATATATAAAATATAAATTTTTTTAGTATTATTTATTTTTTTAAACTAGAAACAATAAATAAATTTTTATAAATTATCTATAAAAAGCTTTAAATTTTATTGTTTATCATTTAATTGATTTTGCATTTTAATAAATAAAACAAAAATAGAATAAATGTCTATATAAATTATAAAAAACAAAATGATTAATCTCTATTCTTATTTAAACATTTGATTATGTTTAAAGATTAAGATTTATTTATTATTTAATTTAAAATACAATGTTTATGATTTATTTATTTATGATTTAATTTTAAAATATTATTTAGAATTTAATTTTACATATTATTTAAGATTTAATACAATACTTGTATTTATTTATGGTTAGATTTTAATTAAAATTTAAAAAATGACATACAGTTAGTTATCCAGATTATTGTTTGTCATGTTATTTTGTGTAAAAGGAAGATTTATCTATAATTATTAAAAATTATATGATTTATCTATATTAATTTAATCAACTAATAAATATATATTTATACTAATCAAGTGTTATTTTTTGAGATTTTTTATCTTTTTCAAAATATTGTTTGCATTTTGATAATGTATTTATTTACAATTTTTAAAAAAATTTATTGTTTTAGCATCATTTGTTATAAACAGAAATCTAATTACCAATAAAAATAAGATAAATATCTTTATTAATCTTTCTTTTATTTCCTATTCTAACTTATCACAATATTTATCAATTTATTTTTAAATATATCATCATTCTTTTTCAAAGAATTGATACTATTTAATTTATACTTTATTATTAATAATCTCATTTTAGTCATCTTATTTTTTACATTCTTATTTACAAGTTTTACATTTATTTTAGTTAAAAGTATGTTAATTATAACAATCTTAACACTATTAAATACTTTAAAATTATTTATTTCCATTTAAACATATTCTTTCTATCAAATTAAATCAAATATTTAATTTATTAACAATTTTTACATTTTTTTATTATATAATAAACAAAAAGAAGCTTGTATAAAAAACTTATAAAAAGAGTTTAACAATAAATGTTAAATTGATTTTTCTCAGTCTGGTTGGTAAAATATGAAAACTATGACAAATAAGTTGTCAATAGGCTTTCTTTCTTCAAATATTTTTGATTTATTTTAAGATTTAATAAAGAATTTAGAAAAATATTTAGAAAAATAATAACAAATAAGATATCCTTATGATGATTAATTTTAAATTGAAATATAAGATATTTTATTTGATGATTTAATAATTGAATAAATTAGTGAATACATGTAATAATGAATATTTAATGTGATTATTAGTATTTACATGAATAATTTTTTAAAAATTTATACTTTTTTTTTTGTAAAATTTATAAATATTCAGAAAATATGGTGAAAATTTATGCTGGTGAGAATTAATGAGGATTTACGGTATTTATTTTATAAGTCCATCTTTTGAACTTTTTCTTATTTAGATATTAGTGAGGAAAATTTAATATAATATAATTATAAAATAAACAAAGATTTTTAAAGATCAGAGAATAAGAAAATAAAAAAATTCATTCATCGCCTCATCATTTTAACATTGAGGAAAATTAAATATTATATTATTATAAAATAAACAAAGATTATTAAAGATCAGAGAATAAAAAAATAAAAAATTGCATTAATTACAGCAAAAGGTGAAATGTTGCAATATGAAATGTCGGAGGAAGATGAAATAATGTCGGAAGATGAAAAAAGGAAATATGAAAATATTATGGAAATGGCTGTTTATTGTTTGAAATTTTAAGGATAAATTTAATAGGAACTAAATCAACTATGTAAAATCATTGAATTCCCATTGAATGAGGATAATATTGAAACTAATATTGAAGAAATCATTTAAATAACTCTCAATTGCATGAATGAGTTTATGCAAGCTGTAAATTGCACATAATACTAATTTGAAGATGAAAACACGAATATAAAATCAAAATAAATATATTTTCGTAATTTCGTAGATTATTTTGAAAGAGATAGTAACTCTTTTATCACCATTTTCAGTTAAGCTCTTTACAAATACCAAAAACTAAAAAATGAAGAAGGTATTTCAAAAAAGGACTTTCAGAATTTACTTATATTTTTTAAGATTATAATTCAATATAAATATGATTAAATGAGATCACATTAAAATTTTAACCACAATTATAAAGGGCTAACAGAAAATTTAAAAAACATTAAAAATCAATTTTTTTAAAATGATGAAGAAATTTCATAAAAGATTGATGAATTGATTGATTTATAATAAATAATAGAAAATGAAGATAAAAAACAAGAAATAATAAATAAATAGAATAAAATTAAAAGAAAAAAGCATAAATTCATAAAATTGGCAAAATTTGTAAATGATAATTATAAAGATGATGAATTTTAATTGAGGCAAGTTTTAAATGAATTAGAAGAAATATTTTAAATAAAATTTGAAAGTTAAGATGGCAAAGAAAAGATCATTAAGTCAAAATAGAATTGAGAAATAAAAAAATGGAAGGTATCATAATTTCCCACAAAAGAGATATATTGAATAAAATAATGAAAAGATCTTTTTTGCCAATCAATAATATTCTTCTTCATTATTAATTAATCAATATTTCAATAATTTTTTCCATTTTCTATAGGAAGAATTTAAAGTAATTAAGAAAATTATTTCACAGTACTTAAGTATAATTTTAAAATTAAAGCATATAATTAAGGTTTTTTATATTTCATGTTTTGCAAGAGATCCATTAACACTTATTTAATCTTCTTTATTCTTTCTATCCCAATTTTATTTCAAATAAGCAAATTATTTAACTATTCATAAGTAAATAAAATTGATTTTTAAATATAATATACAGTCATAATATAAAAATGAGGATGATAGTTTATAGAAATAAATAATATTTTACAAAAATAAGCAAGAATCGAATATTTCAAGATTAACTTTAAATTGTATGATTTATGAAATACAACAACATAATATATAAAATATAAATTATAAATCTTTTTAGCATTATTTATTTTTTTTAAACTAGAAGCAAAAATAAATTTTGGTAAATAATATTTGATTGCTTATCGTTTAATTGATTTTGCATTTTAATAAATAAAACAAAAAAGTAATAAATGTCTATAAAAATTATTATAAACGAAATGATTAATCTCAATTCTTATTTAAATGTTTGATTATGTTTAATGGTTATGATTTATTTATTATTTAATTTAGAATACAATGTTTATGACTTATTTATTATTTAATTTTAAAATTCTGTTTAAGATTTAATTATACATACTGTTTAAGATTTAATGCAATACTTGTATTTATTTATGGTTAGAATTTAGTTAAAATTTAAAAAATGACATACATTTAGTTACGCAGACTATTATTTGTGATGTTATTTAGTGTAAAAAGAAGATTTATCTAAACTAATTAATAACTCTTTGATTTATCCATTTTAATTTAATAAATTAGTAAATATATTTTTACACTAATCAAGTGTTATTTGTAGAGGTTATTATCTTTTTTGCATTTATTAGTATTATTGCCATGTGTATTTACATAAATCGGATTATCTAATGTCATTAAATATTGTTAAACTTTTTAAATCTAATAATATTTTATTTTAGTTAAAAGTATGTTAATTATAACTATCTTAATCGAATTAAATCAAATGTTTCATTTATTAACAATTTTAAATTTTATTTATTTTATAGTAAACTAAAAGATTTTTATCATCATATTTTGATTAAAGTAAATAGTTAAATATATTACTTATTTTAGTATTATTAATAATGTTTAAATCAATTATTTTACTTTCATAAGGTTAAAACAATGAATGCTTTAAAATTAGTTATGATTATTTTTGAGATATCATTAAATATAAAATCAAATTGATTTATTTATCCCTGATTAAAATAATAAGGTAAAATCAAAATATAGGGTTGGTAATTGATTCTTTTTCTAAGGAAAGTATAAATAAAATATGTGACAGATAATAAATAGACTATACAATAAAAATGTACTGAAATTATATATTTTAAAATTTTATGCTCAACTTTTCACAATTATCCTCCTTCATTCTCTATCAAAATATTTAGGGAAAATTTTTTTTAGCTCATAATTATCAGAGGAAGGATAAATGTAATAATATTTATTTGATTTTAACAAAATTAAAATAATTATTATTTCGTTAGTTTTTTTTGGTAATATAATTTGTTCATTTTAGTTTAATCATGTAGTTACTAAAAATTAAATGATATGATGTGGATTTATATAGTTAAATTTTAGCATTAATCACAAATAAATATTCTTATAATTTTTGTATTTGATTAACTAAAAAATATTCAATCAATCATTTTTAATTTTGTAACAATTTTTATGCAAGAGAATTTTAAATTGAATTAAATTTAAAATAAATTAAAGATTTTTTGGATAATGTTAAGTAAAGATATATATATGAATGGATGGAAGTGGTTTTTAATTATAAAATAAATATATAATAATTACATAGATTTAATCTAAAATATAAATATTTTAATAAAGTTAGTTAGTTAGTTATATGTTTAGTTAATTTAAAATAATTTTTAAAATAGTTTCATTTTTTATATAATAAATAGTTGTTAAATGCTTTATCATTTTGTAATAAAATTTTTTAAATTAATGTTTATGTTTGAAAGATAGAGTTAGTTATGTTTTTTCAGTATGGAAAATTAATTTCAGTGTTGCTCTAGTCCTATTTATTTAAAATGTTGTTATTTTTTATTTGAATATTTTATTTTAATTCAAAAAATGTGTTTTAATAAATAAAGAGAAAATAAATATTTTGAAAATAAGAAATTACTTATTTTTTTTTGAGGCCATGAACCAAAGAGTGTTTCATCAACATCATCATAAAAGTAGTCGTTGTAATATTTTTTTTCATGATTTATAGAGCAAAAAGATGTTTCATTGTTATTGGTTGTGCTCATGTTGGATTGGTTACTGTTTCTGAGTTCTCTTTGTTAGTTTATTGAGTTGTTCTCAATATAAGATTTTTCGCTAGCAAACGAGTCTGATTGAAATCCATTTTGGTTATTTTATGTTTGATTTTCAGAAATTATTTTTTATTATTTGCTGCATTTATCGCTTTAGGCATAGATACTACAGTTGCTATCAAGTTCTTCGTTTGAATGAATTAGAATGTTATTCTTTTTTATTTCTACCTAGTTTTGAGGATCTTATTTTGTTGTATTAGTTTCCTCGCTAATATTTTATTGGAGAGGTTATGAGTGTGCAGAATTGGATTGAGTTTAGATTAAGTAGCTATTCATAGAGTTGATATCGCCATGATAAGAGTGCCTAAAAAACTTGGATTAATTGCCTTCATTACTATTTAACACCAACTAAGAATAGTCTTGGCAGCTAGCAGAAAAAGTATGCCTATAATTTAAATCCATATGTGATTAGCAATTATATGAAAGATGATCCCAGTGAGTTTAAATATTGTCTAAGTTTTAGTCAGAAAATTATTCTATCTGTGTTTTTCCCTTAACATAATTAATATGGTTGTAATTTGATGGGGATTTTAAAGGTTTGTTTAAGGATAAATTTTATTAGTTGTTATTTTAATTTTAGCACTCTAAACTGCTGAGATGTTCTTCTTAGGGAATGAGTAATTCAGGGTATTTATTAATCTATAAGCAATTGTTATTGTTTAACTAATCGTCATTTTTAGATATTCGAAAGTCATTTTTTTGACTTGAAATTTTATTTAAATTGATTTGATAGTCTTGATTGTTTTTGGAAACATTCCACCCATTTAAAATAGGATCCTAAATATTTTACTATTAAGCTATATTAGAATTGCTAATAGTGGAGTTTTGTAGTGAAATCAAGCAAGATTACTCAACATTTTAAAATAGCGATTTATTTTATTAAAAATGCAGTAAATTAAAGGGACTGCTTTAATAAAATTGATTCTCTTACTAATTAAGAGGATTATTAGTAAGATTTCTTTAAATATAAAGTTATTATTATTAATTTTAGTCAATTTATTTAATTTCGTGACTGTTCACATTGTTAAGTTTCTATATTTCTTGGAATTACTGTTGTTATTGTTATTGCTGTTGCTTTAAAAATAGTTTCTAGTTATCTTGCTATTATTTATAATATGATTGTAACTATATCATAAAGGAAGCATTTGGTTCTGCTTACTGATATCTAGACTTGCAGTATTTCAAAGCTTAGTTCTCATTGATGTTTAGATTTTTTATAATATAAGCTATAACTACAGAAGGACTTCTCGATATTCCCTTTTAAATAAAGAAACAATCTTTAAGAAGAATGTTTAGATTTTATTTTTTTAATTTAATGCTACGATTTAGATATTGAAAAAATCTTAAAAATATATTAGAAATTCTTTGAAAATTTTTTTGTTTGGTTTGGGACATTTAATTTTAAAAATATTGAATGTTCTTTTTATATTTTATTCTCACTTGCTAGTAATTTATTAACAGGAGTAAAATACTGCTTATTCTCGCTTTTGAAATATAATTATAAGTAAGAACGAAAAGCTATGAACTATTTTTAGAACACATTTTGCAAACTAAATAAAAGTTAATTATATTTCTAAGAGTTAATTTTACTTAATAGATTTTTTAAAATTATTTTAATCATCCTTTTATACTTTTAGAGAGTAAAAAAATCTTTAAAATATGTTAAAAACTCTTTGAGAATATTTTGTTTGGTTTGGTACATTTTATTTTTAAAATTTTTGAATGCTCTTTTTATAGTTTTTTCTCAAGTACTAGTAATTGATTAACAAGTGCAATTGAAATGCTAATTACTCATGCTTGAATATGAGTTAAAATCAAAAGCTAAAAACTATTTTTAGAACGTATTTGGATAATTAAATTATAGGTTAATTATATTTTTAAGTGCTTATCTCGCTTATTTAATTAAATAACTTTTATACTATCATTAATTATCCTTGCTTTTTAAATACATAAAATATGACTTCTTCAAAATGGAAATAAATGGCTAATGGTATATTCCTAAGAATGTACTTTTTAAAAGTTAATTATCAAAATGTATGCGTATTCAAATTTACCAGCTATTTATTAATGGAAATTTGTTTATATACAACAAATTCCTATCATTTATTTATTATTAGTTAAAGTAATACAATTAAATAAATAAATGATGATGATGATGATAAAACTGTAGCAAAATTATTTTATTTTTATGTAATTTTTTACTCGATAGCAGTGAATAAGTATTCGACCGTTTTGTCTTTATGACTTTTATATAAACTTAAAAATCGCATCAAGATTTTCTATCAAGTTGGCTTCCCATTCATCAAGAATTTCTACATTTAAGTACTAAATTTTGTTTCCAAAATTGTTTATACAATTTTATGGTGAACAGTTGATTATGTGAGTGATTTTGAAGAGCGTTAAGACTTGGAAATCCTGGGCTGTATTGTAGTCTATTTTTAATCAGAAAATATAAAAATCTACCTTATTAACTGCATTAAAAAATTGTAAAAATGTTAGAATCTTTAAAAATTTAGTTGCATTTTCATAGCTACATAAAAAATTAGCACAAGTTTAAATATAATTTGCTTTTAATTTCTTCTTCTATTCTTTCCAACTATATATTGGGCTGAATAATTGAATTCAAGCGAGTTATTAAGTAATTCAACTCTGCTTTCAAATCAATTTTTTTATGGAAATAGTAAATAAATGAATGAATGATATTTGCAGGATTATCATTTTTCAAAGTTAATAAAATCATGCATTTTATTTTTTGTTATATGTTTGGTTGTTGAAATAATTTTTTTAAGCTTAGAAAATAAGGTGTGATTCTAATATGATGCAAATTTAGTTGAAAATCAGATTTACAAATAAATTTAAAAAATATGAGGTTGTAAAGAGATTTTTAGAAGTGAAATTTGATTGTAATGTTTCGAATTTAAAAATAGTCTTTATTAGTATTAAGTTAGAAAATATTATAAATAGAATTTATTTGATAGAAATTTTTCTACCAGCTAGCTAAAAAAATCATAAGTAGTAGAAAATATTAAAAGTCTATTCAAGTAAATAAGTATTTTGATAAATTTTGATTCCGCTAATTGGCTCATGATGGCCTCTCAAAAATTCTAAAAAGTTTTAATATTCAATCTCCTTGGATTAAAGGAAGAATAAAAACCTATAAAATTTGAGAGGATCTGCTGAGAAACACCTGGATGAGAATTCGAAAATGATAATTAGTGCTAATGAAGCGATATTATTTATTAGAGGCAAAAACCTCAGAAAAATTAAATTAAATAATATTTTTTTGGCAAGCAAAGAAATTTGTGTGCAAAATAGAAAGCAAGCTAGCAAAAATAATTAATAAATAACTATATTAAAAGCTTTAAATTATCCAAAACAAGTGAAGGTAAAATTTACCTGAAAGGTAGACGTTGTCAATAATATTTGCGATATGGGTGTAGTTCTAGAGCTTGTTTTTATTTTAGGGTATTTTTATGTTAAGTAGCTGCTGCTTTTTCCTACTGCCCATAAAGCAACCACGTTTTAGCTAGCTATATATTTATTTTCTTTCTTTATTTTTTTACTTTTTGTTTAATTGTTTTTGCTTGTTTTTATATCTTCTTTCTTTTCGTTGCTTAATTAACTAATTTCTTTCTTTCTTTTGCTTTTCTAATTAATTTATAATCTTTTCAATGATCCTTCAGATGAGTTATTTCTCTAGGTCTTTATAATTTAATTTAATAATATTTTTTATAAACCTTACCATCGCCTTTCTTCTTATGTTCTTCAAAAAATTTACTTTTGATTTTAATCATATTTTAAGTAAAATTTTTAACTTTCTATCTAACAAAATAAGCCCACTTATCATTCATTTGTTATAAAAAATACAACTTTAGCGCATTCATTCACAAATGTATACTTTCCTATTAATATTCATTTTTATCATTGTTTTATTACTTATTCGATTGTAATTACAGAAACTAACCATCCAGTCAGCATTATTTTATTTGTTTACTGTCAACTTTATGTTCTATTTTAATTTTGGCATGTATTTATAGTATAAACTGTTTCATTAATTCCATATTTTTTCACTAATTTCTATTTATTTTCATTCAATTTTACATGTCATTTTTTCTTGGTAATTTAGAATTTTCATGAGCCCTTTTTTGATTTAGTTTAAGTTAGGCTTTATTTATTTAATTGATTGGGTTTTACAGACTTTCATTAATTGATTGTTTAAATGCTTTCAATTTCTAAATAATTCCCAGTAAACTAACTCTGCTTTTTATCTATTTTTGCACAAACTTAATTCAAATAAACTGTGGATTTCCTTTTTTTGTATAAAATTTTTATTTCTTGTTTAGACAATCATTTTTTTTAAACAAGTAAATATATAGATATATAATATAAAAGTTCATTGATTATTAACTTAACTAGTAAAATTATAATTAATATATATACTTGGTTTGAATTTATTGATAAAAGATCGTCATATCTTATTTTAAATTTTTACTAATTTGGACAAAAATATGTTTAAGATATTTATGACCTACCCACTCTTTAAAAACTTTTTATAAGTTTTCGATAGTTTTATTTTCATTTCCTTTAATTTGTTTTCTTTGCTAGTATTCTATTAAAATAATCTTATTAACTTAATTACTCATTGAAATTTGATATAAATAAATTCAAATAAAGCGAGCATCCTTACTTCTAAATTTTACTTTTTAATTTGAAGAGTTTTCTATTTTTAGCACTTACTAATCTACAAAGTTAGATTTTTATATAGAGTAGTCAATTTATTAATTAATTAATATTTATTTCCTTTCATCCTCTATAATATATTGATGCTCTCTTTTAATTATTGATTAATTAATTAGAATATTTACTGGAATCATCAAATGAATAAATTTAAGAAATTAAAATTAATGAACAAACAAATAATAATAAAAAAATAGTAGATCAGTTGCTTAATTTTTTTGCTCAAATCCAGCTATTTTTGATAAAAACCCCGAAATCTCAATATGATGTATTCAATAAAGCTTAAGATTAAATCTAATATGATCAAATATTTATTTTATTTATTCAAATTATTAATAATTAATAATATGATTTAGAATTTCTACCTAATTTTCAATAGTAAATATTTAACCAAATAAAATGAAAAAATTTACATTTTAGTTTTTGCAATTATTTATTTAATTATGTTAACATGAAATAAAAATTATTTGATTTTAAATTAAACAAAAAGATGTTTTTATTTAAAAATTGATAATATTGTGATTAAATATTTTTTTAATTTAAAAATTAAATTAATTTTAAATTAATATTTTTTAAATTAATTTAAAAAGCATTTTAAAATCAAGTCAAAAATATTATAATATATTAAAACTTTTAAAAATATTAAAGAACTTACTAAAATTTAGTTTTAATAAAATAATTTAAAATAAATCAACTAAAAATGAATTATTAATTTAAAGAATATCAATGGATATAATAAAAAGAAATAAATGTAATGAAAGATTAATTGATTGATATTTTGCTTATTTGGATATTGAAAAGTTTCAGTTGATTATAATCAATAGGTCATTTTTGCTTGGGTCTTTGATCTTTATAAAAAATTGCTTATCTTTTTATAAATTAAATTTGATAAATTATGTCAACAGATTTACAAGTTTTTTTACCAAAATTTAGAAATAAGCAGCAGTATAAATGCATTATAGAAAGGTCTTTCAACGAAGCCATAGAGGATGCTACAAATAATTCTTAGTCACCTTAGAATAAATTTAGATAAGGACTTATTGATGTGGTTACTCCCCATAAGGAATTGGATTTATTCCTCGCATAGGACATCATAGCTATAAAACCGCAATCAGGAACGGCTCTCCAAATGCGGAGAATTAATGATATAAAAAGCAGAGTTTCTAGCTGCTATGCTTCAAGATAAATCTCACCTTCGAAAATAATAGATAGCAGCTATACTAATAATAGTTTAACAAGCAATCAATACTTCCATAAAAATAAAATTTATTAGAATTACAAGTATAAATCAGTAGCTGATGACTTTGATAGAAATCTACTAAATAATACTTGCGACATTGTCAAAAGTCAAAAAGTTAAAAATAAAATAAAAGACTTCTAGTTTTAATTATATCATAAAAAGCATTAGCCTCTTTTTGAGCTATCTGAAGAAAATATCAATTTTTTGGCAGCTAGAGACCCTATACAATTTAATTTTTAGCAATCTCAACTGCAATCAGAATAGTAAAGCATTTAGAAATAGGAGGATCACTAAGAAGCGTTTGAATAAAATTTTGAACCAGCAAATCAAGTTTTGATAACAGAAACTGATGAATCTTCTAAATTTCTTGACAAAGCACTCATAAAAACTATGAAAAATTCTTTAGATTCATTTAGGTTTTAAAATAAAAGGAGTAAAAGTGAGCTCAGGGGCAAAGCTACTACTCTTTAGAGCACAATAAAAACAGAAAGAAATGACTTGAATAATTCTATAAATACGATAAATAATGAATTAGAAAGCTCAAGAAACTCTATAAATTTTAAATACAAAAACAATCAGCCAAACTAGCTTTTACCACCAATATTTTCTCTAGAATAATTTTCTGGCAACATAGATTAACTCCATTCCTACGCTAAAATGGCAAATAAGGGTAAAATTTGCACAGAAAACTTCATCTAAAAAGGGATCCCTTCTTCTTACCCTGCTGTACATGTTATGTCTCCTAAATTTACTACATCTAATTCTCCTTCTCCATCTCAAAGTAAAATATTAACAAATAAATCAGCTTATTTATTTTTGTTAAAATAGAAACTCATTTTTTTATTTAAATGTGATTAAATATAATAAGAGTGTAAGACAGAAAGTAACTATCGAACAAGATCTTCATCAATCAGTGGCACTAACTTTATTAAAAAGAATGATAGTAACTAAAGGATGATGATGATCACAAGTCCAAATGTAGAGACAGAAGAAAGCACGCTGAAATTAGATTCACTAATATAGCAATAAAGAGTTAGAAATGTACAAGATATATCTAACAAGGTTTAAAGTTAACTTGAATTTAATTCGAATGAAATAAAATAAGCTATGGACTCAATAAGAAAACACTTTTGGGGATCTACTATTAAAGATTAACACTATATAAAGCTAAGCTAAGATTAGCTATTCTATGAATTTCTGTAGTTTTGTTAAATTTCACACAAAGTTCTTGAGATGCACAGACAAAATTTAATCTAATTACCTACAGACCTAAAAAAGAACCAGCTAAAGTTAATGGATCTCATAAAAGAGACAGGTAAAAACATATTTTAAAAAGATTTTAAAATAAAATGAAATTAATGTTTTAAATGTTTAAAGATAAAACAATCCTACTAGAAGTTATGTAAGAAGCCTTTCCTGTTTTAAAAGAAAACATAAACTCTATCAAATAAAGAATCTTAGAAGCACTAAATTTTAAACTCCCAAAATAAATAGACAAATCCACTTTTTATACTATTGGTTGGGAGGGTTTTCAAAATTTTATATAGATAGCAGTAACCAAAAAAGCAAATTTATCAGAAATAGCAAATTTTATAGTTAAAGTAAATTATTTTGTTTGATGAAAAAATATTTATTCTTTGATATAAAATAGTTCTTTAATCCTTAACAGCACAAATATATTTAAGTTGATGACTTTATTAGTACCCTAAAAACAGTAAGCAGTAAAGTAGATAAATATGTAGACTAAAAAAGCAAAAAAACCATTTTCTCAGCTTTTGAATAGAATTTTAAGCTACTTGGTATCGTAGTACCTGGAGTTTCAGTTTTTAAATCAAGTTAACTAAGAGTCATTATAATGGAAAATAAAGTTAACCATAATGAATTAATTGACCTAATCTTTGAGAGTTTTTGAAATAATTTCAAAAAAATATATTAAAAAATTATTAAATTAATTAAAAATATCAAATAAAACCTACTAATAAATTAAATAAATAAATAAATGTACATAATTTTATTTTCAACAAAATAACAAAATTTTACTAATAAAAATGAATGAAAATATATCATTTTTTAAATAATTAATTAGCTAACAAATCATAGATATTGAAACTTAATATTACCATAAAAAGCTTAATTTGTATTCAAAAGCATAAATTTATTTAATCATTTATGTTGTATTAAATAATAAAAATTTTCAAGCTTTTTAAGCATTCATACATTATAATCTATTTATTTAACATTTTTATAAATAAAATTTTAAAATAACTTTTTCTTTCATTTCAATAAATATAAATTAAATCTGATAGTTTGATAAGAATTTAAATGATTATTATGAATTTCATTGGTAATTTTTATGGATAAAGTTAATAGATAATTAATTACAATTTAATTAATAAAAAAATAAAAGGATTATTTGAAAACACTTTTATTTTAATAAATTTAAATTAAATAGCAGAAAAGAACCTAAATTTTCATCCAAAGATATAAAAAAAAGAAAAAAAAAGTCATTATAAAGGATAATATGGAAATACTTAATAGCAGAAATTCTTAAAAACTCTCAGAGTAGGAGATATTTTTGCTAGATAACTATAAAAAATGTCCTTTGCATCCTTCTAGATAGCTTATTTTTATTAGCATAGAAGCTGATCAAAAGCATTGCTTAAAATGTGCTGATTGCATTTCATTTCAATTCAGCAAAAATACAATTCCTTTAATTAGCTTAATTGAGAGTAAAAAAAATACCATTTTCAAAGGTTGGCCTATTTTAGATGACTAACAAATATACTAGTAACTGATTGAAGTCTCTTCAAAAGAGTCTTTTGTAGAAGAATCTCAAAAAAAAATTTATAAATTTTTTAAAGAGCTTCGTTCTAGCATTGACTTTGCCATCCAATAAAAAGAGTTAGAAATGCTTTAGCAAGCTGAATTTATGTGGGACAATAATCTAAAAATAATTGAAGAGTATAATATACATTCATGCAAATAAGAATTAAAAGATATCATCTTAAATAAATTTCATAATTTTGAAGAATTGAATGAATTAATTAAAGATATTATTTGCAAAACAATTAAAAACTAAGATATTTTAAAATAAAAAATAAATGATTAGCTCTCCACTTTAAATAACTAACAAAATCACATCAACTTATCAATACCCAGTTAAATTAAGGACTGTATCCTAAAATATATTAGAGATATAGATCTCTTTGTTATTAAATAATTTGAGGATGTTTAAAATAAAAAAATCTTACAGAATTTAAATTTTTATAAAAATGATTTGAATAAAATTCAACCATAAAACATGACTGCGAGTTAAATAATAGTGAAATTAATTAACAACAAATTCAATTTTTGCTCAGAAGAATTGATTTAAAAATTGAATTTTATTATAGCTAGTTTAGCTAATTACATAGACAATTTCCAAATTAAAGACAGCATTAATTAAGAGCTGCTCAATTTGGATAAATTACCATAAAATTCTCTTTAAAATATTTCAGATTTGATTAAATTTGAACTTGAAGTAAAAGTTTAATCTAAAATTTGTTCAATTTTATATAAATATCAAACAATATTAAATTTTATTTATGAATTAATTAATAAAATAAAAGGAAATAAATTTACAAGCAAGAAATGACTTATCAAAACACACCTTAGAAAATCTTAATAGGATTATTTAAAATTTGTAATTCAAGGTAATTTTTTTTGAATTATTTTAATGTTTTGTTATTTCCATGCATTTTTTAGATTGAATAAAACAAAAAATGTGAACAATCATAACCTATAAAGCTCAAAAAAATAGAAGATCTAAAAAGCTATAATACCAATAAATTTGTTGAAATGGATTTAAGGTAAATTAGCTTAGCTTTATTTATTTATTATTTGTTTTGTTGAATAAATACTTCAAACAATTTTCATATTGTTTTTAATGAACTTATTTTAATTATTTTTAAATAGAATTTTTTTAATTTTAATCAAGTAAATAATACTTAAAAATAAAAAAATGTTTTTTTATTTAGATTATATAAAAATTTATTTTCTGTTTTATTAATTGATGAGCATTTATTTATTTATTTCAATTAAATTTAAAACCTTATCAAATAATATATGATCTGAATATTAAAAATGGTAAAAAATAACTAAATAAATAAATATTCTAAAATATAAATCAATTTACTTTAAACTGCTTTAAAATAGTTAATTTTATACTACATTAAAACAGTTAACTTAATGGAAGTGATTTAGGATAAGATTAAGCAAATGAATTTGAAAAAAACCTAGAAAAATGTGAAAATCTAACTAACTTCTCTATTAACTTAAGGTATTAATCATTCTATTTGTTTATCTTTTTAAATTAATAATGAATTAATTAGCTAATTAATTTCTAATTAAATTATTCATAATTTAAATAAAATTAAAAGCAATCCCAACATCTAAAAAGAATAAATAGTCAGTTTATTAAAGAGTTTAACAAAGTTAAAATAAATTCAGTCTTTAAAAATTGACTTAAGGTAAATTAATAATTTTTTATTAAATAAATTTTTAAAATGTGAGGGGGGAGGGGTTATAAGAATAATTTTTAATTCTCAGCTATTATTTTGTTCAAAACATTTTTAAAAATGATTTTTTATTTGACTGGTTAATTTATTTTTGGATTCATAATATTTATTATATTTTTAATAAATTTTTAAATTAGTTAAAATAAAATTGGGGACTCTATTTAATCTCTATAACAAAGTTTAGTAGTTTTGCAAAAAATTAACTAACTGGATATAAATTTGTTGTAAAAATCAAATATAATTAATAATACTATAAAATTAATATTTATAATCTAGGAGTAATAGTTTAGAATAAGAACAAGCCTTGAATATTGCAAAAATATTTGAAAAACTTCAAAATATTTCAAATCTCTCTTTAAATTTAAGGTAATTAATTCATTTATTTTTATCTATTTTAAAATTTAAGAATACTATTTCTTTCTTTCTTTTGCAAATTAATTTAATTTAATAATAAAAGCTAAAATAATATTGGAACAGAAGGTGTTAAAAGCATAACACTTGGTTTAGAAAAATTGAGTGATTTAACATAATTGAAATTATACTTATAGTAAAAATTTCATGAATATTACGTTAGAAAATAATTATTTATGAATATTTAGATCAAACAAAATCAGTGCCGAAGGTGCTAAGTATATATCTATGAGTCTATAAAAAAATTATAATTTAGTATCTTTGAGTCTCAATTTATAGTACTCAAAATAATTTATAATTTAATGATTTATAATAAATTAAATATTTTTTACAGGTAAAACCATCTGTTATAAGAAGGAGCAAAATATATTGGGATCAGTTTAGAGAAGTGCCAAAATTTGACTCAATTAAATCTTAATCTATCGTAATTCAATTAACTGTGATTATCAAAAATTAAATTAAAATTTTATATTTGCAAGGTAAAATAATATCCAAGCAGAAGGAGCTAAGTATATAGCTATGAGCTTAGAAAAATGCTAAAAAATAACTTCCTTACAATTAAATTTAGAGTATTTATTTTTTATATTAAATTTAGCAACACAATAATTTTAAATTAAAACAGACAAAATAATATTTTGGCATAAGGGGCTAAGTATATTCGATAAAGCCTTGAAAAATTGTAAAATATAACATCTCTATATTTGGGTTTGTAGTAAATATATAAAAATTTTTTTTTATTCACAAATAATCCTTTTACAAATTTTTAAAGAATGAACAATTTAAATGCCGAAGGAGCTAAAAATTTAGGAATGGGTTTAGAAAAATGTTAAAATTTAACTTGTTTAGAACTAAATTTGCAGTAAATTAGTTGCTATTTTTTGAGTTTTGACTTATTACAAAAAATTATTTTAGATAAAATAATATTCTAGCAGAAGGAGCTAAAAATATTGGGCTTGGTTTGGAAAAGTGCTAAAATATCACTAATTTATGTTTGAATTTGGAGTAATTCGATTTTGTACATAATAAATTCAAATTTATTTTTAAAAGCTTTAATTAAATAGGAGCCGAAGGTGCTAAATATATTGGTTTTATTCTAGAGAAGTGTCAAAATATTACAACTTTAAAGTTATTGTTATAGTAAAAATATGAAATTTTATCACTCTATAAATATAACTTATATGAAAAATTAGTTTATTTATTACCTTTAAGTTTTGATTCACTTCAAAGTTTTTTCAGAAATAAAGAAAAATTTTAACACAGAATTTATTTATTTAATTAAAAGATCCAACAATTTATAGGCAGATGGAACAAAAAATTTATCATTCAGCTTAGAAAAATGTTAAAATATTTAACAAATTTATCTAAATTTAAAGTATCTTTCTTTATCAATTGTTCCAAAATTTTATTCTAATTAAAAAATTTAATTTAGAGATAATAATTTTGGTATTGATGGAGCTAAGTACATAGGGTTTTGGCTTGAGAAATGTTAAAACATGAATTCAATAGCACTTAAACTAAAGTAACTCTAATTGATATTATTTATCTAAATTTAATTTTGTTTGTTTATTAGTTTTAATTAAATAGGTTAAGAAGGAGCTAATAGCCTTTCTTATAGTTTACAAAAGTGTCCTAACATAAAACAATTAAATCTTAATTTATAGTATGGTTTTGTTTAGTTAAATTAATATTAATTAAAAAAAATTTATTTTAATGAAAAAAAATATAAAAGTAACAATAATCTTGGAGCTCAAGGAGCTATTTCCATAGCTTCAGGTTTAAAAAAATGTCATAATATTACATCACTTAGTTTAAATTTAGGGTAAAAAATAAATATTTTTATTCATTTAAAATACCTAAAAACATCATAATGATTAATTAATTAATTTAATTTTTACAATAAATTAATTATATTAAAAAATTAACTTTTAAATAACATAAAAAAATATTATAAAATCTAAAAATATTTAATTTAATTAAATTTTTTTATTAATGGATGTTAATTTTTTGAAAAAATAAGAAATAATTCTTTAGGCTCTGAAGGAGCGAAGGGTATAGTTGAAAGTATCTAAAAGCTCAATAATCTATAGAAATTAAGTCTTGGACTTGAGTAATTTTTATTGATACACTTATTTCTCAAAAGATAAAATATATAAATATTTAGATTAAATTAAATTGGTTTGCAAGGTACAAAGAATATAGCAAGTAACCTTTCAAAATGCTAGAAAATAACAAGATTAAGTCTAAATCTTGAGTAAATAATATCTATTAAATTAATATTGACAATCTTATAATTTAGTATAATATTTTTTTATTATCTTGAAAGTAATAATTAAATTGGAGTCGAGAGTATAATAGCCATTAAACAGAGCATATAAATGCAGAAAGATCTTTCTTTTTTAAAACTGAGCATCAGGTTTTAATTAATTACATCATAAATTTTTACAATTTTAATTTATTTATTTATTTTCCATTTTAAAAAATGTTGGAAAATATTTTTTTTAGAGAATCTTGATTTTATTTATATTATTTAAAGATAAAATGGAATAGATGTTAGAGAAGCAGAAAATTTTAGAAAAACTGGAGTCGATTGTTTGTCTTAGAAATTGAATGACTTTATATTAAATTATTGAATTTATTTGTGTTGAGTAATATTTATTTTATACTTTTTAAATCAAATTAAATTTTAATAATTTTGCTTCTTGATATTATTTATTTTGATTGTATTAAATATTTTTTTTCTAAATTATTTAATATTTAATTTAATCTAAAATTATTCATTTATGTTAATTAATATTTTCACACTATTTTTCAGTTATATCATATTATCATTAGGAAAATAAAAAATATCAACTTTTAATTCATAAATCTTTTAGCAACTTCTTTTAATAATTTATTAGTATTTATGTCTTCGTAAAAGCATGATAAGGCTATAAAGATAAATTATTGAAGCATTCCTTTTTATTTCTATATTTAAATAAATAATTAAATTAAATATTAATAGACTAAGTCAGTTTTTAGTAAAATTCTTAGACTTAATCCGATAAAAATTTTTTTTATTTAAGCCCTGAATATAATAATCAATAAATATATAAGATATGTATTTAAGATTAAAATAATTTGTTTCTTTTGAATAAAGTAATTTAAAACACGAGTTTCTTAAATATAAAATGGATTGTTTGCTTTTATTATAAGGAAATTTAAGTTATTAAATTTTATATTAAATTACAGTTTATATATAAATAATGATTATACAAGTAAATTGATAGTATAGGTTAATAAATATAAATAAGTTAAAAGTTATCGATCGAAGCAATCTAACTAATCAAGAGATTTAAATCAACAATCTTCAGAAACACCATAAAAAAAATCTTCTTGATTGTATTTTTCTAAATGATTCCTTTGCCCAGAAGGAATACAAATTGATTAGTATTAATATTCATTTCCTAATGAATCTTTCATTGAAAATTTAAATCTTCTGCTGCTTAAACAGTAATTGAATGCGTGAAACTAGGTTCTCTCTTTTTCATCTATTTTCTCCTCAATATGTAGACAAGGTATCTGTGTAAATTATCCTTTAAGCTAATTTTAGTAGAAGCCCATACCACTTGTAGTAACAATCAATATTGAAAAGATTGCTAATATCAAAATCAAATTGCTTGTTTTCATTTTTTATCTTTTTAGTTTTTAATTAAATATTTATATGTATTTTATTCTTTATGAATTCAAGTTTCTCTTATATAGGTTTTATATTAAGCTCTGGCTCAATCTCAAAAGAATAACTTTTAGCTAATTTATTCTTAATTAATTATCAAAACCTTACAGATTTTTGAAAGAAAAGTTTTTGAGATATCTTTAATTAGACTGTAAAATTATAATTTTTTTAATTGATTAATAATATTAGAACCATTAAAATGAGAATGATTAAAAAACTTGTACTAACTGTTAGACGCAATTTATTCATCTATTTTCAAAGCTTTTAATAACTTAACTTTTTTAATATACCAAAGTATTTTCATTTTAATTTTTCTTTCTAGTATTTAGCAATCTAATCATACATAATTAACTAGTAAAATAAAAATGAATGTGTGGTTTTTTTATATCTTTAAAAGTACAATAACTTTTAAGCTTTTAAATAAAATTTGGAAAGCTTTAAGTATTACTATTTTACCATAAACATAAAAGAGAACTTAAGTTTTTTTAAATTCTTAAAAATATAATTTTGCCATTTTTTTGTATTGGTTTAGAACTAAAAGATTTGAAATGTTAAAAAGCGATTTTTTAAGGAAAAATACTTAGAATAAAAGACGAATACAAAAATAAATAAATGAATGAATTGATATGTAATAAAATTCAAATACTTCTTATTTGAATAAATAAAATAAAATCTGTTTTTAGGTAATCGAAAATTTTAAATTGAATAGCATAAAATTTAAAAATAATTTTTCTTTTTTTAATCTCAAATTTAAATAAAGTTTTTGATTTTTTTATGCAAACTTGGAAAAAGGATAAAAATAAAGGATAAACATTTTTGATAGACTTATTTTTGAATAAGTAAAAAATAATCTTATTGATAGGAAAAAGCGCATAATTTAGATTAATTGTACTACAACTAAAATTAGATACTTAAAAATTTTTTAAAACTGCTATTTAATTGGTGCGAACAAATTAAGATAAAGTTAGTTAATTTACAAGTTTTAACATGAAGTGTATTTCGCTTGTTTAATTTTTATTTTAAAAATATTTTTGAAATAGTTTATTTTTAGATTTAAAGCTACAAAAAATTTCTTCTATGTTACTTAATAATATTTTTATTGTAGCGTAGTTTTATTCAATGTTAAAGTTGATATTAACTTAAAAAACAGTAAATTTTTAAAAATACTATATACAAAATCATACTAAATTGAAAGTACATACATACATACATACATACATACATACATACATACATACATACATACAATATTAGGAAATAAAGAATAAGTTGCAGTTATGAAGAGTGTTTGTTAAATAATATTATTTATAATAATGATATTGAAGTAAGTTATTTTGATCTTTTTTATTACCTTATTAATAAAATAAGTCAATTAACGTAGTTAAGAAAACTGAAAAATAATTTACAACGAGTACCATTTTTGAGTCTAGTTAGCTGCGTTCTATTAGATTAATAAATTATTAATTTAATTAAGTAACTTTGAATTTATTTATGTGTGTTTTAGTAAAAATTAATTTACATAAATTAAGTAACTATAAATTCTGATATAATTCTATGAACAGTAATATCATTAACTAAAAGACTCTGTTCAAGCTTAGCTTATTAACCAAGCCAAAAATGATAAAAACAATATTGATATTTATAGTAAAATTTAACTTAGGATAATTTACAATTAAACATACGATCATAATTCGATTAAGTATTAAATATTAAATCAAATAATTTTAATACATGTAATGTAAATCATTCATTGAAAGATGATATTTACTTTAAATAGAAAAGTAAATAAAATAAATTCAATAATATGATAGGGAATATATTTAAAATTAGTACTGTTATTTTATTTTATAACTATAGGGGGACAACGCAAGAGCTTGAGAGAGTGAAACCTAAGGGTATACACTTTTTTTTATTGAATGAATCTTCTTTCTTTCTTAAAATATTTTTTATGTTTCCAACCTCAAAAATCACACAATATTTTGAAAAATTTGAGTAAAGTACATTTAAAATTTTGTTCTAATGCGCAATTTGAAGAAATTAAAATATTTGTTAATTCTTTCTACTTCCAAAAGAAAAGTTTTAAATAAGCAAGTAAGTAAGTGATAAATTGATATCAAACATTTAATATTTTATAAAAGTTTTTCATCGAAATTTAAAAATAAATTGTTAAATTTTGAATACTTATATTTATTTAGTCTATTAAATAAATATATTTGTTATAAAAATTAGTATTTTGATGGCCATCTAGAAATTATTAATTATACTTATTTCTACTAAGTCATTCATTTTGACTTAACTGAAATTCAAAAAAATATTTTGATGTTTAAAAAAATTTTCTTTTATTTGATTTTTGATAATATTTTATTTTAAAAAATTATAACTATTTTTCTATCAGATAAAATAATAGTAAAATAAGGCATAATAGGGAATAGGAAATTGTTTGTTAGCAAAAGGAATAAATCATTGATTGGTTTTAATTGAATAAAAGAAAGCTCTAGTATGAAGAAATAGAATTTACAGATAGAGTTTGATTGGTATTTAGATTTATTCATACATATATATATATATAAATACAATAAATTATCTTGGATATTTACAGCATTCAAATAAGAATAATTTTCCATATTAGATATTTAATTTATTTAGTAAATTTTAACAGATTACTAACTTTTGTAGCTGCAAGGACAACTTTGAAGAGAGATATAAATAAAAAAAGCATAATTTACATGATCGTTTATTCAATTAGAGATCTAAAAACCATAGATTTGTTTCATTAGGTGGAGATGCTGAACTAAATGGAGTATTTGGTTTTTGTGAGAAAATTTCTTATAATGCAGATGTGGCTCTCTTTTTTGATAATTAATTCAGACCATTTTCTAAATATGAAATTTCTTTACTTTTTATTGGAGATTTAGGTACTTTATGGGCAAACAGTAGTGTAATCAAATGAAAGGTTGATGATAGTTTGCTATTCAAAAGGAGAAAAAGAAAATTTATTCTTTATCCTAACGAGTTGCAAAATACTTATTTTAATTATTTATAACCATAATTCACTTACATGTTCAGTTTTTGAGCCATTTAACAATTAAACTTAGAGGCTTTACTTCTTAAGTATGGATTATGGTATCAACAAACTTTTTAGAAACAAGTATGCAAGATCCTTTTTCAACTAAATTAATGATGTAGCTTTCTTACATAACTTACTACTTTAAAAAGAATATCAATCATAGCATGAAGCTAAAATTAATTACTAAATATAGCTGATTCTCTCTATTATTTTATTATTTTTATTTCAGCACACAGGGTGCGGAAATCCTGATCTCCACTGTATTTATTATAAACAATTTAATTAAACAAATCAGAAGATATTGGATAAAGTAATAAAAAAATTTGGTTTTATTGCCCTTTGAATTCTTAAGCTTTTAATTTAAATAAATTCTCAAATATAGTAATTAAATTTAACAAGAAGGAATTTAGTCAAAAATAAATAATCACTATCAATAAATTTAAAATTCATAAGAAAAATAAAAAAAAAACTTAATAATTGAATACAATAAATCATAACCTGATATAACTAAATTTTTAAACCTGTAATTTGATTATTTTATAATTATTGTATGTACTCACTCTTGGACTTATTTCAAAAAAATATCAGATTTTTTTTAATTTTTCACTCTCGAATTACTCTCAAGGTCCGAACGAACTAGGAATTACTGTAATTAATAAATTAACAAAGGTATAATTAATAAAGAAGCAAATCAAAACATTTATATTTATGTCTACTCTTAAATTATGAAATAAAGTAAATAACAAGCATAATATGCAAAAAATAGAAAGAAAAGTATAAATAAACTATTTGATTATTATTACTGAAATCAAAGTACATTCTAATCAAATTAATTAAGTTAAAATAAGTATTTTAATAATCTTCTTTTAAATATTCTATTTGTAAATTATATCGATTGATTATAAGGAAAAGATAACTTAAATATTAATTTTTTAAAGATGCAAAATTTATACTAAATATATACATACATACTTTAGATAATTAAAAACTTAAAAATAATCTTAGTATATGCATTTTTAATTTTTAAATTTTCATCAGAAAATAAAAGCTAAGATAACAGCAAGATAAGAAAATACAAAAAGGCTTGAAGAAAGACATGAAACTATTCAATTGATAAATTTTTGAATTTGGGGATTATCAGATCTACAAGTAGATTTTACTTTATCTGCTAATTCCTTAAAAGTAGGATATAAACCTACTGCTTAAAAGCATGTATTGACGTTATTTATCTCAGTTTTGCATGCTTCATCTGAATCTTAGCAAGGACTAGGTAAACTTTTAATACAAGCATCTTTAATTGCTATTTCTTAGGTGGTAAGAGCATTTACAGAACAAAGTAATAAAAGACCAACAATGCAAATTAATAAGACTTTCATTTTAAGAAAACTAGATATGTTTAATTTTTTTATTTATTTGTTTGTTTATTTATCTTTTATTGATATAATTATTATGCTTTGCTGGTATATTTTGTTGTTATATATTTGAACTCTAATTTATGGATTCTAATTATAAATTTGTCGATATGTAAAAAAATGTTAAATAATAAACTAATTGTATGTAAATCTTCTCCAATGAAATATTTAGAAGTAAATCAAAATTTGTAAATTAATAAAAGTAAACGATTGAAAAATAAGAAATAGAAAGATTAATTAATATTACAATTTCGAATTGTGAGCAATCTGAATTTTTAGGCTCTCTAATAATTTGAAGTCCATGAATTTAGTCTACAGTGTTAATCAAAGGAATTTCGTACTTACTAAATTAAATCAACTAGATGATTAGCTTCCCGATTCTGAGGAGGAAGCTTTGAGATCAGTCTCGGAAGGGCGAAGATACTTTTTTGTTGAGTATTTGGAGGCATTACTGCCTGTTGTTAGCTTACAGCGAGGTGATAATTAATTAGGAAGATAGTATAATTGTAATCTATAAATAGTCATAATTAAATTTTATTTACACTGACTTAATTTTTTCTTTAAAAATTTTTGATAATTATTAATGAATATTTTTAGAAATATTTTTTACTGTATGTTTTTATTTTGTCTCTATTGTATTCAAAACTCTAGTTTATTGTTAAAATTTCTTATTTAATAAATGGATAGTAATTTTTATATACCTTTTTATATTTAGAGATCAATATTGACCTGCCATCAAAGATATTCTACCTCCTGTTTATTATTGCTTCTTAAGCTCTATTTAATTATTTAGTAAATATTAATTTAAAAAATAACACTTAAGTTTTGATAGATTCTACTCACACCATAGAATTATTAAATAACTCACTGAGTTCAGGATATTCAGAGCAATAATGCTTCATAGATAAAAACCACTATAGATAGTAAGTACTTCATCAAAATATTAAACATTTTAATTAGTATAAATTATTATTTTACATTACATCTGATAGAAAGCATCTATTATTAGTTTGGAAAAATACTAAAGTACTTTATTTAATATAAAAATCTTATCAAGTAACAAAATTTTCAAATTTATTTTTAAAAATGTCTGACAGTAACAACAATTTTTCATATCAAATAAATTATTTTTTTTGAAAGATAAAATAAATTTTACTAAAAATTTGTAAAAATGTTAATAAAAAAATTTATTTTAAATTAAAGGAAAATAAATGTAACTCATAAATAACTATTCTAATATTTTTTTGTATTCTTTATTCATATAAAAAATATTTATATACCATATGTAGTAACAATCTATATTCAAATGATTGTGAATAGCATAATCAAATTGTAGTTTTTAACTAAATTACTTATATTTATATATTCTTTATGAATTCGAGCTTCTCTTAATCGATTTTATATTAATATCTTGGCTCAATCTCAAAAGAATAGCTTACAGCTAATTTATTCTTAATTAATTATCAAAATCTTACAGAATTTTGAAAGAAAATTAGACAGTAAAATAATAAATTTTTTAATTGATTAATTTTATTACAACATAAAAGAAAATTTTGTCTATTATTATTAGATACTCTTTATTCATCTATTTTAAAAACTATAAATAAATTAAATTTTTTAAAATACCAAAGTATTTTCATTTTAGTTTTTCTTTCTAGTATTTAGCTATCTAATCATTCATAATTAACTAGTAAAGTAAAAATGTAAGTGTAGTATTTTACATTTTTAAACTTACTAAGACTTATAGGCTGATTCTTTTAGATACAATTTGGAAAGCTTTAAGTATGAATATTTTATCATAAACATAAAAGAGAGATTTAGTTATTTTAAATTTTTAAAAATAAAATTTTGCCATTTTTTCTATTTGTAAAAACAAAAGATTCGAAATTTTAAAAAGTGATTTTTCAATGAAAAATAATTAGAATAGAAGATTAGTATAAATTAATAAAAGAACTGATGGAAAAAGGAAGGATAAAAATAAAGGAAAAAATTTTTTAATAGAACTTTTTTTTTGTAAAAGTAAAAAAGAATTGTATAGCAAAGAAATAGTGCATAATTTAGATAAATTGTACTCCTAAAATGAAATAATTAATCATTTTTTAAAACTAGTATTTAATTAGTGCGAATTAATTGAGATAAAGTTATTTAATTTAAAAGTCTTTACATAAAGTATATATTTTTCGCCTCTTTTAATTTTAAATTTTTCTTTGAAATAGTTTATTAGATTTAAAGTTACAAAAAAATTTCTTGTATGATTGATACTCAATAATATTGTTATTAAAAATAAAAAACTGATCTATTTTTTATTTTTTTAGTATAGTATTATTTAATGTTAGAGTTTTGTTTAACTTAAAAATAACTAAGCTTTTTAAAAATATTCTATACGCAGCCATACTAGATTTAAGTTTATAGATACAATAAATATTATGAAATAAAGAAATAAATAAATTAGTTACAGTTTTTAGGTAAGAGTGTCTATTTGATAGTACTATTTATTATAATTATACTGAAGTCATATTATTTTGATCTTTCTTATTACCTTATTAATAAAAAAAGTCAATTATTTTAGTTAAGAAATCTAAATTTACAGATAAATAATTTAAAAAGAGTACCATTTTTGAGTCTCGTAAGCTGTGTTCTTTTAGATTGATAAATTATTAATTTAATTGAGTAACTTTGAATTTATTTATGTGTGTTATAGTAAAAATTAATTTAGATTAATTAAGTAGCTATAAATTCTCATATAATTCTATGAACAGTAATATAATTAACTAAAAGACTCTGTTCAAGCTTAGCTAATTAACCAAGTTAAAAAGATAAATACAATATTGATAATTATAGTAAAATTTAACTTAGGATAATTGACAATTAAGCATACAATCATAATTCGATTAAGTATTAAATATTAAATAAAATAATTTTAATACATATAAATCATTCATTGAAAGATGATATTTACTTTAAATACAAAAGTAAGTAAAATAAAAGTCAATAATATGATCGGAAATAAATTTAAAATTAGTATTGTTATTTTATTTTATAATTTTAGGGGGATAGTGCAAGAGCTTGAGAGAGTGAAATCTCAGGATATAAATTTTCAAATATCCAAATTTACATTTTGAGCCGTATTCTTATAAGAAAAATACCCTGGTTAAATTTTAATGCAACAAATAACTAGCTTAATATTTAGTAAAAACGAATGGAATAAATAATATAAAAAAACATTTAATTTCTTATCTTTTTTAATTTTAGAAATTTACTTTTAATTTTATATTAGACTAATTAAATGAATAATAAATCATACATATATACTTTTAGCTACTAATTTCTTTAAGTTAAATATCTTTTTAATTAAATTCCATCTTTATCCTTAACTAACTTAGTTATATCTAATAATTTAAACAAAATTTTGTTATTTAATGCAAACAAAATTAAAAAAGCAATAAGTTAAAAGCAAATTAGATGAAAAATTTATTAATTTTTTGAAAAAATTTCTTTCATTTTTTTGTTGTTGTTGTAAATATCTTTAAAAAAAGCTATTTTTATTTATTACAAGATGTTAAGTTTCAAAGTTGAAATGTTTCTAAGTTTTATTAAAGCAGTGCCTAAACTCTATGCGCCCTCACTCCCAATTTAATTGAAACTTTTATATATTAAAATTATATTATTTGTTTATTAATTTGAATGAATTATTTTTAATTAACTCATTTCTTACTGATCAATATTTTACTTTAATTTTTTTTTTAATTAAAAATCTGAATGAAATATATTTATTTACCTAAGTCTTAAAACTAAGGCTGAAAGATTAGAACAATTTGCTAAACTAGTACAAAAACCTTATGTGCCCAATTCATGGATTTAATTATGTCTTTGTAAATTAAAATTAAATTTTAATGCTTGAACACATGAAGAATATATTTGATAAAATAGAGAAAAAAAATTTTAAAAACAAAGAAAAAAAGAATTGAAACAAAAAAATGAAAATAGAAAAAGATATTTTGATTAATCAAAAAAATAGTAAAATAAAATAAGCTGATTAAATCTTAATAAATTTATTTTACTGGAGATCTAATGATAAAATTTTCAATTAAGAGCAGTTAGCTAAAGCAGAACCTAAAATTTAGACACCTTAATCCCCAATTTAATTCTAACTATTTTGATAATTAATTAAAAAATTATATATAAAATGAAGAAAGACAATTAAAGCAAAAATTATTCTTTCATCTTATTAAAAAAATAAATAAAATTTTTTTCAAAATTTTTATTGTCATGAGAGTTAAGGAATGCATCCTTACTAAAGGTCCAGTGTCAAATTAGAGAGGTTAGTGCATTTGACTAAAGCTGAACTTAAATTTGAAATTCCCAATTCACCAATTTGAGATTAGCTATTATTTAAATACCATTTAGTATATTAATATTTTTGTTTTAAATAAAATGTTTAAATAATATAAATTTTATTTAATTAAAAAAAGTAAAAAAAACCTAAAACAAGTAAAATATTATTAAATTATTTTTACGGAAGTCTAATTTCAATATCAGTGTGAGAAGATAAAGAGGAGTTTAAAAACTTTTTATAAAATAAAAATATATTTAAGTATTGATTTAAAAAATAATAAATTACATCTTCAAGATTCTTAAAATATTTTTTCTGTTATTTCATTTTTATTTTATTTTTCTTAGAATTTTCAATATTAATATTAATTTAAAAAATTATAATAAATTAATTTGAGAAATTAATTAATGAATTTAGTAATGTAATAGACACTGCTGATTTAGAATATAAGATGTATGTAATACATTCATTCATTAAAAAAATTGAATATTTAAAACTTCTCATTATATTTTTATAATTAGTAAGAGACCTTATTTCAAAATTTTAAATATGATTTATTAAAATATTTAAATTTATCTTAAATTAAATTATTATTTGTTACTTACTAATAATTTTAATTTGTGAAGTTAAAATATAATCTTTCATTTTAAAAATAAATGACTTTTTCTGTAATTTCTTTTCCAAAATCTAAAAATCTAGAAGAATTCTATCTATTTATAATAAAAAATCGAACAATATACAAAGTATTAATGATATAATAAATTGATTGATTTTTTAAATTATTTACACATATTTAAAAAATAATTTTTTATTTTATAAACATAAATTTAATTAATTAAATGGAATAATTTAGAATTAGCCTTAAAATTTAACTTTTATATTTATTTAATTTAAATTTTTGAGATAAAAATACATCATAAAATTTACTGTATTTACTAAAATTTTAGACTTACTTGTTAAAGAGAGCCAGTTAAATTTTATATGAATAAAGATAAATAGCAAGAACATCTAAAAATATTTTTTTTAAATTATTAGAATAATAAGATAAATTTGGTAATTAATTAGCATTTATTACTTTCATATGCTTATCAATTAAAACATTAATTTTTTGATTGATACATATTTCAGACCAAAAAAAATATAAATAAAGATATCAAAATTTAATAAATTAAATATTTTGCATATTTAATCACAACAACAGTTGGGTTATCTGTGCATCCTTTAGTACAATCGATTGTTAGACATAATTAACAACCTTAGTAAGTCATTTTATATCCAGCAGAGCAAAGTTAGCAAGAAATTCCTTGGTTTTTTACTTTGCATCCTTAGAACAATTAACATTAATTTTGCTTACCCTAATTAAGTTTTATTAATAAAAATAAATATGTTCAAAAGTAAATATTAATTTTTTTAAAAACAGTTGATATTTACTTATAAAGCAGGATCAGTACTTAAGTAGTAACTATTATGACATTAAGTGCATGTTGATTTATTAGAACATTAATAACAACCAGGCATATTGTAGTTACATTGTCTGCAAATTGTACTATTATCTAAGTAATACATATTAGAAGAGCAACTAGTCTTGCAATTCATATAGCCTAAATCTGTGCATTAACCGCAACTAGCATCACAAAGATTACAAGTTCCTCCTGTTCCGAACGTATTTGTTAGACATGTCTAACATGTTGATGCAGATTAACATGTTTGGCACCCAGTTCCTATTTAAATAATATTAATTTTCTTTCATTTTATTACAAGCAAAAATATGTTAAATGAATACCTTTTAGATCTGGAGTACAACCTTTGCAAATATTACCTGTATCTAAAAAATATCCAGGGAGGCAAAGACTACATGAAAAAGGAGTACCAACACATGTTTAACAACCTTGCATACCACCATGATTTAAGTCACCACATGAAATACATGATGTACCACCTGGACCAATAAAATATCCTGCATTACATAAGGTGCATGTTACTGCAACTGTATCAGAACCATTCACACATGTTTAGCAATTAGGAATAGCCAATTGGCAAGTTTATATACAAGTTCCTTTGCTGTTAAAGGGGAAGGAAGTATCACATGTTTTACAAAGCCCAGTATTCAGATATGCAGTACAGTGGCTTATTTTATAAACGCATTAAGATTTATCAAAAGTTAACGCTTTGTCATTTGTACATTAAATGATCGTAGTTGCTGAAGAACATCTAGCTACACCAAATTAAGGACACATCTTACATTTCCCATTAGTATCTTGATAGTATCCATCAGCACAGGAAAGACAAACCTCTCCAACCTTTATTATTAAAATTTGTTCATCAAAAATTTTTTTAAATTATTAAAGATATTATTTAATTAATAATAAATGTAAAACTATATTTTTACAGGTTGAATATTATCACAAAACGCTACTTGCCTGCATCTACCCTACCCATCAGCATAGTAAAAAGGCAAACATATTGAGCACTTTGCTGGATTAGATGTCTAGCAAGACGCACAATTTTGGGACAAGCTTCCATAACTATTACAAGGCTATTTATTTATTAAAATTTTATGATTTTATTTTACTTATTTTTTTTTGTGAACATAATCAATAATTTATTGAATTTGATATTGATTTATATTTTAAAGGTTTTGTAATCAATTTCTTATTAAACAAAAAATTATTTACCAAACACGATCCTGAAGTTGAATCAGGATAAAAACCATTCTAGCAAGTAGTGCAACTTCCGCTGCTCCCGCATGTGAGGCAGTTAGAACCAGTGCAAGGCTGGCATATACCTATCTGGTTGAGAAAATATCCCTATAAGCAAGTACTACAAACTCCATTATTATTACATGTTAAGCAATTAGGGTCAAGACACTAAGAGCAAAACCAGTTATTATTTAGATAATATGAAGTTGGGCAGTTTTAGCAGACTTAAACTTAACTTTGCGTGTTAAAACAACACTTAGTTCCACATTCAGGAGCACAGTTCAGACAAACTGTTTAACCTGCAGGGAAAGTTATATTTTTTGGATTATAGACTTAATATCCAGTAATGCATCCATCACAAGTATCTTGAATTTTAGTTGTACTACATGAACAACCTTGTTAACAATTAATGCATTAAAAGCCATCCCAATACTAATTCGGGTTGCAAAGGAAAGTAGTATCCAAAGTTCTCGCAAAAACATACTTGAAAAGAAATAATGTTGTTATAGTTAAAATGTTTAAATTTTTCATCATAATTATAATATAAAGAGTATGAATTATGCTATAAATGAAAGTATTTTCTAATAAAAAGTATTTGAACAAGTTCGAGTGCTTTGATATTTTTATTTTTTATCGCTGCTTCTTAAATAAAATATTTTTAATAATTATTTTCTTTACTTTTTAAAGATTTGAGTAGTTATTACTCTACTTGTGTATTATTAGTTATTTACTTACTTACTTATTTATTTATATATTTATGAATATATTATATATATATATATCTTACAAAAATCAATTTGAAAAACAACCAAGCAAAAAATCCTCTTTTTAATCAAATCTACATGTAAAAATAGTTCTTGCTATTCTAATTCAGGTGATTATTCTACTCTAGTCTAAACTATTTATTGACTGAAGAAATCTGATATATAATTAATATGTTTTATCTTTTTTACTAAATTCTAGATTTAATACTGAAACTAACTACTTCTGAATTTTTATTTCTAACAAAAAAATAATTTGAAAATAACTCTTATTTATAAATAAGATGCATATATTAAGTCAGAATAAATAAATAAACAAATAAAGTATTTTACATTTTTTACTAAAATTCAATAATATTTTCCTTTAAAAAACTAGAAATAATATACAGGGTGTCGCTCAAATTTTAAATGTATAAACATCTCAATTTTTATTTCACACAGAAACAAATTGCACTTTATTAGAAATTTTAATTTTTTTATAAAATTAAGTATTTTCAATTTATTAATTAATAGAATAAATACGAAATATAAATAAAAATCAAAACATTTTTTTAGTAATAAATTCTTTAGTTAGGATAATTGTTCAGTCAATTAAATCATAGATAATTTATGTATAATTATTGAATAGATACTTCTAAAAGTATTTTTTTTTAATAAAGCAATTCATTATTAACTAGTCTCTTAAATTGAGATATTGCTGCTAGGTTTAAAAAACAGTGTTATGAATACTAAATAGCTGTATATAAATATCATTTTTACTAAAGAAACGGCATATTTATATGCTTTTTTACAGATTTAAAAAGTAAAGACCAAAATCTATCTGTTTGATATAAGGATTTATTTTAAAGCCTTAAGCTAAATATTATTAAATATTTTAAATAGACAGTTCCTTTGTTAAAATAACAATCATAGAATGATTTTTTGGATCCTACTTTCTAATTTTGACTCTCTCACAGCTAAATTAAGTATAAATTACACTTTTATTAAACTAAAAAAGCAGAGTAAAAACTATATTTTAGTAATCCTACTAATTATTTGGCACTTTTATTTCAGTGAACAATAAGTTTTTGAATCTTTTTTCATGGTCTGTAAGAATATTATTGTAATCATTTAATTGTTGCATATATTTTATTTGAATGAACCTTTCTCCATTTATCAAAGGTTCTAATACAAATATGTAATTCCAATAAGACTAAAATACTAAGTTAAAGAGTTAAATAAAAATAAACGTCTAAATGAATTCACCAATATTTTAATTTTAAAAGGTTTCTTCTGTTTAATAAAAATAATGATAGTAGATTAACAAACTAATCAAACATTTAGATAACTTAAAGCAACTAACTAATTTCCAGAATTTGAATGCTTGAAAACCTCTGTAATCATAGCTGTGCTTACTCAAAGTAGTTATCCTCATATCAGAAAGAGAATTTGCCCAGCTGTCTATAAAAAATAAAGCCCATGAAATGAACTTAGAAAGGTATATATGACAAGAGAATGGTCTACTTGTATCTCTTTTTAAAGTTAAAATCAGTAAGAGGTTCTCTAAAAGTATAAAAGAGATCAAAAAGTAAACAAAATTGTAGATTTTAATAGAGAAAATTATCATTAATCCTATGTAGCTTATGGAATTTGAAAGATCAATAACAATCTTTAACATCTCTTCAATATCTGGGTAGTATTCAAAAAAGTATTCGGAATCTATATTCTTGCTGTTCAGAATAAGCACAGTAAAAGAACTCAGAGATATCAAACAAAAATACAAAATTTAATCTTGTTATCCAGTAAAAATAATCCAAAAGAATAAAAACATGCTTTATAGAGCAGAAAATGTGTTTTAGATTTTACATTTTATCATTAAATTATCAAATGTAATCAAGTTCTTTTCAAAAAAGGTAAGTAAGTCAACAAATAAGAGTGATTCTAAAAGAGCCATTTTCAGTTAATTTAAAAAAATAGGCTGCATTTACGTGCAATGAATTAAGTATTTGGCAGATGTTGTTTTTTCCCATAATATAATTGGCAGAGCAAAAATAATCCATAAATAGTAGCCATCCTAAAAAATAATGAAGAAGATAAATAAATCAAAATATAAAATAAATAAATGAAATAACAACCTTTATTTGGAAGTAAAGAAAAAGTATTTAAGTCACCAAAGACACCTTAGTAGCAACGTAATACATCCATAGCAGTAGCTTGAAAGCAATTTATCTTAAACTTAAAACCATTTTCATTTTTTGGTAATATTAAAATATTGTTAATATTAGTATGTAATTTGATTTTGATGATTTGGTTGATTAATAAATCTAATAAAAATCATTGATTTAAAAATTTTCACTCTCATGATCAGAATAAGTAGAAGAAATTAATCAATTAATATATTTATTAATTCCTTCTTTCAATATTTTAAATAATATCAGATAAGAAATTAATATTTAAATCTTTTATCTTTCTATTTATTGATAAAAATACAATAAATATTATTTCAAAATATACAATTTCACCCAATATATTGTTGAGAAATTGATATTATTATTTAAAAATGAATATCTATGTTTAAAAAAATGATTGCTCTTCAAAATTAATTTATAAAATTTACTAAAGAGTTAAAAGTTTATATTGAAAGATGATTGCTTGTATCCTTTTAAAATACTCAATAAATTATTTTTTAATAAATAATTTAATTACTTTTATCAATATTCCAAAAAATATAGAAAAGAGTAAATATTAAATTTTTCTATAAAGTGCTTTACATAAAGGTTTTCTTTCATTGAGTTTAATAGAAATAGTTATGTTGAAAATTTGATTTCAAATTTATTATTTTATAGAATAATTTTTTTTTTAAATCTCAAAAAATCAACCTTTAAATTATTTATTAATACATGAATTATAATTTAAATTAATTCTAAATTTTACAGATATCTTGTCTATCACAACTTAAAGTAGACGTTTTAATTCAATACATTATTTAATTAGTTAATCAGTCATTCAATCAGTCAATCAGAAATTATATCAATTTATCTATCTTTATTTTTTTCACAATACCAGTTAATATTATATTTGTTTACTATAATAATTTATATTTCAAAAAATTAATATCTAATATAATAATTATATATAAGAGTAAAATATAAAGCTTAAAAATGGAAGAAGTGAATTTGAGTTACAAAGAAGTAGTAGAAAAAATTAAAAATAAACAAATTAACAATATTTTGTTTTTAACTGGAGCTGGGATAAGTACATCGTCAGGAATTCCTGATTTTAGGTCCCCAAATGGACTTTATTCGAAGGTTTAAAAATACAAACTTGAATATCCAGAATAAATATTTGAGATAAAGTATTTTACAAAGAATCAGATGCCATTTTATGAGATGGATAAAGAATTCTTTTCGAATAAACCACATTTTACATCAGCTCACTACTTTATGGCAGAGGTTAATAGGAGAGAATAGCTGCTCTTTGTTTTTTCTTAGAATGTTGATGGATTAGAGCTTGAAGCTGGATTACCTCCTGAGAAGCTCTGCTAAGTTCATGGCAATTACAGAGGAGCTAGATGCCAAAAATGTGGATTTAAACATGATATTAATAAATATAAGGAATTTGTTTAAAAATAAGTTATTTATAAGTGCGAGAATTGCAAGAGAGGTCCTGTTAGGCCTAATGTTGTATTTTTTGGAGAGAGTCTTGATAAGGGTTTTACGAAAAATACTTATAAAATAGCCGCTGCTGACTGTGTATTCATTATGGGCACTTCAATGTAAGTTGCTCCTTTTAATTTAACTGTAGAAAAAATATCTAAAAATGTTCCAGTAATTGTGATAAATAGAGACATGGTTTATTTACCTTACAAGAAATATATTCATCTTAAAAATGATATTGATGATAATATCGAAAAGCTCATGACAGATTTGGGTTGGGATTTCCCAAAGATAGAAAGAAATTATCCTTCAAATTGGTTTACTGACCCACAAAAGTAAGAAGAAACAAAAATTGAAGAAACTGAGCATGAAAATTTTAGTTATAGCTCTGGTTATTATAATAATAATATAACTCATCTATAAGATAATTAAGAAGATAAAGAAGCTACAGAAAAAAATGAAGATTAGGAAGAGTTAAACAACCTAGAAAAAAAATTCGAAGATTTGGATGTGTGAGAGATTTTTAAATTTAGAGAGAAAAGCTTTAATTATTATTATTATTATTAATTGTTTAGTTATTAATTAACACATTTAGTTGTTTTGTTTAGAATTTATTTATTTCTGTTAAAAGTTGATGCAAACATTTATTTTTTTAATTTAAATTAAAAAAAAATAATTTCAAAAAATAAAATATAAAATTTTTTTCATCAATTTTTTTAATTGTCAGATTTATTGTGGCAAACTTAAATTTAAGTTTGTTGATTATTTTTTTTTTAAATAAAATTTAAAATAAAAATTTTTAATAGTAAAATTTAAATTAAAATAAATATTTTTTAGAAATAAAACTTAAATTAAAATATTAATTTAAAAATAAATTTTTTTTGTAAAAATCTTTTAAAAATTGCATGCTTTCTGATGAAATTTAGAAGTAAGCAATTCATTAATTAAAATTAATTGAAAAACTAAAAAAGGAGGTAAAACTTGATGGGTTTGATCGGATTAATTGATTTTATTGTTTCGCGCATTTTCCTTGTAAAATTCAATTTGGTCTACTAACTTATTTCAGTAAGAATCTGAATTTTAATTAATTCAAATCAAAAAAAGAGGTTGATTAACCAAATTAATTAATAGTTATTGGTTGGCCTGTAAAGATATTTAGTTTAAATAATATTGAATAAGCTTGGAACCTGCAAAAGGGGAAATCATTAATAAATAAATAAATTAAACTAATTGAATACTTCAATTTGAAAAAGCTCAAACAAGTTCTTACTTATTTAAAAAGTATGATTGATAACTAAAGCGTAAACTAAGAGGGGCAGAACATTTCTTATTCTTGCTAAATTAGCAATTGCCCAATTAGTAAAAATGGAAACTTTAATGAAGGAGATATTAAATTTTGCACTGATTGCAATAAACTAATATGCAACACTTGCATAACTAGTCATGATGAAAACCACACCATTATTGAAGGTGCTAATTTCGCTTTCATTCAAGAGAATATGTCCAAAGTCCTTCCTAATTTAGGGAATCTGAGCCCAATTTTGCAAAGTAATAACTTAAATATAAGTAGTGATTCTAAGATGATAAGTGAAGATACTCTTCCTGATACAGAGGAAAAAAAAGTTTAAGAGAAATAGAATTTTAACTATAAATAGCAGCCTTAGTTTTTATAAAAAATAAACGACGATGATGATGAGGATGATGATGATAGTGATAGTGATGACGATGATCATATTATGAAAATGAAAAATTTCAGCAATATTGCTGCATAACTTAAAAATTTAAAAAATGACAGTGATGAAGAAGAGGAGGATGATGAAGATGATGATGAAATAAACTTTATAAGCCAAGCTGCAAGTAAATTAACTACTATAGGAAAAGTATCTAACTCACCAACAAATACTATGTTTGTAGAATATAACACAAAACCTCCAAGTGAAAATCAATTTGATTTTAATTAATAACAATAAATAAATAATGCGAGCTATAAATAGTCAGGTATAATGAATGGTACAAACTTTCTTTAAGTTCCTCAAGATTTTAATAATGTAAAACGTATAATCAACTAAAATTCTTACTAGAATAACAATTATTCAATTAATATAAATGGAGCGAATGGATATCAAAACCAGGAATTTAACTCAAACAAATTGTATTAAAATCAGTATGCTCTAACAGAGCTGTAGAAGGTCTTTTTATAAAAAGAAAAATATTACAATTTGGTGAGCTAGTTTTACAAATAAAACAAACCAAATAAGAATTTAGTTACTAAAAAGATAGCAGCACAATAAATAAAGAAAAAAAGAAAAGCTAAAGATGATTTGGGTGGCGATAATGAAAATGATGAAAGTAAAAATTAAGAATAAGAAGATATTCCTATTCCTCAAGTTTAAGACCATGTGAAAGAATCTAATAAGAAGTTAGGGTTACAGGAATTAAAAAATCGTTCTAAGTAGCTCTATGAAGAATTAAAAGCTAAATCTGATTTGATTTTTAAGGAAATAAAACACCACATTCATGGTGTTCAATACGAGAGAGATGAAACAGATAGAATTAATAAATATAAGAAATATGCTCTTGAAGGCATTGAGAGTTATTTCCTCTATCTTAAAGACTAATTTAAAATTGAGTATTCTAAATTGAAGAAATGTAAAAAGAGAGAATAACTAAGTAAAATGATGAACAAAGTAATAGATTGTATAGAAAAATATCAATACTATTCGGACTAGAAAGATTTTCTTGAATTTATGAACAAAAACTATGATTACTATTTGAATAATATTGAATTACTCTTACATGAAATTTAAAAAGAGGGCAATGATTTCCCTCCTCAATATAAAATAGTCTATGAAAATCTCTATGACATATTTTTCTCTCTTATAAGTTACATCTCATTGAACTTGCCTAACTAAAAAACTTATAGTCAATTTACTTAACCCATAATAAAGACTTAAAGCTCGAAATATTTGGTCATCCCTATTCACTATCCAAATGTAATGTTTGTTTCTATTACTTGAAATATCCTTTCGAATTCAAAAGAAAATATTTTAGAAATATCTAACAAAAGCTATTTTGAATAAAAAATAATTTTAAAAAAATTAATTTAAAAATTTTTAATTTTAAAGAAAAAAATAGTTGGAATATTTAACTGCAGAAGTAACGAATTAGAATAAATCGAATATGATTGCTCTTAGACTATGGATTTCTAGAAGTATAGCAACTTTTAATTGGTTAATGATAGCGATTTTATTTACTTTATTGGAGGAGTAATATTTAACAAAGAGAAGAGCACCTTTAATCCTAGTTAAAAGTGTTTCAAAATGAGTAGACATTCAGGGGAAATTATAGCCCTAAAAGACATGCCTTATCCTAAAATGAAGTTTGGAACAATTATGATTGGTAATTTTATTTATGTTTTTGGAGGTTTACAAACTCAAGAAAAGCACCGTACCAATACTTGTGAAAAATATGACATTAACACTAACACATGGAAAATATTACCTGTGATGCAAATGAACAGAGTATGCCCAGTAGTCTCATCTTTCACCACTATAGGTAGTGGCTTTAATTAAAAGCAATTAATTTACTTATTCGGTGGCATGGAAGACAAAAACAACATTAATTAATCTATTGAAGTCTTCGACTAAAAGCTAGATATTTGGATTGACTTCTTATAAAAACCAGCAAATAGTAGATGCTATATCCCAAAACAACTTGGTTATGGAGTTTAAATTAATTAAGAATAAATCTTAATTATCGGAGGTAATAAATAAATTTATTTATTTCAAATAATTAAACAACTCATTGAATTTTTATTTAAAAATGTTTTTTAAATTAATTAGGTTTATCTGGAAGAAAGCAAAAACCTACATCATAAACTTATGTGTATAATGTTTCTAAAAATTCCATATGTAATTTAAGTTTAGACTCTTTACCAACAGGAATAATTAAAGACTCTTTCACTGGAATGCCTGTTGTTTATGATAACTCAATTTTCCTTCTTAACACTCAAATAAGCTAATACTTCCCTTCACTAAAATAATTATAAGGAGTAACCAATGTTATAAAGATAGGATTGAATCAATAAGAAATTTTAGCAACTCATTGTTTTTGAATTGAAATAATAACCAAATATATAAATTAATTAATAAACAGCACATAGTTTTCATATAAATTTAAAATAAATTCTTAAAATTTTCACTGATTAAAATAAAGAATGAATAAATAAAATAAAAAATAGCTTTCAAATTAAAAATAATTGTTAAATACTTTAAAAATACTACCAAAATAAATAAATAAATAAATAAAATAATAATTTTCTTTGTAATATTCATGTTATTATGTTATTGTTAAAAATAAAATTTGTTACTTCACATATAATCTTCATATTATTTTTATTTACAATTAAAGGTAAAATAATTTTTTAATAGGTAAAAAATTTTAAATTATTTGTTTAAATAAGCCTAGGTTACTATAAGTTTAAGTATATGTGCTTGATATACTGCAAAAATTTTGATTTAAAATTATAAACTAAAAACTATTCTTTTTCTATCTTTGTTTCCTCATTTTATTTTTATTCTTTATTTAATAAATTTTTTATATTAGGTTATAATTATTGTATTTTATGGGTTTTAAAAATAAATTATTATTTTAAAAAATAGTATGAAATTTAGCATTTAAGCATTATGTTTAAATAGATAAATTATGTATTTTTAATAAGCAGAGCCTTTTATTCTTTATTTAAATATTTCTTATTTACTCTTTTATGAATAGACAAAATATCAAATTTTTAGATAGTATTTAATATTTATTCAAATAAGTAAATAAATATACAGTTTATTTTTATAATTTAAACATTCTCATATTTATTAAATAATAAAGAATGATAGGTTATGATAGAACAATTAAGAATAGAAAAACTTATTATTTGACGTTCAGAATTTACATAAAAGTATTCAAATTTCTAAAAATAATTCATTCAAATATTATTACAATTTAATTAATTTTTTTTTAATTCATAGAATTTCAACTCATAACATTTCATAAAAATTAAAATAAGATTTTCTAAAAAAATAAGTAATAGCAAGTAAAAATTAGTATTCTTTTATGAGCGAATAGGGATTTCTTACAAAACTACTCTTAGCAATGATGATTATTATACAAATATGTTAAGCATGTATGATTTTAATGAATTTTATAGTTTAGATTAACTTATTTAACCATATTATTTTTATAAAAGAGGAAACTGAAAAAGATGAATAAAATAAACCTAAATAGCAAGAAGATGATGATGGAAATAGCACAGTAGTTTACATATTATTAGCTATATTAGGAGGAGGTTTCTTGTTCTTTTTATATAATACTTGGAGATGTCACAGAAACAGATAAATCGAAGAAGATGAATAAGAGTTTAATAAAATAGAATTCTAAGATCATAAGGAGCCATGATACAAATATTTGCAATAAATAAAAAAAAATAAATTTTCTATTTCAATAAGTCAAAAATTATGTTAGGATTTAATAGAAAGAAGAGAAAATGTTTATATTTATCACAGATTTTTAATTTTATAATGAGTTTAAGTAATTTTCATACTAATTATATTCAAAGATAGAAACTAATTTATGTTGTATATGTATCAAAAATTTTGATTGATTCTCTACAAAAAAGATTGACTAATCTATCTATTTATTTATGTATGACTATTTTTTTAATTATCTTTCTATCTTTTATAAAAATTTGCTTTAAACAAGATTAGTTAGTTAGAAAATTCAAACTGAATTCTAATAACTAACTCAATAATAAATTAACTAATTCTTTTTGATTAAAAATTAGTTATCTATCTATTATTATTGCATTTTTATTTGAAATTACCTAATATGAATAAAAACTTTAAAATAAATATTTGAATATATTTTTATATGATAAATAAATGTGATAATAAATAAAATGGTATTATATTAATTTATTTGGTATAATAGAGACAACAAAAATAACATTTATTATCAACAAACCAAAAATATAAAAACAATTATAGTTAATAAAAGCTAATTGAATTAAATTTTATTCATAAATGAATATAGGTTTTTCTCATTGAAAACTGAGTAGTATGTTTCATCAGGAATCTAACATCCTTTTTGGTCAAGAGTTGCTTATATTGTTCCTGCTTCTTTGAAACAAGCATTGCACTTAGAGTCAGTCCAGAAATCTTGATGATCACAAGTAATGCAAGTGAATGAACCTATGTCAAAATAATGTTTAGGACATCCTGGAACATTGTTATATATACATTTTGATCTTTCAGGAACAACAAGAGTGCAGTCTACACATTATTTTTCAGGATCATAATATTTAAATGATGAGCAGCTAGGTACATTTGAATAAACACATGTTTTGTTAATAGCTATAGAGCAATCTACACAAAAGCCTAGGTTAGGACTGTAATTAAAAGATCCACAAAATCCTACGTTTTAATTCAAGCACGAACCATCGCTTGTAGGAGTAGTACAATCAAAACAACTAATATCATTTGCTGAATATGAATAGTTATAACATCCAGGAACATCTATATTAACACATTTATAATTTACAGCTTGAGAACAATCAACGCATTTGTCCTATCTTTCATCATATTAAAAATAGGAACATGCCCCATAATTCTAATAAATACACTATTTATTAACTGCTTAAGTGCAGTCATAGCATACTTAGGTTAAATCATCAAAGATATAATTTTCACACCCTGTAATATACCTATTTAAGCATTTTAAACTCTACCCGATGCTACAATCAACACATAGGTTTTGTCCTTCACTATAAACAAAAGTTTTACAAAGAGGATCGGAGGCATTAACGCATTATTTGTTTTTAGCTTAAGAGCAGTCCAAACAATTAGCTATCTGAAATACTAAAAAAAAGATAAAACCTATTTTTGATTTCATTTTTATTTTTTTCATTAAATATGTTTAGTTCTACTTAAAAGTTGATAATTTTCTTTTAAATTTTATGACTTTAATTTTTTTTCTTCTTTTTTGGGTTTCTAAAAGACAGACAACAAAGTTTTAAATAAATAATTAGCCTATCAAAAAATAGTCAAACATTATTTGGCATATGATAAATAAACGAAAAGTTCTTTTAAGTCTTACAAAAAGCATTTAAATGAAGATAATTGAAATATTCAACAGCCATTCTATTTTTGTATTAATTTAGCATATAATAAATAACAGAAAAATATATATGTAATTTCTAAAGGTTAAGAGAATTAATATTAGATATGAAAAACACTTAGATTTTTTTAAGGAAATTTTTAGATTAAAAAAGTAATAGTAAAATAACATTTATTATTTTTTTACTACTGTATATTTTTTAAGCAGATAGATATGCTATTTATTATTTTGATTTTTTATAAATTAACAAAAAATAAATATATAATTTAGTAACAAATATAGGTTAGTTAGTTGGTAAAAAATTATTTCTTTTTTATAACAATTTTTTATTTTGAGAAAGTTGAAAATAATTAAACTTAAATATTTTATTAATTCTTAAAAATTTAATAATTTAAAAAAAGATAAGATTCCTTATTATTTATTTATATAAATCATACATTCTAAATAAAATATTTTTTAATTTTATAAAAGATGTAAATGTCAGTTTTAACTGTAATCTTTCTCAATCATCCTCTATATAACCCTCTGATCAATATTTATATCTCAAGCTTAATACTCCTCCCAGTATTAAAACCTTCTCTTGATTACTCCATATTGCTTTTTTGTTCTACACATTAAAAAATTTTACAAGAGATAAAGTTTCCTAATAATGTATACTGATTATTGAAGTATGAATACCTAGCCTTAATACATATAAATTATTTCACAAAGTACAAATAGTATCAAACAATGTTTCTCAATTAAAACAACTTTTAAAGCAAATCTCGCTTTTATAATTTTAATAAGCAAAGTCTTTTTTAATTCTACTAATGAATAATTTAAATATTCATTATTTACTGAATTTTCTAAAAATTTTGGGGTATTGAAATTAAATTACATAAACTTTTAAATTGTTTAGTAGTTGTGATTCAAATTTAAAATATCCAAAGAAAATATGATTCAAAAAGATTAACTTGTTTTAAAGAATATAGACAATAAAGAAAAAACAATTAAAAATTTAAGTATTAGTGAAAATATATTTTTATTTAGCTAGGATCAATTAATTGGTTGAGTTTAAGAGTTTATTTAATAAATTATAAAATTATTTGTTTGTCTTGATTACATTTTCATTGTATGTTTAGTACAAAATTAATAGTTATTATTGAAAATTCTTAGTAGATAATTTATGTAATTTAGAACTTTTAATTGATTATTAATTAATTAATTTATATTGCAATTTTCAGTATTAAGATAACCTCTACTTTTGGTAAAGGTTTTTTTCTCTTTCAGCGACTCTTTAAAGCTACAAAGTAATTGATTCTACTTCTCTTTGTTTTGCATCTAAGTCTTATTTCATTATATCTTTATCACTTTCTAGCTATCTAACTTAATTTCCTAACTTTTATATTTTGAAATTCAGCTCTCTTTTTTCTCTTTCAAACTTGTTATTTAAGTCTTTTATGCTTTCTTCTCGTACTTCATCCATTTCTTTTTTAAAATTTATTTCTAGGTCCTCCATCTGATCTTTCATTAATCTAAACAAAATTATTTTTGAGATAAAAATAATTTAATAAATATGATTTTTTTACTGCTTAAGATGATTAGCTCTGGAAATATCGTCAATCAGCCTTTTATTTTTGGTCTCTAGTTCAATAATCTACATTTTAGTTTAGCTTAGTTAAGTTTCTGCCTACTACAAAGAGATTGTTAAATGTGATTTCGTGTTGTCATTTTGTTTCTCTAATTATTGTATTTTTTTATGCTGCTATGTATACTTATTTTCAAGTACTTAGTATTAAGTTTAAAGTGCTAAATAAGTATTCTGAATTTATTCATTTTTATTTATCATTATGTTAACCTAGCTCTCAAGGTCTAATATCTTTTCATTAGAGACTTTGTTCTGTATTGATAGAATATCTAATTACTTCTCTTTTTCTTCAATTGATTTAGTAAGCTCTATTTTTTCGTTCTTAATTTTGTTTGCAATTTAAGGTAATTCTTCCTTGAATTAATTCAGTTCTTATTTCTTATGCTCATAGCTCTCACTTAAGTACTTAAATTCATCTAATAATCGCTTATATTTTGTATCTAAAGATGCAATTTAGTTCTCATAATTTTATTCACTCTTTCTGAATTTTAAATCGTTTTCTTCTTTTTCTTCTGAAAGTTATCTCTACAATTTATCTCTCTGATTTTCCAGCTATTATTTTAAAAAAAATATGTTATACTTTTATTAATTAAAATATAAATAAAAAACTAGAATTAACTCAAAATTGTTTTATTTATTCTTTTCATAATTAAGTTGATTTTTTATTTTATTTTTCAGTTATTAATAAAACTAACAAAATCGTAGAAAGAAAAATAAGAATTTTGAAAAGAAGAATAAATTTAAAATGTTGTTGTTGAAATTATTTCTTTAAATTAATAAAAGAAAATATTACTTTTAATAATTTATCTTTTAAATTGGCTATTTCTATTTAATTATCCTCGTTAATTTTCTATAACTCAAGTAGAGTAGAATCAAAATGAACTCTTTCTTATATTTTAAGTCTATCCTCTGACTAAATTTGGCTAATCTAATAATTTAATTTGTTGATTTGGTCTTTTAATTAGATGATTTCTTGTTGAGATTACTCTAGTTAATTTAAATTTTTCTAAAATTGTTCATTTGTTTCGAATTCTTTTTGTTAAATCTATAGCTTTAAATCTTCAATTTGTTGCTTGTATCTATTTGTTTCTTGATGACTTACTTTTTCTTTAAGTTCATACACATCTTAAGTTTCTTTTAAAAAGTTTTCTCTCTCTTCTTCCAACTGATGAAGATTATTTTAAATTCTCTCTAATTAAATTTATTCCTGCTCTCTTTCGTATAAAAGCTTATCTTTCTCAATTAACAGCTCTTGAATTTCTTGCGATTTTTCTTTAAGCACTTCAGTTAAGTTATCGTTGACAGCAATCATCTAATCCAATTTATCAGTGACAGCAATATTTTTATTTTTCAAATCTTCTATTTCATTCAAAAAATGTATTTTATCTTGCTAAGATCTCTTATTTTCCAAACATGTATTCATTATAATTTATTCCTATTAAAACTTTTAATGCTCTTAATTACCCATATAAATTTTAAACTAATCCTAGAAATAATCTGCTCTGTTTTTCTCCTCCATCAACTTAAGTTTTATAAAGAATAATTTTAATAAAATTCATAAAATGTTTTTCTTAAAACAAAAATAGCAATATTAAATATTTTACGATTGAGAGAGAATAAAAAGTTATAAAATCAAAATTAAAAAAGTTTTATTTTTTATTAAAAAGTTCTAAAAATTTACAAATAAAAATATTTTTTTTTAAATAAACCTAAAAAATATTTTTAAATGTTTTGTGAGGGATTAAAAGTTGATTTTCTCATTTTCTATTTTCAAAAATTAATTAGTAGTTAATTAATTTCTCTATTAAATTATTAAGATAAAATTCAAAAATTGTTTATTTAAAATTTATTGTTTGTCAAAAAAATTCAAATGGAAACAAAAATATAAATTTTAATTTACTTGCTTTTTGGTTAAAACTAACTCATCTCTAAATTTTTCAATTTCAAGAGTGTAGGCTTTAATTTCCTCTAGTTTTTCATTGATTTAATGCTCTGTTTCTCTTAGGATAGCTTCTTTCTCCTTATCATAAGTTTATTTCAGCTAAAGTATTTTGTTTTCTTTAAGCTCTAGTTATTCTTTATTTAAATCTATTATTTTCTTCATTTCTTATATTAATTCTTTGTTTTCAATTAACTGTCTATCTTTGATCATTTGATTTTCCTCTATTGTCTTCATATAAACTTAATGTTTTTTAAATTATTTTGGTATAACTTTACTTCTTTTGTTGTTTTCAATTAGTCTGCATACCACTCAATAGCATTTTATTTGGCTACTTTCTCTTGAAGAGATTTATTTTCTTCTAAGAGAGATTTAATTTTTATCTTAAAATTACTATTTTCAGCTGAAATCTATTCAATAAGAGTGTTTTTCTCACTAACAATATTCGAAACAGCCTCATTGAGCTTATCCTCAGTGAATTATTCTTGCTAGAAAATAATTTCATTGTTTAACACTTTATTTTATTCCTATGCTTCTCTCAATTATTTTTCAAGCTATTTGATTAATTGATTTTTCTTTTCCAACAAATCTTGGAATTTTGTCATAGAATTTTAACTTTAACTGTGTTCTTCTTCTCTATTTAAAATATAAATGAGAATTGATCAAAAAATATAAAATAATATTTAAAAACATAATTTCAACTAACATAAAAAAATTCAACTTTACCTTTGCTTTAACAACTCTATCTGTTCTTGCTTTTCTTCCATCATTTTTAGCAACGTGTTATTTTCATTAGAAAGTATTGTAATCTTTATTTCAAGTTTGTCAAGAAGTTCTTAATATTCTTCAGTTTTTTCACAAAGACTCTAATTCTCTTCGTTTAGTAAATTGTATTCCTTCATATATTTTAAGTTTTAATTTACTCTTTCATTAAGTTATTGATAATCCTAAGCTAATTTTTGATTTTAAAAGTTTAGCTACTCATTTTCTTCTACTAATTTATCTATCCTTTATATCAATATGGCTTCTTAGTTGTTTTTTTATTTAAGATCATCTATTTCGAGTTGCTTTGTCGCTATCATTTTTAGCAATTAAGATCTATCAGTTTGTAATTCTATAATTTTTTATTCATGTGATTATGCTTTACTAAAATTTTTAGATGCTGTGTTAATCATATTTTGTAAATTTCTCTCTTTTAAAATTTCTCTTGTTTGATCGAATGTCCCATTTAAGCTGAAAGTTTCAGAGTGCAAAGAGCTATTTTGCTCTTGTTACATTTTATCTTCTACGTTTGATTTAATTTACTTTTAAATATTCTCATCTATATTTTTAAGTTAACTAATACTGTTTCTCAAAATTTAATTTTTATTAACCTGCTAGTTTATCTGCTTACTGTTATCAGGAATAATGTTAGCTTATTACTACTATTGCGGTTAATTAAGTTAGTTTCTAGAAATTACGTATTAAAGTTATATTGGCTAAGTATTAGCAGCTATATTAGGATTTGAAGATGCGCTTCTCAAAGTCCTTGATGATTCTAACTGGTTTTAATTCTGTTAATTTGATTATTAAAACTAATTCTACTATTATATTTGAGAATTTTGAATACTCTACTAGTTCTTCTAACTGAAGGAAAAATTATTTGGATTATGCTGTCCTTTATCTTTAGAGAATAATTTATTAAATTTTTTATTTTGTTCCTCAATTCTTTTTTGGGTCTCTTGATTTATATAAACTATGTTATTAGTCCCATTATTTATTACTTAAGGATTACTTTGTAGGTTTTAAATGGGTTAAATATTTTGAGCTTAATTGCTAAATTAATTTTATTAAATATGCGGCTGAATTACCATTTAATAGGGTAAATTTTTATTATTTGCTAAATTAGGTTAAAGTTTGGCTTGCACCTATTAAGCATGCTATTTTCCGCTTGTTGGAGTTAGCACAGGAGCTGTCTTTAAAAATTATGTATTATTTTATGTGATAGGTTGAGAAGGGCTTTCGTTACCAAGAATTCTAATTTAATTTCTACCTTTATTTTAAGCTTATGGACTTAGCTAGTAAATTCCTTCGCATACCGGTTTTAATGTGTTAGCCTTATTTATTTATGGTGACATTTATCTAATAGGTGAGCTTTATTTAATATTAGCATTTCCGTTTGATATCAAAGAAACTCCTGAAATCTAAACACTTCGAGCAGAATTTGGTTCAGAAGCAGTGTAGTTTAATATTGAAGAATTGATAGAGGGAGATATTTATCTTGTATCTCGAGGGGATGGAGAAAAAGAATTTCCATTTTGTCGCTACTTAGATGAAGGAGAATAGCAGACGTAATTTGTAGAAACCTATTTCTACAGCATTTCTTTGAAAAATATTCTATCTTGAATTATACTTTATTAAATAGATATAAACTGACTGACAATATGAATGAATTAAATAAGAAATTTTATCTGCCTATTTCTTTTTGGCTGGTAATTTAATTTGATTGATATTACAGATTATTCAATTCAATCATTAATCAAAATTCATTATTAAAAGAAATTTTATTAACAACTAAATTCATTTAATTTATTTAATTTGATGAGAGCAAATAGATTTTAAAATTCAATTAATTAGCTAACATTTTATTCAATTTATTATTTTTTTGCAAAAAAATAATAGATATATTTTTTTTAAAATACATCTTACATTTTTCATTTTAAGTTTTAAGAATCTTTTACATAATACCTTTTCTATATTTATTTTTTTATACAATCTAACTAAAATATAAATAATATTTTTTGCTTTCTACCTATAAATTAATTTATATAAATCAAATAGTTGGATTTATAAATATTTCTACTAAATTTACTTTTTTACAAAAATTTTATAAATAAAATTATTTGCAAAAGGCCGAAGTTATTATTATAGTAAAGATGTTGCTGGTATTTTTTTATATTATATATTTTAGATATTAATTAAACAAAGCTCACTTAATGCAAAGATTCAAGCGATTATATTTTAACTGAGTGTTAATTAATAATAACTTGTAGAATTTCAAAATGTACAAAAATTAAAAATGATTTATACATCTAAAGATAAAGTAAAATAATTAAAATTAAAATTAAATAAATTATTTAAGTTTAATAAAAATACTTAAATGAAGATTAAATTCCATAATTTTCAATTTAACACTAAAAATATTATCAATATATATATATTGAACAATTATAAAGTAGAGACTTCTGAGGTAGATGTATTTCCATTGTTGTTAGTATTGACTATATAACATACACCTTAGTAAACAACTCCTGAGCAAGTACAATCAGAATTATTACCTTGAGTAAAACCTTACTATACACAAATGGAATAATTTTTACTTGCACAATTGTTAACCCCCTATACAGAGCAATTCAGATTAGTAGGATTCACACAATCATAATTTAAATCACCATTTTAATCCTTAGTAATGCTCTAAATGTAACCAAGATAAAAACATATTGAGATGCTATTTTAGCAATAATTATTTCCATTATCAAGACAATTAATTTTATACTAGCATTAACCATTGATTGAAGTCCATCCTCTTTCTGTGCATGTAATTTTACCTTAACCGCAGTAGTTATTTGTGTTATCTTCGCACTCTGCATGAGTCGGGTACTCGTAATGATCATTTACCCATTTATATCCTAATGAGTCACAATAAGATGATTTTACTTTATATGTTGGATCACAAAAAAATTAATCTTTATCCATAATTAAACAAGTTTCATCATCCAAACTTTGAGCAAACCCTGAGAATTAGCATGCCGAACTACAAATTTTACCAGGCTAAACACAAGTATTTACATCTATAAAACAACTTTTTCCATCTTAGGCTACTGAGAACCCTTGATTAATGCAGAAAGCTTAATAAGGAAGAGGTAAAGTATTACCAAATCTTGTAGGTGTAGCACATATGGGGTTTTTAAGGCAATCAAATGGTTAAGGTTTTTCAGGTACATTATTTCGTATTAAATATCCTAGCTCTAGGGCTAGTCCTTGTTAACTTACTTTAAAATCTCCATAGTTATCTTAAGGTAATTAGGTAAACAATTGCTTAAGTGGCTTTAGTATAAATCCTACCATCACTTAACAATTAATCGGGACTATTGGTTGATTAAGCTACAGGCAATTTAGGACATTAGGATTCTAGCAATCACCATTTCCATTAGAAGAGCTAGCAAAATTATAGTACTTTATACATATTGAGTCTTAACTAGAGCACATATTTAAACCTCTTCGAAGACAATATTATGATATAAACATTTTATCAGGATTTTAAAAATTCTAAAATCCACATGCGTGATAAAAAGTATCAAGTGTTATACCTAAAGCTGAGCATGTAGATGAGTCAGGAATTTAGCAACTATTATCTTACCCTAAAATAAAACCGTAGAACTAACAAATATTTGAACAATTAGGTTAGTTTAAGCATTAATTTGCAATATCAACAGCATTCATAGCTCTCATCATATGGCAAGCATGGTTATAATTGGAGCCGTCATAGAATTTGCATGTTTATACTTCAGGAATTTTGCAATCTTTAAATCCTAAAAGAGCGCAGTTTTCAGGACATTTATCTTAGGTACATTTTGAAAATATATAATCTAATGGGTTGTTGAGTTGTATATCACTATATTACATGTAATTATTATACTCAATATACTTGGTATAAGAACATGTAATAGAAGTATCAAAAATGTTGCAAAATTTACTGTATGTATCAGTGCAGAAAGAAGTTTATGGTTATGCAGAACAGTAATCGCTTATTGCATTTTAATTAAATCCAAAGTATGCAAAACAATAATGCAATTGATTATTAGGTGTCTCTAACATATTTTAGCACTAAGTGTAGTCGCCATTATTTGGAATTACACAGTCATCATTCGTTTTGCTTTTTTCAAGTTTGTAATATCTTAAGCAAATATTATTGCTACTACATTTACCACTACCGGGTATAAGACAAGTTTCAATTTAAGGGTATTTGCATGTACCATCTGTATTAGTTACAAATCCAATTAAATTACATACTGATTTATTTGAAGAACAAATGGGGTTATTTATGTTTATTTGGGTTATACAATAGCTTAAAGTTATATTGAAATTAAAATAAATTTTCTAATCTAAGTTATTATAAATATCTTAGGAATTTACAAAATTCATATTATTGTCTAAAGAAATAAATCCCCCTACCTCACATGCATGATTGATAATATTCTATTTTTTTAGTTAACTGCAGTTTTAAGGTATAATACAAGTAGCTTTTTGATTTATAGAAGGATTTGAAAATCCAAACTATTTTTAACAGATTGTAGTAAACTTTTATGAGCATTTTTCTTGCCCCAAGCAATCGCTAATTATATTTGGTATTCTGCATTTAAAGTTTGAAGGGTCAAAAATAAAACCTGCTTTCCTACAAAAACTTTGAGATCTTTAGCAAAGGTTCTCACCATCACATTATTCTAAAGTAGGAATAGTCCATCCTATTATGTTATTAAAAATTAATCCTAAATAATTACCTAAAGAAGTCCTCTGGGAACCAAAATTAGCATCTTATTAATTATCTTATTTGTTACATAACTAAGATTAACTTAAACAAATGTTTGTAGGATCCTGACATACATTTGAGCCTTTTGAAATCTAAGTCCATCCTAATTCTTTACAGATAAATTTATCTGTACTGCATCCATATTGAGATTATTCTGTTGCGTTATCGCAAGCTGAATGAGGAGGAAACAAGCACCTAGAAGTAGACTATATCAAGTCATACTTAGATATACATGCTTGAGGGCAGTAATTGTATGTATCAGATTTATAGTTAATGCAATCAGTTATCGACAAATTTATGTAGCATTTACCTAAAGAATTTAATGCAGAATATCCAAAGGCACCTATCTCAGTTGAGCTAACTTACAAACAAAAACTATTATTAGTTTAGCAGTTATAATTTTAATGACAATTAAAAGTACAAGTCTATGTGTCGCTATTATAAATAAAATTAAATTGTTAAACACAAAGGCTATTTGGTCCATTACAATAAGTAGCATAATTTGCAGGTTATAAACAATCTCTTGCTTCGAGCTTTCTACAAGTACCATCACCACGATCTATAAACCCATAACTTCTACAGATAGAATCAATATAAAAAGAACTACAGAGAGGTTTATCTAAACAATTTATTGCTTGGTCTGTTGATACTCTAATGCAATTTTGTTTTTTTTTTTGTTAATAATATCCTAAAGCTTAGCAAATAGGGTTGGAATTACATTATTTTATACAGTTAAAGCTAGGTAAATCTTAGGGTATTTGACAGGTAAAATCAGTTGAACTCTTTGGAACTAAATTTCTTTCTATAGTACATACACTATCTTGAAAGCAATTCTATTCTGCTGAATTTAAACATGCTGCATAAGAAGGTTATTAGCATTATCCAGTCGGGGAAGATCTAATATAACCATAAGAACTACAAGCATTGAATCCCATCATACATCTGTAATCTTAAAAGCAATATGATGAATACTAGTCTCTCTAAACAACTAATTTATCATATTGATCTGAATTCTATAAATAACATTTTTCTATTATGAATAAAAATAAAATAATACTACAAAATTAATTCATTTCGGCTTTTAAATTGATTAAATTTTTTATAGGATTAGTTTCTTTTTTTTTCTTTTCTTTTAATTTCACTTTTCAAATATAAATGCCAAAAAAAAATTTATGTTTTTTATTAAATAATTTACTAATTGATTTTTAATTATACTACTATTTTTTTAATGCATTTTATAGTTTAGCATAAATAAGTAATAACTAAGAAGCCATTTTAGAATACTCGAGCAACTAAATAGTTAAGCATATAAACTCAATAATTTTACAACTACTTTTACTATTCAATTTTAGCTAACTTACATAAGGTTTTACATTTTTTAAAAAAATTTAATTTTATAAAGATATAATGATTAATGAAATGATTATAAATTATTGAATCTATCTTTTTATCATAGCAAAAACGTTTTTTTAACTTGCATGTGAAAAACTATAATTTATGGAATATTTTTTTGAAATTAATTAAAAAATAAAATTTAGCTTAAACAATATCTTATTTATTAAATAATAATAATAAATTTAAATTAAATTTATTTATTTTCTCCTTTCAAAATTATAGCAATTTTGTATGTTAATTGGGTATCCAAAATTTTAAAATACTAGTCTTTTTATGTGCAATTTTTATTATATTTAATATATAAATATATGAACTAAAATTGGTTTATCCTGACATTTAATTTAAATAAATAATAAATTTTTAGGAATTTAGAATAAAAAAACTAAATAATTTTATGAATACTTAAAAGGAAAAATAAAACTAAATTAAAAAATTTTAAAAACTAAACAAAGATAAAGCTTTCACTTTAACACTAAAAAAATGATAGATAAATATAAAATAGTTAATTTTAAGAAAGAGGCTTAACTAGTAGTTATATTTCCTTAGTTGCGATTAATTACTATATAACAAGCACCTTGATAAACTTACCCTGAGCAAATACAATCAGAATTATTACCTTGAGCAAATGCTTACTAAACACAAATAGAATATTTTTTACTTGCACAATTTTTAACACCTTATACTGTGCAGTCTAAATTATTAGGGATTGTACAATCGTAATAAAGTTATTTATTTTCATCTTAATTAATTTACTAAATAAATCCAAGATAGTAACAAATCGAAATACTATTTTAACAATAATTACTGAACTTATCAAGGCAATTTATTTTATATTCGCATTAACCATTAACTGAAGTCCATCCTCTTTCTGTACATGTAATTTTACCTTAACCACAATAGCCATTTGTGTTATCTTCACATTCTGCATGAGTCGGGTACTCGTAATGATCATTTACCCATTTATATCCTAGTGAGTCACAATAAGATGATTTTACTTTATATGTTGAATCACAATAAAATTAATCTTTATCCATAATTAAGCAAGTTTAGTCAGTTTTATTTTTCTGTGCAAATCCTGAGAATTAACATGCTATACTGCAAGCTTAGCCTGGTTTAACGCAAGTATTTACATCAACAAAACAACTTTTACCATCTTAGGCTACTGAGAATCCTTAATTTATACAGAAAGTTTAATAGGGCGCAGGAGAAGCACTACCAAATCTTTTTGGTGTAGCACATATGGGGTTTTTAAGACAATCAAATGGTTCAGGAGTTTTAGGCTTTTAGTCGCTATTTAATAATAATCCTAGCTCTAGAGCTAGACCTATTTAATCTTGATTTAAATTTTCATAATCCTCTTTAGCCAAATAGATAAATAATTGTTTAACTGGTTTTAATACAAAACCTACCATAACTTAGCATTTAATAGGAATTATATTTTAATTAAGATTCAGACAACTAAGGACATTAGGATTCTAGCAATCACCACTACCATCAGAAGAGCTAGCAAAATTGTAGTACTTTATGCATATTGAATCTTAACTAGAACACATATTTAAACCTCTTCTAAGACAGTATTATGATATAAACATTTTATCAGGATTTTAAAAATTCTAAAATCCACATGCATGATAAAAAGCATCAAGCGTTTTACCTAAAGCTGAACATGTAGCTGAGTCGGGAATTTAGCAGCTATTATCTTACCCCAAAATAAAACCATAGAACTAACAAATATTTGAGCAATTAGGCTAGTTTAAGCATTAATTAGCGACATCAACTGCATTCATAGCTCTCATCAAATGGCAAGCGTGGTTATAATTTTAGCCATCATACAAACTGCAAGTTGAATAATCAGGAATTTTGCAGTTTTTAAACCCTAGTAGATTGCATTTTTCCGAACACTAATCAATAGTACATTTCGAAAATATATAATCAAAAGGATTGCCTTATTCAATATCACCATATTATATGTAATTATTATATTAAACATAAGTGGTATAAGTACAAGGAGTAGAAGTATCAAAAATGTTGCAAAATTGACTGTATGTTCCTGTACAAAAAGTATTTGATGGTTCTGAAGAACATAACGTGCTTGCTGGAGTGTATTTAAATCCAAAGTATGTTTAGCAATAGTGCAATTGAATTCTAGGCGTCTCTAATAAGTACTAACATTTGGTATAATCACCATTTTTTGGAATAACGCAATCATTGCTAGTTTTACTTTTTTCAAGTTTAAAATATCTTAAACATATATTATTTTGACTACAATTACCGCTCCCTGGTATGAGACAAAAGTCAATTTCTGGATATTAACAAGTTCCATCTTTATTAGCCTTGAATCCTATCAAATTACATACTGATGTACCTGAAGAACAAACAGCATTATTAATTTTTATTTAAGTTAAGCAATAACTTAAAGTGATATTATAATTAAGATCAATATTGATATTCAAGTTATTATAAATATCTTTTGAATCTATGAAATACATATTATTATCTAAAGAAATAAATCCTCCTATTTCACACGCGTGATTGACTATATTTTATTTTTTTAATTAGCTACAATTTTAAGGGATTATGCATTTAGATTATTAGTTAATAGAAGGATTTGAAAATCCATATTATTTTTTACATATTGTCATAAATTTATCTGAGCATTTTTCTTGCCCCAAACAATCTTTTAATATATCTGGAACTGAACAATTATTAGTTAAAGGATTTAAAATAAAACCAGCTTTTCTGCAAAAACTTTGAGGTCTTTAACAAAGGTTCTAACCATTGCAATAATCTAAATCAGGAATCTTCCAACCAACAATAATATCCTAAACTAATCCTAAATAATTTCCTAAACTAGTATTTTAAGCTTTGATTGTATACTATTAGCTATCTTACTAATTGCATAACAAATATTAGCTTAAACAAGTGTTAGTAGGATCTTAACATTCATTTGAGCCTTTTTAAGTTTAAGTCCATCCCAAATATTAACAAAGATATTTATCTGTACTGCATCCATATTTAGAGTATTATGTTGCATTATCGCAGTCTGAGTGAGAGGGTAATAAACATCCATTTTGTGACTATATTAAATTATATTTAATAATACATGCTTAAGGACAATAAACATATTATGTAGATTTATATTTAATACAATCGTTTATAGACAAATCTACGTAGCATTTGCCTTAAGAATTTAATTTAGAATATCCAAAAGCACCTAACTCACTTGAGTTTATTTTCAAGCAAAAACTACCATCTAGGCAGTTAAAATTTTAAAGACAATCAAAAGTACAAGTCTATTTGCTGTTATCATATACAAATTTGTATTTTTAAACGCAAGTACTGTTAGATCCATTACAATAAGTGTTTATATTTTGAGGTGATAAATTTAAACAATCGCTTGCTTAAAGTTCTAAACATTTGCCTTTACTATCACCTATATATCCAGAACTTTTACAAATTGAATCAATATATGAAGCGCTACAAACCGGACTATTTAAACAATCCTTTTGTTTATCACTTATTTTTAGGCAGCTGCCTCCTGATGAATAATATCCTAAAGTTTGGCAAATAGGTAATGCTGCACAATTAGATGGACAACCAAAATCAGACAAATCACTGGGTATTTAACAGGTAAAATTAGTATTACTTTTTGGAATTAGTTTCATTTCAACAACACACACACTATCATTAAAGCAATTTTATTGCGTTTAATCTAAACATGCTTAGTAGGTAGGCATTTAACATTATCCACTAGTTGTAAATCTAATATAACCATAAGAACTACAAGAATTAAAACCCATCATACACCTATAATCATTTTAGCAATAAACTGAATATTATGATCTATCTATGACTAAGTTATCATATTGATCAGAATTCTATTAAATACTTTTTTTTGTTAGAAATAAAAGCAAATAAACAATACTTAATTATATCATTCTTATTCTCTTTACTTGTTTTATCCTCGATTGATTTGTTAATTAATTTCTTAATACCTACTTTTTATTTATATAAATATTTTTATTCAATTAAATTTAGAAAAAAAACGTGTAAATTAAAATTTAGAAAGCAACATTCTTTCTATTTGTGTATAACGAAATGCTCAATTATAAAGTAATTTTTTTTAAGTCTTTTAAAAGAAATAATTGAAGAATATATTCAAATTTGATTTCGTATTTACAATAATATAAGAATATAAAAAATAAAGTACAATAATAATACAATGATACAAACATTATACCATAAATAAATTTTTTATTATTATAGGAGTAAATTTTGTTATTTTAGATACTTAATGTAATTCCTTTTAGATAGTTTGTTTAGCGCCTGAAATTCTTCTTAGTTTTTTAAGAACTTATTTTCTCTTTTAAACGTTTTTTTGTAAAAATTGTTATTATTTTAAATTAGAGGATTAATAGTGCATCCAACAACAAAAATATTATTTGATAAAATAAGTTAAATATTTTATTATTTTTAAACTAAGATTAAAACCAAATTAAAGTATGAATAATTAAAAACATCAGAGTAAACATAAATTTTTTATTGTTAATTAGTTAATTAATATCATTTTATTTTCATGAAAAATACTAAAAAAATAGTTAACAGTTAAAAGATGTTGAATTATAAAATAGAGGCCTTAGTAGATATATTTCCTTGGTTATTTGTATTAATTATATAACAAATACCTTAGTAAACAATTCCTGAACATGTACATTCAGAATTACTACCTTAAGCAAATCCTTGCTAAACACAAATGGAATAATTTTTACTTGCACAGTTTTTAGCTCCTTATTATGAACAGTTAAGATTACTGGGTACAACACAGTCGTAGTTATATTGGAATAAAATTGGATCGTAGCTAGCACTCTAAACATAGCCAAGATAGTAACAAATGGAAATGCCATTCTGGCAATAATTATTTCCTTAATCAAGACAATTTATATTATATTAGCATTTTCCATTAACTGATGTCCATCCTCTTACAGTGCATACAATTTTACCTTCACTACAATAACCATTACTGTTATCTTCACATTCTGCATGAGTAGGATATTCATAATGATCAGTAACCCATTTATATCCTAATGAGTCACAATAAGTAGATTTTGTTTTATATGTTTTATCACAGTAAAATTAATCTTTATCCATTATTAAGCATGCGCTATTTATATGAGGATCTATATTTTATGCAAATCCTGAAAAAGTGCAAGCTTCGCTACAAGATCCACTTTATTTCACACATGTATTAACATCTAGAAAACAACTTTATCCATCTTTATCTTATTAAAATCCTTTAGCTATGCAATAAGTTTAGTAGGGTAATGGAAAATTATTACCAAATCTTGTTGGTGTGGCGCAAAGAGGCTTTTTAATGCAATCAAATGGCTCAGGAACTATAACTAAGTTATCATTAGTAATTAAAAGACCCAATTCCTAGGCTAAACCCTTTTAATTAGATTATAAATGACCGTACTCATCTAAAGTTAAACTGACTAATAATGCATTTACTGGTTTTAATAAAAATTCCATCATAACGAAACAGTTAATTGGAATTACCCCATTAAGATTAAGGCAATTTTGATAATTAGGTATCTAACAGTCACCACTTCCATCATATGAACTAGCAAAATTGTAATATTTTATACAGATAGAATCTTAATTAGAACACATTTATTTTTGAAGACAGTATTATGATATGAACATTTTAGAAGTTTAGTAGTTCTAAAACCCACAAGCATGATAAAAAGTGTCTATTATTTTTTCTAAATTTGAACAAGTATCTGTGTCTGGAATTTAACAACTCTGATCAGACCCCAAGATAAAGCCATAGAAAATGCACACGTTAGAACAATTAGGTTTATTCAAACATAAATTTGCTAAATCTACAGGATTCATACTTCTGCTAATATGACAAGCATGATTATAATTTGTACCATCATAAAAACCACAAGTTCCTGGTAATTAGCCATTTATAAATCCTAGTTTTTAGCAAGGTAAAGAGTTAGCTGAAGTACATGAACTAAAAATGAAATCAATAGGATTTTTTGATTATATTGATTTATATTAAAAATATGAGTTATATTAATTATAGCTTTAATAAGAGCATGTACTTTAAGTAAAAATGTCACAATATTGCTTTTTAAACGTATTTTAGCAATAAGTATCATTAGGATTTTCTTTAGTGCAGTATTTATATACATTTTTTTATGTATATCCAAAATATGAAATACAGTAATGATAGATATTGGTTAGTGTCTCAAAAAGATATTGACATTATTTATAATCACCTCCATTAGGAAGAACACAATCACTACTTGTTTAGCTTTATTAGAACTTGTAGTATCTCAAGCAAATATTATTTTTACTGCATTTACCGCTACCAGATACAAGGCAAGTTTCAACTTATGGAAAATAGCAAGTTCCATCCTTGTTTGCTTAAAACCCAATTTAATTACATACAGATGTACCTGATGAGCAAATTGGATTATTTATATTAACTTGGTTTATGCAATAGTTTAAAATTATTTTGTAATTTGTGTTTATATTCATATCTAAGTTATTATAGATTTCTTTTGAATTAACAAAAAACATATTTGCATCTAAAGAAATAAATCCACCCAATTCGCATGCATGAGAATTGATAGCTAATTTTTTTAATTAATTGCAATTATTAGGAATAATGCATGTTGATTATTAATTAATTTAGGGATTAGAAAATTAATATTCCGTTTGGCAGATTGTTTAAAATTTTTATGAGCATTTTTGTTATCCCAAACATTCTTGAATTATATTTGGTTTCTTACATAATAATGTGAGAGGATCAAGATCAAAACCTGCTTTTCTGCAAAAACTTTGAGGTCTTTAGCATAGATTCTGATTCACACACTAGTCTAAGGTAGGAACTGTCCATCCAATAGAATCATTTAAAATTAAACCTAAATAGTTTCCCAAAGATGTTTTGATATAAGACCCAGATATTTTCTAGCTATCTTAAGTATTGCATAAAGAAAACTAACTCATGCAAATATTCATAGGATCTTAGCATTAATTTGAACCTTTCGTTACCTAAGTCCATCCCATAGCAATACAAAGTTATTTGTCAGTGCTGCATCCATATTGAGATATCTCTGTTGCATTATCACATGCAGAGTGAGGAGGAAACTCACATCCAATAGAGGATTCTAATAGCATGTATTTAGATTTACAAGCTACAGGGCAACCTTAATAATCAGCAGCTTTAATATTGATACAATCACTAATACTTAAGTTAATGTAACATTTTCCAAGAGAATTCAAAGAGGAATATCCAAAAGCTGGAGAGTTTATTTGCAAGCAAAAGCTATCTTATTTGCAATTATAACCCTAAAGACAATCAAAAGTACAGGTCTATGAATTGCTATCATAAGTAAATTTTAGAGTTTTAACACAGTAGGTATTAGGACCATTGCAAATGTTAATATTTTCAGGATTTAAGCAATCACTAGCTTATATTTTTTTGCAATTACCATCATTTACATCATTAATAAACCCAAAATTTCTACATATTGAATCTATATATTCAACGCCACAAAGAGGCTTTCCTAAGCAATCTGTTTCTTAATTGGTTGTTACCTTTGCACATGGAGGCGTAGGAGTAGGAGTCTATGTTTGATAGTAATATCCAAATAGATTACAAACTAAATTATTTTGACAATCATTACTACAGTCAATTTTAAAAGAATTTTCTTAAGGTAATTAGCAACTTAAGTTTGTGCTACTTATAGGTAGCAAGTTCATTTCTAAAACGCATACACTATTTTAAAAACAATTCTATTATGTTTGATCTAAACATTATTATGCAGTAGGTAAAGAGCATGCTCCTTATGTGCTTGATCTAACATACCCTTATGAAATGCAAGAATTAAATCCCATCAGGCACCTATAATCTAATTCGCAAAATTAAAAATAATCTTTTCTATCTATGACTAGATTTTCATATGGATCTGATATGCAATTACATATAAAATAAATAAGTAAAATAATTATATGCTGCTTCTTCATCTTAACTCTTCTTGAAACGCTAAAGAAAGGAGATAGCTTAAATACCTACTTTTATTTGCTTTTTAATTAAATTGACTTTCTGTAAAGTATATATTTTTAGATATAATTCTGTTTTAAATAACAATATTTTATTTTTTTGCGTTTTAAGATTTTTGATAAAAAAATAGGATTAACAAAATGTATGTAAATTTAAATTCTATTTATATTTATTCAGGAAAAACTCATAATAAATTCAAAACAATACATATTATAATAATTTCTTGATATTTATCTACATCTACTAACTCTTTGAGGAAAGTTTATTTTTTATATACCCTCATCGAATATAAATTAATGTAAATTTTTTAAAAATTATATTATATTTTAAATAGTAAAATTTAAAAAATTTGATAAAAAATTCAATGTATTTAATAGATTTAAAATGTACTATAATATATATAAATAAAAATCTTTTATAAATATTTTCATCATATAAAAATAATATTAAAAAATAAATTCACTTAGTTATAATAGAGCATGCTAACGAACTATAATATTTTTAATTAAAAAATAAAATGTGCAATAGTAAATAAATTTATAGATTTTAATCAAGATCATTAACCATTCGATGTAGGCTTATTTAAAGTTATATTATTTATTTCGTAATTGCCTTTTCCTATTGCTGAAAGAACAAGCTTTTTGAATCTTTCGAACCACTATGTTTCCTATTAAATTAAAACATTTTAGCTTTCATTGAAATAAAAGGATAAATATGAATCCTCAGGATTAAACAAAATAATAACATTCTTCTCCTTTTGTATATCATTTACAACAAGTTGTTATTATTAACCTTCCTACTAATTGATTTCATTGAAGTTGTAGATTTGTTCTTTATAAAAAACTTTAAAATCAAATTCGAGTAAGTCTTTTTCTTTATTTTCAGTAAAATTTAATACTAAGTTATCAAATATGCTCTTATCATTTTATAATTCAAACAGAATATCTTTTAGTTAATTCTGGTTTTATAATGTTATGAAGACACTGTTAGGAAAATCATATGTTTCAATAAGTAAATACCTCATAAAATCTTCATCTACATCTAAATCAAATATTATTTTGATAATCTCCTGGCAAATAATATCATAATTTTGATGTGGTCTGTAAAAATAATTCATTACAGAATAAGAATCCTGATCGAGATTTTAAATTGGTATTTTAAGGATGCTAAATATCTAGTAGTAGCAGCAAAAAAGAGAGTAGAAATCTAGTCTTTTAGCATTAATAGTATGATCAGGAGTGTGAATTTCACATGTAATTGGCGAAGTTATTTAAATTTCAGGAGGAAAGTGTTTTCCAGAAATTAATGTATTATCGATTATTGCATTTTGATTATTTTTAGTATGATTAAAGTCATTAATAAAGATTTAAAGTGTTTCTTTATCTTGATTAATGTTAACCAAAAAGTTATCCAATGAAATATCACAGTGTATCAAACCATTTTAATGAAGATGGTAGACGCATAAAAAAATTTTAGCAAATATGACTTTTGCAAGGTAAATTTTTTCTTCGTTTGTAAAATCATTGTTATCTGCAGTGTCTTAGAGGTATTGTACTAGATTAACATCATATACATCCATTATTAAAGCAAGTCTTTACTTATCTTCAATAAAGAGATCATTTCTAAATCTATATCCTTATGGTACTACAGATTGCTGATCTTTGAGTAAGAAGCAAAAAAATTTGTGCTATTTTTCATTCAGAAAAGGTATTACAGGTAAGCCGCCAGGTAGATTATTGATGATATTTTGTTCTGTGTTAAAATAATCTTCGTTTTCGTACAATTTAATTGCTTATAGTTTTTCTACTTCGAAATCATAAACTTTCAAGACTTTACCAGCAGATCCTTTTCCCAGAGAATGCTTCATATTCAAGTTGAGATAATCGCTAATATCTAAAATAGTCTTTTTCGTAGGTTGGACGGTTCTATCTCCTTATTAATTAAATTAGTTTGCTTATTCTTATATCCTTTGATAATTTACTGATTTTGATTATTTAGGAATCATTTTTATTGTTTTTTTTTGATATTTTAAAATTGAATTTCTGATTAATTTTTATATAAATTATCTTGTTTGAAATTTTATTTTTTAAATAAAAAAATATATAATTAGATATATTAGAGAGTGATTAATTAGCTATCCAAATATCTATTTTTATCACAAGTGAGATAGATAAATTGTTTATGTTTAATTTTTCTCTATTACAGTGGAGGAATAAAATTCTAAAATAAAACTCTTTTATTTATTCATACACAATTATAGGTCTTTAATTTTATTTATTTACTAGTAAATAAATAGACATCTTGAAGAAATTTGAGTGCATTTACCTAGCAAGATGTTTAAATAATAATAAATTAAGTTAGAATGGTTTCAGGCACTTGAAGTATTTTGATATACTTGTAGTTATTTACTTATTTATTTACTTATTTTCGAAATAAAATATTTTTATTGAAATGATGTGATATTATTTATTAAGTGCGTAATCCTTCCTGATAATAAAATTAAAAAAATCAAATAGATCATATCTAGATTAATTATTGATAATAAAGATATTTGCGCTCTTTATTTTAGCTTATTGATTATAAAATTTATATCTACAAAACAAAAATAATTTTTTAAGTATCTTAAAGTTTTTAATAAAAATACGAATTCACACTTATCATAAAGTAGGCAAAAATTTGAAGTTTTATAAAAAAAAAATATTTAGATGTTTTAGAGATTGGTTAGTTAGACTAAAATACAATTTTATCACAAGTGAGATTGATGATTTCGTTATTAAGTAGCAAAATTGCTTTCAAAAAACATTAAGTATATTGGTATATTTGTGGTAATTAACTTATTATTACATTTTTCTAAATGATATATTAAGGAAATAAAAAATTTATGATGTGATATTATTTATTAAGTGCATAATTCATATTGAAAGAAAATAATTGATCAAATTTAAATTACTTTTTAATTAAAAAGATTTGCGATATTAATTTTATTTTATTTGTTGTATAATTGATCTCTATAAAACAAAAATAATTGTTTGAGTTACTAAAGTTTTTTGATAAAAATATGAATTCGCACAGATCATAAAGTAGGCAAAAAGAGTGTTTAATATGCATGGGTAATTAACTTTGTAGTGAAGCTAATTAAAAAAACATAAATTGCAATTTAGAAATTTTTAAAGCATATTTTTTTAAAATCAATAATATAATGAATGATTATGAGTAAATCAAAAAATGAATAAATGAACAAAAAAAAGAATTAGGGGAATAAATTCTGCATAATATGAAAATAATTTTATAAAGAAAAGAATTTTCATTTAATTTAGTTTCATATAATTTAGAAAAAGTGTTATTCAACAAACAAAATACTAATAAAATAGAAAAAAGCGAAGAAAAATAATAACAGGCAAATAGGTTAAAATACATTCTAATTAGAATTATAAAGTACAATAAATAGACAAAGAATCAATTATTTTTGAAATTTTTTAAATATTTTTTGCAGTAAAAAAATGGGTTTTATTTTTAAAAATATTTTATTCTACTTTTGAAAGAATTGAAGATAATTTCCAATTTAATTTGATAAAAAATGATTTCGCTAAAAGAATAATTTAGACTATTCTTATTTGAATGATTTTCTTTAAAATAGTAGTTAATAATGAAGTTTAATGTAAATAGAATTTAGTTATAAATTTGAATAATTAATTAATATAGAATGTAATACTAATAATATTTTATTTTTTAATTTGAATACATTGAATTTATTAAAATTTTATTTATATTTTTGGTGAAAAGCATAAAGAATTTCTAGTTTTAAAAATTAAAATTAGTTGTAATTTAAATGGTTTTTTTTGTATTTTAGTTATTTTTTTATGCTTTTATTTGGTTAATTAATTAATAATTTATTCTTTATTTTCTGTATTTTTAGCATTTATGATAAACTGATTGATTGATGCAATCGCTTTTTATCACAGTTTGAAACTTTATTTTAGTTTTTGTATTAATTACTGTTGTACTAAATTTATATACAAATTATGATAGGAAGATGGTATATATATCTATGAATGAATGTATGAATGAATCATGGGAATGCATAGTTCAACTTTTTAATGTAGTTTGTAAACATATCTGTGAACATGCTTTTAGCTTGTTAGGTGTTAATTGCATTGTGGAAATTTTATTCTATTAATATTTCTACTTTTATTTAGTTTGTTTCTGGGATGTAAGTTGCAATATTTCCACTGAAGAGTTCTCCTCTTACGTTGTTGCTTTTCTTATTCTTTTTAACGAATTGTTCTATTTCTTCTGAGTTTAGAGATATGTCGATTTCGCACATTTATTCCACAAAATGAGCTTACTCTGGTTATTCTCCATTATTTCCAGCTTCATTATTATATTGTAGGAAGGAGAAGTGTTTAAGATACACAAATTCACAAGGTTTTTCGAGGTATCTGGATGAGCAATTTGCATACAAAACAGTATTTTGGATGTCTTCATTGATGGAATATATGTAATCGTAAGAATTCAAGATAGTTTGAATACTTGCACTGTTTTTAAAGTTGTAAAAAGCTGCATAAGAAGATGTGTTAACATAGTACTCTCCTGTTATAATATACAATCTTTCTTAATTTAGACTTATTTCACTCCTAAAATAGATATTGCAAGTTTTAGATTAGATTATTGGATCGAATAGCTCCAAGTTATAAAAGTATTCCTACTCGAATTTATACAAAAAGTCTTGATAGGTTTCTTATTTGATAATTTCGAATTAATAATTAGCCTCATTGCTGAATGATTCTGGAGTTTTTTTGTTTAGAGAGTTAAGCCATTGCATATACAGTTCGGGTTATTCGAGTAAATCTCTATTTTACAGCTAATCGCCATCAATAACTTGTAATTAGTATGAGTCGCAATCGTAGTATTACTGGTATGCAGATGTTTTCCTATAGTAGCTTATTTATTTACTTTCGTTGATCATGCTCTTTCTCTACTAAAACTCTTGTTAGCTTAATAGTCTTGGTTCTGCATATTGGCTTTCTCTTTTACTAGCATTATTGCTAATTTATGGAGTGTTGAAGCAAGTGTAAAAAGGGGAATCGCTATAGCTGTTAGTATTTTGTAATTAAATATTCCTTTGACTATTTGGATTAACCATGTTTGTACCACTTTAAACACTAAAATACTTTTAACTTGCTCTATTTGAATCTTACAAGGATCTTGGTCCAATCTAAGGAGAACTAATCGAATTCATAGCATTTTCTTCTTCATCAATATTTTGCTAGGCCATATTAAAATTATTGTAAGAGTCGCAATGAGTTATTCCATGGCCAATAGTATTAAAGTCGTGATTATTGCTTGTATTCATTTAAAAAGATAGATGAGGTAGAGGTGAATGAATGATTTCATTTATTGATTATTTTTCTTCCTCTTCTTCTGTCTATTAATTGCCATTTTTGAAAACTTAATCTTATTGATTAAAAACTTATTGAGGCAATTCTTGATCCTCTTGTATTATTTTATTTTCATTTTCTGTAAGAGATTGTAAATTTTAAGTGGATTCACCAGGTACTTATTATTTTAATTCCTAAAGAGCTTTTTGCTCTCTACTTTCAATCTTTTAATTTATAATTTGAGGATTGTCATTTTTCTCTTCCTCTTCTTGGGATTTATCATCTTCGATGTCTTCATCTTTGTGTTCTTTAATAGGTATTTCTTACAATTTATTCTTTGAAGCCTACTAGTAACTATTTTTTAATGAAAAAGAATGGACTTCACCAGATTCAATTTAATCTGTGCTTCCTTTATTGTCTGTTTCACTTTATATCGAGTTTGCTTGTAGGGGTTGAGTATTATTCATAAATTTCGATAAATTTTGAGCTATGCTTCCTGCAGAGCTACTTTGCTATAAACTTTTTCTCGAAGGTCTCTTTTGCATGATGACTCTGTTAGTATTTTCTAAAAGCGATTTATGGTGGTGAGGCATAGTTTTATTTAAAGTAGATTCACCATTACTTTAACTTAAAACAGAATCACGATGGGAAACAGAAGCCTATTGTTAGGTTGGCTATTTACTGTTGTATGGATGGATAGTAAAAACAAACTGCTCTGTAGTTACATTCCTAGGATCTTAGATGACGATAGATATATTTTCTGCTTGCACTTTAGCTGCTAAGGGTTTTTTCGAAGGCTGTCTTAGACTAAAACGATTTGAAAATATATTAAATTCTTCTTATTTTTAATTATTTTAATCTTGATCCTGAGAAGAGTCAGAGAATTTCCTTTGTTTTTTAGACGGTGATGTTTAATATGAGAAAGTATCTGATTGGTTGTTAAATTATTAGTTTTATTTGTTCTTCTAAGATTATTGTTGATTTGATTCATTTTAAAGAGAATTCGCTTCATCAGGTGATGTTTCGCTTTTTTAAGTTAAATCAGCAGTTTAAATGGGCTAAGTCATTTTACTTTCTTCAATATTGTTATTGTCATTTTATTTTTCTGCACAGAAACTGAATTCATGGGCTTCAATCATTTTATTATTGTTATTATTATTATTATTGTTAGTGTTGCTATATTAATTAGTAGCACTCATTTCTCCAATACATTTAGATTCTTCTTCTTTTATCTCTTTGATAGGGAGCAAATTTTCTTCTGAATTATGAACAGATTTGATATTTTCTTAAGATTATTTTAAAATGTTCTATTTATTCATATTAGTTTTAGATCCTTTTCTTGATTATAATTATTATTTATTTGAAGAAATTTGATCTTCAACTGCAAACTAATCTTTTTTTGAATTAATTCCTGCTATACTACTGCTTGATGATATTTGAAATTATGGAAAACTCCCTTTAGAATTGTCTATTTATTCTTAAATCTATTTTTCCTTTTCATAGTCTATTTCATCTTCTTTGGATTTTTACTTGAAAAGCTTACCACTCTCAGATCTTACAGATCTAACGCTAGAACGTTAAATTTGCTAAGCATCTTATTACTAACTACAGTTGTTATTTTATTACTTAGAATGATTATTATCATTATAAATTTTTTTGCCATTTTAAGGATAGGTTGTAGTTGCTTGCTGCAAAAGTAAAATTAAATCGTTAATTGACTACTATTTTTTCATCACACATATGTTTTCTTCTTCTTTCCTAGAACTATTATCGCTATCTAATTGATCACCATTTTGTAAAGGAACCCCATTTGTTGAAGGTAAATGTTTTATAGGATGGATTATTGATTCATCTAAAAGAAATTTAGAGTCTTTGAAGTTTTATTGGTTGTTTCCAACAAAAATTGAATTTTTCTAAGAGTCTGCTAAAAGTAAAGATAGATCTGTTTCGTCTATTCCAAATTAGTTTAAATTTTAACTTACTGATTAAGCCTAAGGTAAAGGAATACTGCTAATTTTTGAGAAATCTTGGACAAATGATGGCACACTTATTGGGTGGCCCATACCCTATTAAGAAAAAGCACTTTGCTATGTATGTGAGGGATTGTAGTGAGTTTAACCACCGTGAATTTAGAAAGTAGAATTTCTTGTGAGATTCATTTATTAAAGAGATTTTCTGATCTAATTCAGCTTTTCTTCTTTTTGCTAAATATTTTCTTCATCTTCTTCTTCCTAATCATTGTCATCTTTGCCTTCCTATTCATTTTTATTCATACTAACTTCAGTTTTTGGTGGAAAAGATTCGCTGCTGTATCGATCTTAAAGTACAATTTGATTTTTAGGATCAATATGTTTCCACTTTTCGTTTTTGAATTCGTCTATTTCTATCTAAGAACCACTAATGCTTTATTCATTGTTAACCTATTCTTCAATATCTTTAAAACCTCTTTAATCATTATTCCTTTCTTTCTTTTGTACCAAGCTATTTGGAATGATAACATTTTAATAACTTTCAACTTAATTTTATCTCTTGCTATCTCTCTTCCTTTGAGATTCACGTTTGCTATAGCTGATATTTCTAACACTTCTTTTAGGCTTTTCCTCTTAATTATGGTCTTCCTCTTCTTTCTCTGCCTATTCTTAAGTAGAAACTGAAGAAAGTCCTTGCTTTTGATTCTGTAAAATTAACTGTTTTTGGTATTTGCTATCAAAATCAGATTATTATTATTATTATTTTTATTGATAATAATCTGCTTTCTTAGTCTTCAAAAAATCATTTGAATTCATTTGCTAAGAATGAGATGATGACTGAGGAGGTACAACTGTTTCTAAAATAAATCTATCATTTGGATTAATTTTATTTATTTTATATCCAATTTTTTCGCTATTTTAAAGTGTAATAATTTGTGGAGATGTTAAATTGCTAATTGTTGTATAAGTTTTAGAAAGAGCTAAATCTTTTCTAAGTTAAGACCATCTCTTCTACTCTTCTAATTCTTCTTTTTCCATCTCATCTAACTCTCGCTGCCTTTCTGCCATCACTCTTCTTTCCTGCATTTCAATAGAAATCGACTACTTTCTTTAGTCGCCATATATGTCTCCTATCCTCTTCCTCTATTCCCCATCGCTATCATCACCTCCTCTATCTCCTTATATATAATTGGAAGAATCTAAAAATGGCTTTTTCAAATTTTCTTTGTTTCCATCTAGTTGATTGCTCTTCTTCTGGTTTTTTCCCTTGCCTTTGGCTTTCTAGAACAACTTCTCACATACACTGAGACATTATCCCATCGCAAAGAGCCTACCTTTGTTATTACTTAATTCTTTTTTATCGTTTTAGCTATTTTAATCTATTGGTCAATTGATTATCTAATAGTTAGATTTTTGTCCGCTAGCTTCTTTGTGGCAATAGGAGCGCTTTTTAATTAAACTAATTTGAAAGATTATACTTTCAGGTTGCAAAGGATTTTTAAAAAAAGTAGTTCTTGGAAATTTTTTAATTTATTTAGAATTATTAATAAAATGATGTAAAATAAATAAGGAAATAATTTGATTGTTAATATAAAAAAACTAACAAAAAAATAAATATAAGCATTTCTTTGAAATAAACCAAGCTTATGATAAAATTCTAAGCTGATTTTGTTTTTTATTTGCTTGATTGCTTGTTATCTAATTTAATTTCTTCCTTACTATAAAATAAAAGTTTGTAATGAATAAGTATTAGTGACATATTTAACAATAAACCTCTAATTTAATTAAAGAATTCCAAATTTCCTTTTAACTTTACAGTTTACATTATTTAATAACATTTATAAAATCGATAAAATTATTACTCTATATTTTTATTGTCTCAAATCCAACCCTAAAAGCTCATACTATTTTTCTCAATTATAACTTTATAGCAAGTAGTTTTTTTTAAAAATAGAACCTAAAAAAAATAAGGGATTAAATAAAATCCATTTAACTACTACTTGTTAAACTAATTTTATCACTTTTTTTTTATTTTAATAATAGTCATCAATTTTTAATTATTCAATAATAGATTATGACGTATCATTCATTCCAATCATAGATTTCATATCTATTTTTAGTATACAATTAAATTAAAAATATATGTTACCATTCTGAATTCATATAAATTAGTCTAAACTATTTATATTTATAGTTTCTAAAAAAATCTTTATTGCTATTCTTTTTCTAAAAACACAACATTTTTCAAACCATAAATTTTCCAAGTCTAAATGGCGAACCTACCTTTTTCTCTATAAGTATTCAAATACAAATTCTATAAATACAATTTTAGATAGTTTTGAAATAAAAACAACATTTTTTAACCCTTCTTTTTTTAGTTTTTGATTAATTTTCATCAAACTGTAATTAAATTAAAATTTTACTTGGTGTTTTACTCATTAAATTAGCAGACTCGCCCACCTTTTAAAGTAATTAGACCTCAAAGATATATTTATTTAATATAATAATTTAGTTAAATAAATGAATGAAATTTAATTAAATTTTTAATACTATGAGTTATTTTTTATAGAAAAGACTAGAAAACATCAAACAAACCCGTTTATCAAATTATTTTGTTATAGACAGACTGATATAAAATTTTTCAAAACATAATTAATTTATTATTTATCGCATTTTGTCTTTTGCAATACATCTTACAATATTTTATTTTTTCTAAGTTAATTTATTTAAAATAATTTTCTAATAATTAAAGCTCCATAAAGAATCAACTGCTTTTATTTTAAATTTCTACAAGTTGTAACTTTTTTTTTTTCAAATTTATGAAATTAGCCAAATTTTGACAGGATTAAATATTCATAAATTAAAATTATATCTTACATACATATTGGCATTTGTTAAAAAATAAATATTTATATTTATTATGTTATTAAAATTTATGACAATTAAATATAATTTGTATAAAAGTTGATTTAAAATAAAATTTTAATATAGTTTATTGATAATAAAGTAATTTTTCCACTTCATAAAAAAATAGTTGAAAGCAATTTAAAGATGAGTAACTTTTATAAAGAAAAGATTAGGTAATAAATATTTTATTTACAAAAAAAGTTCAGATTAAAATGAAATATTTAATTAATTTTCTATTTAGTGTAAGCAAAAACATTGATTAAAATCATTATTATTTTTTTATCAGCTAAATTAATATCTCTAAGGTGCTTTTTGTTTAGATTACTTAACTCCAACCCCATATGAGACAGATGTTTTTAATTATTGATCAAGATTTCTTAGAGATTCATCTTAAATTTTAAAGTTTGAATTATTTTTAGTTTTTTAAGTATTTCTTTTTATATTTTTCCTCTGCCTTTTAAAGTTTGAAATGAACTTTAAAACTTTATCAATATTGTTTTATATGAAAAATTTTTTAAAAATCTTCATCCTATCAAAAACTTCAGTTTAATCAAACTGATCTCTTTACTAAACCTATAATTTATGGTGATAAGATTCACTAAGTCTATGTATTGTGTTTTATTTTTCATAAAACTAAATATTTTTTAAAGAAGTTTCATTATTTTCAAGCTGAATGCTATTTCTTTTATCATATAAATTTCTTGATGAAGTCGTTTTTTCTTAATTATTTGGAACAACCAAAAAAGATGTTTCATTTTATTAATTCATTGAAACTTAGTTTTCAAATTATTTTTAGCTGTGCATTAAAATTTGAGAATACTCACCACCCTTCTTAATAGACGAAATTCTACTAACTGAATTCTACTTTTAAGAAATTAATTTTTATTTTATTTTTTAATCATTAATATCATTGCTATAACTGATTAAACTGCTTTACCATTTCATTTCTTAATCTAAACCGTTTTATCTTTTTTATATTTAAAAAATATTTAGTTAAAAATAAAAATGATTAATGCATCTTTTACATAATTCCCTCTTCAGCAGCTTACTAAGTTATTTGAAATGATAAATTTCTACCATAATTCTTTGAATCAGAGCTTAAGGTATTTTAGCTCATTTGTTTCTTAGAATTAATAGAGTCTACAGCTAAAAAGTTTGAAGCTCTTGTGTTAGTAAATACTCCTTACTATTTTTCATCTTCCAATGATTCTTTTATGTTTGTATTTACAGATTCGTCAAAAAACTGTACTCCTTATGTTTCGTTATCACTTCCACTTTCTGATTAGTTAAACATACTAAATAGTATCGAATTTTCATTTTAATTTAACTCTTTTAATTGCTTAATTAATGCCAAATTTTCATTTACAAGATTCCTAAATTATTTTATATATAATAAATTCTTGTTTTAAAGTTATTAAATATTATTTTTTATCCTAAAAATAAATCTAAATACAATTAAAATCTAAAAATTTTTTTAAAACTAAGGGTGGGGCTGAGTATTTTAATTAATCACGATAGATAATATTTGAATTTTTTATAGAATTAATATATGAATTTAAAGTATTTACAGTGGAATTAGTAGCTTATTTTTATCTCTTCGTGTTTGTTCTTTCCTTTTTTATTGCATAGAAAAATTATATCTTAGGCAGACGACAGGCTTGTTATATTTAAAATGAGTATTTGGACATTCATAAGAAAAATGACCCATTTATTCACAAGATAGGCATCTTAGATTCAAATCTCTGAAATTATTTTAGATCACCATTTTTTCTTAGATTTATTTAAAAATTTCAAAATCTTCTTCATTTTTATTTAGTATTTACACAAACTCTTCTCTTGTAATTTTGTATATTGTTGAGAGCCCTATACTTTTTGCTCCTTCTTTTCTTGCAAGACCTGAAAAGAAAGAGGATTCTCCAAATATTTAATTTTGAGAGAGAAGCTTTAAAGGTACTTGCTCTTTATTTACTTAGTGAAATAATTAAACAGATCCACTTTAAATAAAGTAAAACGATAAATCTTCTATACTATTTTCTTGAAAAATAATTTCATTTGGGGATATAACAACTTCCTTCATAGCTTTGACTAATTTGCTGATTGTCTTTTGAGAAAAATATTTATAAAAAAAGGAAACTTGTTTTATGATTCTTTGATTAATATCTATATAAATCTCTTCTCTTAGCCTATTAGATAATTTATTCAATATTTTATCTTCTTATTCCTTGTCTCTCTCTTTTTATTCTTCTTAAAGAAAAATTAAATAATGTCTAACCCTACTTATAAGCTCAATATTAACATTCTTTTTGCTAAGATACCTAGTTGTTTGTTTAAAATCAAATTATTTTTACTTTTATTGAAAAAAAGAAAAACAAACAGTTAAATAAAAGTTAAATTTACTTTGTTATAACACTTATTTAGGAGTTAAGCTCAATCTTGTCTTTTTATATATCTCTAAGAATCATTCCTACATTGTTGATTGAGTAAGCAAAAATGCAACTCATAATAATCATCGTAACTAATGTAAACAAAGCTTCTTGCGTGTTACTTGGTGTAATATCTCCATAACCAACTTGATTTTAATAAATGTTTAATAAATAGATTTTAAAAATTAATTTTGAATACCTGTAGTCATTGTAGTTACTGCCCAATACAAAGAAAAAACATATTTACTTAATCCTTCATTAGATTGAATTCCATATTTTTCTATCCATGTTATTTCGACTCCATAATGTTTTTCAATTTTATATAAAGAAAACCAGCAGATACTTACTTTTTAATTAAATAATAAATAAATCATAAAATGTAAATACCTCTATTATTGAAAATTTTCTAATTTAAAGTTGCTCTTAAGAATTAAAAGAGATAAATTGTTGCTTGAATATAATATTTTTTGGGTTTTATTGAAATTTTTTACATATATGAGCAGCAAATATAACATCAAATATGAGATCAAGCAGTTTGAGCAAGTATTTAGTGCTTTCCTTAAAGTTAAAAACTTATCTAAAAGATGAATCAGAAAAAAGAAGAGTGAATATCTTAATCAAGCCAAGCATATCTTAAATTAAAATTTGTTAGTCTATATTAGCATTTTCATAATTTGCTTTAAGTTTGTTAATAATAGCAAACATTGTGATGACATCAAATATAAAGTGGTTAGTTAGGTAAGACTTAACAATAGTTTTTCTATTTGTAATAACTTGATCTTACTAAAATAAGGCAGTGTTCAACTTAAATATAATATCAATTACGGAGAAAATAGCTGCAATAAAAAGAAAAAATCTAACATAAATCTCATTCATAATCTCTTATGCAAAGAATATCAAAATGGAGTAAAGAAATAAAAATAAGTAGAAAAAGCTATTAGAAATAAATCCCCACCAAATTACTGATGAAGATGTTGGCATTAAAATCATTCCTTACAGTTTGTAAATGATTTTTTGGCATACTTTTAACTATTTGAAGTAGTTGATATCAAAGTTTTTCTTTCGCTTTGGATTCTTTTGCATAAAGCTTGATTTATCATTTATCAACTGATAATCTTAAATCTTTAATTTATTTGGCTTTCTATCTTTATATAGAGATATTATTTAATCTGCAAAAGACTAAACAATACTATTGACCTTCATACTTCTACCCTGAGACTCTTTTATTAATAATTTAGCAATTGAATGAAATTCTTTTGGATTGTTTTGTACCATTGACCCAAAATCTATTTATTTTAGCACTACAAAATTTCTTCTATGGTATTGAGGACTTTAAAAAGGAGATCCGCTTTTCATTAAAATAGTTTTGTTGTGTCTTAACGAACTATTTTTAAACCCTTAACTCATAGAGTTTTAAGATTCCCTAAAATTGTTGCTATTGTTGTTGCAGCGTGAAGAGAAACCATCACAAATTGTATCTTACCTATTCTCTAATGTTTTCAAAAGAGCAAACTTTTTCTACAAATAAATTCATATTTAATAAGTAAATTAAATAAATTGAAAGCAATTACAAAATCTAATTTGGAATTTTAGCTAGCCTAATGAGAACAGCTGAGTTGATTTATTGAATTATTTGGTACCTAATATAAAAAATCTATAAAACCAATTAATTATTTGCAACATTTTACTCCTAAAAAGGTTTCCATCTTTGGAAGTTTAGGGACTTCTACTTAATAATCTTTAGAAATATCGCATTCTAACTCATCATCTTATTCTCCGAAATTTCCACTGTTCTACTAAATAAAAACGCTTTTGTTAAAAAAAGCAGAGCAGTTAGAATTGCTGCTCACAGAATCGCTTTAATGTTTTTCTAATTGCTTAGTTCTATTTTTGTGAAAAATACTGGTAGAATACTATAAAATATTATTCATAGGTAAAAAGTAGATTTTATTCTCTTAACTTTTTTGTTAAAACTCCTTTAATAGATAGACAAAAGTCCTACTTTGCAAAAATTTTTATTAAAAAGAATAAGCTATCTATCTATATGCTAATTTGTTAGTAAATTTGATAAAAATAGAATTTAAAAACAAAATTTTAGTTATTTAATTTATTGTTTAAAACTTCATGTAACTAAATATACTCATGAACTAATTTATAATTTCTTGTATGTTAATCAGTAGTTAAATAATATACTAATTTATTTGCAAGTAAAAACTCCTAAAATATTCATTACATTGCTTTGTAAATTATAAGCTAAATAAGCTAGCAGCTGTTATCAATTCAAATCTATAAATATAATCAGTAATTTATGAGGTAATAGTTTATTTTTTAAAATTCTACAGCATTAATACTATATTAAAAACCTGAATTTCTTTTTATAAAACAGTCAGTGTGCAGCTATTATGATAATAAAAATAGATTTTCGATTTTAAAATAATGTTATTAAAAAATAAAATTTACCTAAAAATCAAATCATCTTTTTTAAATTTTTAGATAATATTTCAATTTTTTAATCCTTTCTTATTTAAATTATATTTAACAATATTTATTATGATTTCTTATTTTTTTATTAATATTTTTGCTATGAATAATATAATGAATTTAAGTTTAATATTTATAAAATAAACACTAAAAGAGTTTAAATTTAACAAATAATATATATTAAATATTGTATATGCACTTATTTTTTGTAATTAAAAACCTTTCATTTTAATAAATTCATTCAAAAAGTATTTTATTGAAAGCTAATATATCAAAGTTTTGCTTTTTTTTAAATTTTAGAATTTTTAAAATAAATAAAATTAAAAACAGCGTATTTCAGAAGATAGTCTAAACAAAAACGATAATCAAAAAAAAATTCAGTGTTTAACATATTAATAAAAATATCATGTTAAATATAAAATAAATAAATAAATAAATAAATAAATATGAATATACTGTAAACTCTCTATAATAAGACCCCCCCCTCCTCGCAAATTTAGAAAAAATAGGGCTCTTTGACTTTAAAAATATGAATCATAACTAAATTATTTTTTATTTAATTTAATAATATTGACTACATACTTAAAATATATTCAATCATACAATAAAATTAATTTAATCTTTCAAAGTTTTTATAAATTTTATATTTCTCTTTTTATATTAGATTTGGCTTATTCAGCATATCTTTGTTGACATTATTCAGTTTTAAATAAGTTTTGATTGAGAAACTTTTCTAAAATTTAAATTCTTCCATTTTTAATTTATTCATTTGAATAGTGTGAATATTCCCTAATGATATCCTAGCTATACTTGTCATATACATCTGGTGATAAACCTAAAATGCATAAATCTAAATCTAAGAATTATTCTAAATCTTATTTAAAGCTTTATTCTTTAAGTATTTAATCTGGAATTTGATCCTTTAAAAATATAAAAGAATAAATATGTTAAATAAAATCAATATTAACTTTAACTTACACTTAAATGTTTTTCAGTTTAAAGAATATATGCTTCGATTATTTCAGAATTTCCAACTAAAATATTATTCTATTTTAATTCTCTGTCGAACAACATGTAATATTGAGCACTTCTCTAATTATATTAGAATAAATAAATACTTTTTAAAGAAATTTCATACACGTAATTTGACATTAAATGAATTATAAAAATATCTTTAGTAATTAATTACCTTTTCATTATCATGAGCTTTAGGATTATAGATAACATCGTGAAACCATATTGCAAGCTGTACATTAGCACTGTGGTGAAACTATTAAAATATTATTTTATTAATTCAAATTGACTAATAAATCAAAGAATATAACAACTTTTATCTGTTCTGAAAGCTGAAGCATGCAATAAATATGAGAAAGCGTGTGATAATATCTATAATTTTCACTATATTTGAGTTTAATGCAGTCAAACCATTTATTTAACACTTCTTTTTGGGAATCATAATCAACAAAAATGCTTCTCCACTTTTAATATAAGTACCCAAATTGTTCAGGTGTTAGAGCATTTTTTTCAAGCAAGTAATTTCTAACTGTAGTTGAGCTTGCTTTTTCTGAAAAATCGTTCCCACACTAAGATTTATTTTAGCTAATAATATCTACTATGTACAAAGGTAATTCAGAAAGACCATTTTCTTTTCTAAATTTATTTATTCCAATTGAACTTTACAAAGTTTCGTGACTGATAACAACTCCATCAAATTCTTTGTCTCTTAAAGGGCCCATAGGTTCCATTAATTCAAATATATAGAACTTAGTTTAGGGAGCAAAAAGTTGCTAAAACTAAATAATTCTGTGTCTTCTGTAATCAAATGATTACAATAATTCTTTATTCTTTTTATTTTTTAATAATTCAAGTCCTGTTAAACCTAAAACAATATCAGTATCTAATGGAATGGCAAGAAGGAGAGCAGCACTTAGCATAATTTTATGTCCATTATGCAGATGATCAAATGTTCCACCTAATATTACTCTTCTCAGGCTTTAAATTGAAACACCTTAATATTTTCCTTGCTTTTTTCCGTTAACTATTTCTACTTATTCAAAGACATCTTCTTTTAAATATCTGTTTATTTCTTAAAGAACTTCTGAGTCTTCATGATTGAATTTTATTACAACTTATTTTTGGTCTTCTTTTAGATTGAAAAATTCTCCAACAAACTTCACCTTAATATTAAAGTTGATATATTCTATCAATTATTTCTATAAACATGTAAAAAATAGAAAAATAATTTTACTAAGAAACACAAAATCTGTTAAAAATAATTTTTTAAATGAAAAAATTACATTAAAAAACTTGTTTAAATAATAAAACTTTTAATAAAATATTAAAATTTAAATATCTCTATCAAATATAATTATTACTTCATATTCAATTAAATGTAATTTTGATTCATAATTTAAAATATTTGGAAGTGTAATGGTTGCCTCAAACATGGGATCATTTCTTTTAATGTAGTTTATCTATTTTAAAAATAAATAAATAAAATATTAATTTTATCAATCTGGAAACAAGGATAATATTCGATAATCCATTTTTATTTACATAATTGTAAAATATTAATAAATAGCTAATAATTGTGTCATAGTTTTTATTAATCGCATCTCCTTGAATTTCTACTATGAGCTGGTATTGTGTCTCTTATAACGCTTTGTGTAAGAAGTATAAATTATGTTCTAAAGTATTTTAAAAGCTTAAAAAAAGAATATTCAAAGATTCACTAAATTGACTCATTATTTTAATAACGTAAACAAATTATTTATGTTGAATATATTTTGATTTATTAATAATTATTTATGGTAAAGTATCTAATTTGATTTTATTATATCTTTAATTATCAATAAAAGCATTACATTTTAAATAAGCAAGATATTATACTATTTTTATCAAAAACTACGTATTTTTAATGTAATTTTAAAGAAATTTATAACATAATTATTTATTATAAAACAGCCATTCTCGTCTCCAATGTATTTTTTAATATTTTTAATATTCTATTATTTTTTCAAAAACTTTTCACAAGTAAAATCAATTTTTGAATTTTTATTATTTTTCGAAGAAACACATTTAATTTTGAAAATAGTTAAAGAAATTAAAAATCATTTAATAGAATGAATTTAAAAAGAGGAGATAAAAAAGAAATGAATTATTTATGACAAAACTTGAAACATAAAAATAAAAATATATTTTGGAAACAAATAGAGAAATGAACTGATTGAATAAATGAATGATGAGTTTTTTAACTAATTCAAGAAAAAGCTTTTGAATTTTATTATCTATTTATGATATTTTGTTAAACAAACATTATAAATGTGTTTATTTATGATATGAAATCATATATTTATTATTTAATAATTTATTATATTTATAGAGGACATTTTATTAATTCTTTCTAATATTATCACTCTTTCAATCAATTGTTTTTTCTCATCTGTTACTACGCTTAGTTATTGTTATATTGTCTGAAAGTTACTTTTTAGTAGGTCCATTGACTACTTCTGTTGTTTCAAATACTTCTTCTTCTTCCTAAGAACCTTCACTAATATCTGACTTATGGATGAAGGATTCAGAAGTTCTACCTTTGGTAACAGGACCAATATAGTAAAGAACAGTTGGTAAGAACATAAGACCTTAGAAAACACCTAAGAAGATAATTGCCATATACATTCTGAAATAGTAAATTCTAAACATTTCACTGCTTGCAAAGCCTAAAACGATGACACCAATGAATTTAGTACTTGCAATACCAACCAAAATATTTGAACCCATCTACTTTACAGCGTTAATTACCTTTTGTTCTCTATTACCAGGAGTATTCATGTATGAAATAACCAAGTGGACACAGAATTCGACACCTAAACCAACACTTGTGATAAGATTGACAACACTAACTGCATTAATTTCAATCTAGAAGCCACTGATAGTAGAATTTAAAACCCAAACGATCTATTAATTTTTTTTATAAGAAATTCTTAGTAAATTCAAATTAAACTATAAGTTATAAATATTTTACACCGATTAAGTTGAATGTAATGAAGAAGACGTTTAAGGCAACAATGAGAGCAGACATTCCATTCTTAAGTAAGTTGATAGCTAAATAAACTGCTCCAACAGCCAATAAGAGATTTTAGATAGCAATAGCTCTAATTTAGGTGTATTAATCGTAATAAGCGTAGATCAAAGAATATGCAAAGGCCTTTTTATCGCCAGTGAATTCACTAGCGTTATCAACAGCTTGTCTTGTCTATTCGAAGGTATCAATGAAATCTTTGCTGGTTATAACTATAAAAAAATAAATTTAATATTTATCAAATAATTTGGTTTGTGTTTATTTATTTACCTGGTCTATGTTAGAATCTAAGACGAGAAGTTTTAATAGTACCATCTGGATTGAAGATAATATCTTTATTGAATTATTCACCACAAATACCATACTTTTGACAGCAAACAGAGCTAATCTTAACATTCATGAATTTTTGAACTTAAACTTCGAAAGGATATTAATCAATGTCTCTTGTGTTACAGTCTATAGCCCACATTTATTTGGGATTAGCAAATTAATTGAAAGTAGCAATCCAAGAATAGACAGGAGGTTACACAGTAGCGTTCAACAAAGATAAAGCATTTGATATTTTGTTAATATATGTAACGTCATTGTTGTCTCTGTAATCTATAGAATAAATAATTTAATTAGTAAGATTGAATTTAATTTAACAAAAATAGTGTATTACTAACATTTTCTAAGACCAAATAAGCCAAAGGTCCAATTTCAATATATTTATTATAAGAATCGAAGTAGTTATTCAAATCAGATCCAGTGATCAAAGAAACTTATTGGTTCAAACCGATATTTAAGTTAAGTAAACCAATTACAGAGATAATAACCAAACCTATGAAGATGAGGAAGTTGAACATATGGAAAATTTTATTTCTTAATACAGGAATATAGAATTTAGAGATACACTTCTTAACTAAGTCTTCTCTGGGTTCAGATGGTTCAGCTTTTTTTGTAGGAAAAAAGTTAAGTCAATCATAAAAAAACAAGATGAATAAAATATACTTCTGATGCAAACGAAAACATCACAGATACCCTTCAATTTACGTTCTTCATCCCAAGCAAGAATAGCTACAAAAGCAGTAATTTGGAAAATGTAATCGAAGAAAACAGCAATAGCAGCTTGGATACAGAAAGTTGTAAGTGCAGGAATGTTAGTGAAAGTACCTACCATGAATGCAAGAATTTCAGAAACAGCAGCTGCAGTAATAGAAGGACCAACTTCAGTCATACCTCCTTTAATTTTCTCTAACAAATTTTCACCGTGACAACCTTTAACAGCAGTACTAATAATGAACATATTATCAACACCAATAGCTAAAATGAGGAAAGGAATAACTTCACCCTATTATTTAATTCAAAATTTTTAATATTTGAAAATGAAATAAATCAAAATAAATATATAAAGAAATGAAAATAAAATTGGTTGAAATAAAAAGGTTTTGTTACAGAAATCATAGTCATGCCAACTCCGATAAAAGCCATGAAACCCATAGAGCACACAATAGAAAAGATGACAATAAAGATACCTGCTAAACCAATCAAGAAACCTGAGTGAGTTTTAGAAGGGAAAGAACCTATAGCAAGAGAAATATAGATAAACATAAGAGAGTAAGAAAGAGCGACGACCCAAATATTTTGACTTGTTTCTTCAACAAGTTCATCAGGAATACTTCTTTCAGCCATAAATTAGACATCCAAATCAGGCCAGCTGTTGACGTTTTTGTAATCAACTTCAATAGGTTCGTCTAGATATTGAGAAAAGTCTAAAGTTTTGTTTCTGAATTAGAAAATAGTGTCTTCAAAGATATCTTTTTCCCAAGTTTCAGCAATTTGTTGTGTAAATGGGTCCTTATTTAAGAGATAAGTTACAACCAAAGCTTAGGATTGAATCCAACAATGTTAACAAGGGAGATCATCATGAGGATATTATTCACAGCTTGAACCACCAATGACTGCTTGTTCTATATTAAAAAAAATAAATTAGAGGATTTTAATGATTGTGAATAAGATAGATCATTATTAATATATTAGAAAAATTAATGCTCTTAAAAAACCACATAAAATATTTTTAAATTTAATTCACACTTAGATTTTTTAAGTCTTTAATCTTAAATAAAAAATTCAAAACTAAAAAAATTATTAGTTTGAACAATAAAAATCTTTTTGTTAAAATAAATAAATTTAAAGTAGCATGAAAATAATGTTTATTTTATGAATTTTATAAGGCTTTTATCAACTATCTTTAATAATTATTTTATCTTAAATATGCTTTGTGAAAGATTTAAAGTAATTTATTTATTTAGAATTATTACGGTTCTATTTGCATAAATAACCTATTTAATTAATTAATGACGTAAGTTACTGTCATATATCTTTAAATGAATGTATGTTTTATTTTTTTGTCAAAATAAATAAAAGAATTATTCAATCTTCATTCAAATTATTCATACCTATTAAAAACTGTCTGTAACTTTATTTCCATATAAATAATCTTAATTTTGGTATTTAAAATGCAATAATTTTATTGTTCTTATGCATACTTGATTCCAAAATATATTTTTTATCAAGCGCAACAGTAATAGAGTAGCAACGGATTATAAATTATCTCTTTATGTTTATTTATTATTTTTATGTTTCCTTACTCAAATTTATTTATTTACTGTTATTATCATAATTTTAGCAATTCTTACAAAAGTTATCTATGGCTATGCCATCATTTTTCCTATTTTAATTTCATCCTCTATTCAGCAGTTTTATGAAATCATAATCAGATAAGAGTAGATATTAAAATTTACATTCGTATTATTTAAATTTACTAAATCAGAAGGTAATCTAATAGAAAAATATATGCGTGTTTCTATCTATTTATTTATCTTTCTGAAATTTAGATATATTTTAAAATAATTGAAAAACATTTACTAAAATTAGTTTTTTGATTGATAAAGCTTGCTTTTCTTTGAAATAAATTAAGTAGATAGTTGATTAATTTCTATTATGTATGTATTTACATTTTAAATAAATGTAAATTTATTGATTGATTATATTTAAAGTTATATTTTTATGAAATGTTTATTTATTTATTAAATCATTTTAAAATAGCTTAAATTTTTGTTTTGAAATATTAAATGATGCAGTTGCCTCTTCTAAGGAAGTGTAAAAATAATAAAATTTATGAGTGGATATATATTATAATGAGTATATTTTATAGTATTTTAAATGCTACTTACGGATGATAGGAATACCATTTGAGTCAGTACAAGGAATCAAAGTAGTTTTGGTGTTAGAATCTATACAGAGGGCATCGTATTGAAGAGCCTTTCTGGGGTCCATTCTTTGGTCTCTAGGTACACTCAATTAAGCAGCTCTTTCATTTAAAAGGGTAATATTCATTTTCCAATAATCCATTGGGGAAGTGATAAGACAACCTTTGTTTGAGACTGGTTTGTAGCATAAGTTATCAACAGTAACATCTTGTCCTTCTTTTTTGAAGGATCTGGTATTAATAACCTTTTCTAGGTAGTATAACCATTTAAGGGTATCCAATTAAAAGAGATTAGGAAGTGGGGCTGTTGAATTACTGTCAGTTGTATTTGTATCTGTTGAATTATTGTCGTCATCGCTTTCTGCTAAAAATCTTGGAGCAAAGGTGCTATTTGAAGCATTCACAAATTCCTTTTTTTAAGTTAAAAAGAGAGGGTCTTTTTGCTTTTCAGCACATTCATTTTATTTGAGAAGACGGTTGGAGCTTTAAGTTCCTCCTGGTTACTAAAAATTAGATCCAGCAGACATAATAATTTGGTTAATTCTAAAAAACTGCCCAAAGTTGTCATTGAAATATTTTTATTCTGAGTAGGTTCTGCCTGCATTAGGAGCCCAAAGATTCTAAGGATCTGTCTCCATTTTAAGATTCAACATACCTAAAGCAAAAACACCTGTAATTAAGATGCAAAATCCGATGGCAATACACTTGTTACGTGTGCATTTTTCAGCCAATTTACCAAAGACTTAACCAAATCCCATATTAAATCTATTTGAAAAGTAAAAATATTTTTAAAATTGAACATTTAAATTGCTTATTGAGCAAATAGTATGAATTAGAATCAAAATAGTATTTAACAATTCTCAAAGCAATGTTAAAATATTAAAGAAGCAGGTTTAAATTGATCATCTACTAACAAAAAAGGGCTTCAATAATTTTTTATTTTCTAAAAATATGTTGAGAGTGTAACCAAGTACAATAAAGAAACTTTAAATAGCTAATTACATGTTTACTATGTTTGTTTGTATGTAATGAATGTATGTTTGTTTGTTTGTATGATTATTTGTCTTTCTTTCTTCTTGCTTGATTTAATATGATATCTTCTTTCTAATATTATTTATGATTCTTTCTTTATTTTTTTATTAAATTATTCAATTAAGCACTCTCTTTATTAAAATAAGCAGTCTATTCAATTAATTGTTCTAATTTCTCTTAAATTCATTCATTTATTTAAGTCAATACTTCATATTCATTGATTGATAATATATGTTTGTTTGTTTATTTATTTACTTATTTTCCTATTTCTTATTGCCTTATTTTTGTTTCTTATGGTGTGAGTGCTTGATATTTTTCATCAATAAGATGCAATTTATACAATGAATTAAAACGAAATACAAAGATAAATGACATACATTAATACACTGATTATAAATTGAAAGTATGTAAAAAATAAATGAAAATTAAATTAATATTAAAATTCGACTTGAATGAATTAGTAATAGAGGAAGCTAACAAAAGAGTCCAAAAGATTGTGATGAATTGAATTTAATATTATATTGCTCCTCAAAAAAATACTTCCCAAATAATTAATAATATTATATAAATTTGTATGAAATCTAACTTCATTCACTTTTTTAAAGAATTACTCTATATCTACAAATTTATTTTCATTCAAAGATAAGCTAATTCTTTAAATAAATTAAATTATTACTATTTATCCTCTCTCTTAATTCCCTTTATAACAAATATTGCCTGCCAACTCTCAAATCTATAACTAACATTCTTTTACTCATTTACTAATTTTCAAACTATTTATCTGGTCTTCTCTTTTTCTTTTATATTTTTAAACCTCTCTCTCCTTAAAGCTTTTCTTCTTTCATTCATAATTATGACATTATCTTATTTTTATTGTTTTTATTCTTGATTAATATTCAAGCAAATATTGCCTAACATCCCTCACTCTCACCATTCATTTATTTTACCACAGGTTCACCATTTTATGATTTTATCATCGATTTTTCTATTTAATCCAAAGAAAGAACAGGTTTGCTTATATTTTGCTCAAATTAAACACATATCTTAGGTAGTAATGTTGGATGTTAGTTGATTCAAATAAACAAAGACTATCAGATAAAGTGCTTACAATTTAGAATTACATTGAGTTTCACCACAATTTTTTTAAATTACAGAAAGTCAATAACAAATATCTATTGATATTTAAGCCAGCCACTTACTCTTAAATAATAAATTAATAATATTATTTATTTCAGATTATACATTAGGCAATCCTTCCTCCATTTTTTTAATTTTTAGATTATATTAAAACTATTCTAAACTCAAAATAAATATTTTCAATAATATTTTATAAATTCTAAATAATAATAAAACAGTAAAATTAAAACATAAATTCTAAATTTTATTTATTTAAGTAATACTTAGGCTATTGAAAAAAATAAATTTAATTGTTTTTAGTACTTTTTAAAAGAAAAATGACATTATTTTGAGATAATTTTTATTAAAATTGGATACTATTTTTTAATTTCTATTTAAAAATGATTATTTCAGAAAAATAAATAAAAGTTTATATTTTAAAGAAGTCACAATATTTTTTATTTGATTTAAATTCCTCTATTATTCTTTATGCATTTTTCAAAAGGTTACAATTAATAACATCCTAAAATACTTGTAATTTTCTAATTTAAAACAAAACAAAAAAAATAAAATAAAAATTTTCCTATCTTTAAATTTAAAAATAGCTTCTTTAATTATATAGCATATATTTTTTTCTATTTAATTTTTGATTAATTTTTAATAAAATATAATTCTACTTTTATCAACAAACAACAATTTTTTTTTGATTTCAATCCTTACTAAATTTTAATACTTATTTTATTGATTTTTCTTTATTTTTTGGTATTTAAAAAGAGTTATTAAAGTGGGAAATTTCTTTGATATAAGTTTGATGTACATTGGTGATTATAGATTTTTCATTATTACTTGCATTAAATTGTGGGTTTCTTGCTTAAAAATATCCATAAATTGTAATAGCTTAGGTATTTTATAAATGCTATTCTATAATTAAATAATTTTACTACTCGTAATACGTTCTATAAAAATAATTTTAGAATATCAATTAATTGTATCAATAGAAATAAGATATTTGACAAGATTAATTACTTATGTAAGAAATATTTACATTAATTATTAATTAAATGTAGATCTAAAGAATACTATTTGATATACTGTCTGTTTTCTAAGTTAAGAAGAGAATATATATTCTAAGTTAAGAAAGGTTATTTTCAATTAGGGGGAAAATAAAAATTTGCAAAATATTTAATAATTTTCAAAAGATTGGAAATTATTTGATAATTAAATAATTAATATTTTTTTTAAATAATAAGATAATTATAATTTAAAATAAAAATTTAAATTATATATTTACATTAAAAAATTATATAACAAATATTTTATAATAAAAACAAAAATAAAAATATTTAATTAATTAATCTACTTTAAAGTAAGTTAATCCAGGAATTTAATTATTAATTTTCCACATTTGTAAGAATTAATACTTGGAAATGTGTTATAAATTATATTCTAACATTTAAATATTTATTATTTATTCATCCTTTTTTAACCACTTGTTTATCATTATTAGAAATTCATTTCTAAGACAATTAATCTTTTTGATTTAAGATATATACTTTCTACTTTCAATTATTATGATTTTTTTATTAAATTTTAACTTTTAAATTTAATTAGAGTAAATTACTAAAAAATTAACATTGAATTAATTTTAAATTAAAAATTATATATTAAATTAATAAATTAAAAAATCATTAGCAATAATAAAGAAAAAGGAAAAAAAATCAAACCAAAAAATTAATAAACAAATTAAAAGAGCTGTTAAGTTTTAATTTCATTTTTATATTTAAAAATATCTTAATCAAAAACAAATAAACTGTTTTTACCCAAGATCAAGTGTCAAATTTGAGAGATTAGTACAATTTTATAAACGAGCATAATTTTAAGGCACCAATTGGACTAATTATATTTCTACTTTTTAAGTATTGAAGAAAAAATAAATAACTAATTATAATTAGCTAGTTAGATAAACAATGAAGAAATAACATGAAATATAAAGAAATTAATTAATTAGTAATAAAGATATAATTTTAAAATGAAAAAATGAGTTAAATTAACAAATATATAGAAAAAAAAAAAATAGCAAACATAATAAAAAAGAAAAATAAATTTAATAAAAAGCTATCAAATGTATTAAAAGAGTTATTGTTTTAAATTTATTTTAAAATTAAAAATAAATAAACTTTTTTTACCTAAGATCAAGCTTCAAATTTGAGAGATTAGTGCAATTTGCTAAAGCAGAACCTAAGCCTTAAGTGCAAAAAAAGAAAAAGGAAAATAAATAAAACAAAATATTATCTAATAAATTAAAATAGTTTTATTAAATTCATTTTTATTTTTCAAAATATCACAATCCAAAACAAATATACTGTATTTACCTAAGATCAAGTGTCAAATCTGAGAGATTAGTACAATTTGCTAAAGCTAAACCTAAGCTTGATGCTCCAATTCCACTAATAATTACCTCTTTTTAAATATTGAAGAAAAAATATTAAATAATAAGGAAATGAATTAATTAGTAATTAATAGCTGAAAATAAAAAACGAATAAAATTAAAGAAAGAAAAATAAACACAAGTAAAATAAACCAAAGTAAAAACTATCAAATAAATTAAAAGAGTTATTTTGTTATAAATTTATTTTTTTTAATAGAACAATCCAAAACAAATTAACTATTTTTACTAAAGCTCAAGTGCCAAATTTTAGAGATTAGTGTAATTTGCTAAAGCGGAGCCTAAGCCTTATGCACCTTAGTCACCAATTCTTTTTCCACTTTTTAAATATTGAAGAAAAAACTTCATATTAATATCGTAAACAAATTCAAAGTTAAATATTTAAAAAACATAAATAATATTAATATTTATAAATTTAATGTACCTCAGAGCAATATGGAGAACCTAATGAGATTAGAGCGAAAAAATAAAAAAAAATTTTTTATGAATAAAAATAAATTTAATGAATATTCATAAAAAAATAAATAATTACTTCTTCTAATTTACAGTTATATTTAATCTATTATATCATTTATTTTTTCAAAAATAATGAATATCAATTTATGGAAATTTAATTAATTATAAGTGGATAAAAAGAACAAATAAATTATTATAATTATCAAATATGAATTTATAAATTTGCTTTTAGGAAGATATATCACTAAAGAATAAGTAACATTCATTATTTAATCTTAAAAATTCTATTTATAACACATACAAGAGACGGGTAGTAATATGTTGAAAAAATTCTAATAATTGTTGCTCTAAAATTTTATAATTTTCAAAATTTTTGTAAAAATGAATTAGAATTAATAGCATTCTTATTGCTTTTATTTTATAAAATAAAAATTTTTAATTTGTTTTACAAACAAATAAACAATCTAAATTATCACTTTAGAAATATTTATCAAATAAAGATAAAAATATTTAATTTATTTTAAAAGACAAAAATATAATCATATAACATTTTTATCTGAAATAAATAATGCAACAAGTCTTGCTAAAAGTTTTGTTTTTTTTAACACTTTGATTAGATTTTTAGGAAATTTAATATTGCAATCCCTTTATTTTAACAAAAAAATTAATATGATTAGTAAAAGAATAAAATAAAGTGTTAATTAATTTACATCATATAAATTTTTAAGAAAGCTAAGCTATTGAATTTAGAGATATATTTGACTAATTCTAAAGCTCCTTTATCAGTTATATCATTAAGACTTATTATTTAAAATTATTATGCTGATTTTTATATGTATTAAATATACGTAAAGTCTATATCCAGATATTTCAGATTTTTGCATTTGAATAATCCAAAACCTGCACCAGATATTCCTTCGTCATTAATTTAGTTATTACTTAATCATATTTTATTTTAAGAATATTTTAAATATTTATAAAGTATAATCCTAAATAATATAGATTAATAATATAAATTATTTTTAAATAGAATTTATATAAAAAAAATATAAAATAATTGAAAACAAAGAATTTATTAATTTTTTTTTAGGTTTTTTAAATTTAATGTTAATTTTTTTTATTTATCTAAGTAAATTTTAATAATAATTTAATTTACTAAGCATAAAGAGTTAAATTTGTCAAATTATTTAGATATTAGAACTCATTGCAAATAGAGAATAAGCCTTCATTACCAATTTAATTAGATCTAAAATTATTTAAAATAGTTATTTAAAAAATATAGAAAATAAAAGAAACATAAAAAAGTAATTTACCCTAATTAAAGACATAATTATTCAATATATTTACATTCTATTATCAAATTTCCTAGCAATTAAATTCCATTAGCTGTAATATTGTTATTTCTTTTTATTTTAAATTAGAAAGTGAAATAATTGTTAAAAGATTTCATAAATTTATTGAATTTTTTACTATAGATAAATTTCAAAGAATTTTAGACATTTAAGTGAAGGCAAGAATTTTAAAATGTCAGGTAAAGTTAAATCATCTATATTTTTATAACTATTTAAGATAAATAAATAAGTAAATAAGTATTAAAAAACTAATTTTTAATGATGTTTACCAAAAATCAAGAAACAGTTCTTCAATGCTTTGGCATGTAGCTATGTAATTACTGAATTCTATTAGTTCAGGAACTTCTGGACTTAATATAAGGTATTGAAAAAATTTAAAAATAACCTTTTAATTTTAATTAAAAAGAATCTTCTAAATTTATGAGTAAATTAGAGAGGGAGGAGTTTGAAAACATTCAATTCTTCATTTGTTTTTAAATGAAGAAAATATTTTATTTTAAATATTTGTAAAATTTTCAATATAAATAAAAATATACCCATGAATATTGTCTAAAAATAAATATTTCAAATTATTGCACTGAGCTATTTTTTTGAAGAATTAAGGAATTAGTTTAACTTATTGTTTGCTTAAATTATTAAAATCGAAAATTAATTTATCAATTGTTGATAAATCAGTAGAAGCCATAAACTTTTATTTTTTTAGATTTGAATAAATTTTAATATAAGACTTTTTGAATATTTGTTTACTTCTTTAAACTTAAGTGCTTACATTTCTTTATTTTTGATTTTACTTTTTTTTTTATAAATCAATCCAAAAAAAATTTCTTTTTAATTTAAAATAAAAATAACAATTACATACTAATCATTTTCCAATATTTTAATTTATTCTTTAATTCTAATTAATTTAATTATTTGATCTATATAAAAATTCTTTATTTAAACTCTTAACAATTTACTTCAGAAAAATAAATTATAAAATTCAATTCATTTAAAAATTCTATTAATAGTTAGTTGCTTCTTTGTTTCTTTCTTTGCATTTATTTATATGGCTAAATATTAGATACAAAAATAATTCATTATTTTTAGAAGATTCGTAAACTAAAAAATAAATTAATTTTAAATTTAGAATTTTAGACAACATTATAAGCTTAATGATGAGAATTAATAATTTTTAAAAAAATAAATATTATAAAAAAATAGGAGTTATAATTAAATTTATTAATTCTTTTATTTTTGTTTGTTTTTGGAAATTTAAAGCTTTTAATTATCTAAAAAATATTTTTGAATTGAGTTAAAATTACTGTGATAAATCAATATAATTTGAAATTAAAGATATGTTTTATTTATATTTTTTTAATTTGGATTTTCATACATATTTGCAACAAAAATTTCTTTAGAGATTCTTTAATAAATCTAAATAAGTTCCTTATTTCTGTATTACAATGCAAAATTTTAGGTTTTTAGAAATCATCAGAAATATTTCTTAATAGATTTTAAGAAAAATGTTAGAAAAAGTATAAATTTACAAATTTCAATTATTTTTTCAAATTAAAATAATAAATTAAAAATTTATAAAACTAAGTTTTTTTTTTTTAAATGTTCATTCTTGGTTATTGGGAGAGTAGAGGAATAGCTCAAGCAATTCGTTTGTTGTTGGAATATTTAGAGGTTGAATATACAGAAAAACAATATTATGAAACTGAATAATGGTTCGAAAAAGATAAGAAAGAGCTAAATACTAATTTTCCTAACTTACCTTATCTGATTGATGGAGAAGTAGTAGTGACAGAATCAATAGTTATCCCAATTTATTTGATAAAAAAGTTAAAGAGATATGAGTTACTTGGACAAAATTCTGATGGATCCTTTAACTAGAACGAAATCATCTTTTTACAACTTTTAACTATTATGAAAGATTTAAGATATGACATATACATATCTACCAAAGTACCTTCATTTAGAGAGGAAAAGCATAAACTTTACAACGAAAAGTATTTTGTTACACTTTAGGTAAATAAATAAATAAATATTTTAATATTTTCATCAAATCTAATTAATTAATAATTAATATTTAAAGAAACTAATTAGGTAGTTAGATAAAAAACAATATTTACTAAATAACTTTACTTATGCAGATATCATGTTTTATGATCTGTTAAGATATATTGAGTTCATTTATCCAGAAAAATCAATTTTACCAGAGTACAAAGAAAGAATAGAAAATATCCCATAAATAAAAAAGTATTTAGACACAAAAGAAAACAAGATTTTTATTTTGGAAAGAATGAAAGATTTGTTTT